GCCTGTCTGCAGCCGGCAGATTTAGAGCGCCCTGCGCGTGCATAGAGCCCGTAGGGCTGCCAGAAGTATCGTGAGGCTGCGATGGTCCTGCTTCAGTATTGCCGTTAGATCCTGGAGGTGGTGTACCATTCTGTACAGGCGTGATGGACACGGACGCATTTGGAGCCTTAGCAAACCCAATCCTAACGGGTCCGGCTCCCGGGAAGATCTCCTTTCCGTTGAGCAGCTGGCGGGCACGCACGGCATGCTCGACAGACTCAAAGTTGACGAAACCGCAGTTTTTGTGTGTGAGGACTCTCGTCGACTCTATAGGGCCATAACGACTGAAGATGGCGTCCAGCGAGGACATGGTCGTTGAGTTGGGAATCGATCCAATCCAAAGGGACCGAGAGATCTGCACATCAGGGTCATCCAAACCCTCATAGGACAAGGGCATATTTTCACCAATTGCCAGATGTTGCAGCGAGTCTGTCAGGCTCGGTGGCTCTAGCATGTCTGAGGCCTGGATATCAAAACCTATGTCGATGCTATCTGCAGGTTGCTGGATGAAATTTCGGAGCGAGGTACGTTGAGGAGTTTCAACAAGCCCAGCAGTACGAGCTCTAGGGCGCGCTGCGCTAGCGTTCACTGCAAAGGCCTGAACTGCTTGATTGTGTAGGCGGACCTTCTCCTGAACCATTTCATACTCGGCTTCGAGTGCTGCAGCCGCCGAGGGCGTGAGGGTACCGCTTTGCAACAGCGGAAAGCTGGTATTTCCTTCCTGGCTTTCGGTTTGGTATTTGGATTGTGTGTTGACCGAGAAGGACCTGAACCGGCTTGAGTTGCGCATTCCAAAACCTAACACGTCTGGCAGGTTGGTATCATGCGAACGAGCGATGTCATTTGCACCCTGACGCAACGCATCAGATCTTGACTGGTGAGGAGGTTCGGCAAGTCCAAGATAATCGAGAGTGCGTACCCCTGAGTCGGACATGCCATCTTTGGAGTATCCTGATGGCTGAGGGGACGTGGGATCCTCGGCGGAGCTGATGCTGGTTAGGGTGGCCGCGCGCGTTCTTGTCCCCCAACCAGAACTGAAGGTGTTTGAGCCAAAGGCACCTGAGTTGCCAAGCAGACTAGCCCGCTGAGGCATGCTTCCCGCACGAAGTCTGGACAAAAGTGCCGACGTGGCCGGATTCGCTTGGTTGGAAGAAGTCGAGTAGAACGCAGTTTCGGCAGCGGAAGTGGACCCTGGTCGAAAAGGGCTGGTCGATGGCGTTGGACGAGAGGTCTTGGAGGTCAGGACGTTAACACCATTCACCGTCCCAACTGGGGAGATCCGCGAAGGAAGAGTGCCTGCACGACCTCGCCGCGCCGGGCTGTTGATTCCAGTCTCTGTGAGCGGCACCAGATCGGGGAAGCCATCTTGGTTAGGAGATTCTGGAATCTCGAAGAGAGGTGTGGAAGTGCCGCTGGTAGGAGGGCCCCAGATGTTCGGGGTCAGACCAGTCTGAGATTGTAGTTCACGGGTACGTTTGGGGAAGAGCCGTGAGGTCTGTTCGTGCAGAGGAGAACCAGCTCCAACTCTTGCACTGGACAAGCCAGCCAGCCCAGACGAGGATTTAGAGCTCCCGAAGGGAGACTTGCTGGTGGGCACTTGGGGAGGCTCGGCGATGGGTGACAGTCCCGAAAGGTTTATATTGAGAGGCCCGTCTGGCCTTGTGGTGGGAGGAGCCATGGGGAGCTCTCAGAAGCCCGCGGACTGTAATCAAGTAGATTTTTGTACTGCTTCGAAAAATTATGTATAGAGCCAACTCTTTCTCGTAAAGGCCTCAGCGAATAGGGCAGTAAGTGTCAATCTTTCGTATAACGTTGTGTGCTCCGAGTGATATTGAGATGCACGAGGGGTTGTCTGACCATCAGCTCGGAGAGGCGGCGGACGAGGATGTGCAGTCACAGCTATACCAGCTGGGCTGCCGTGCGCAAGGAGAGAGAGCAGGCACTCGGTATATTCAAGGCCCGGGTCGCGTCAAGGTCGTTCGTGCTGGGAGGAGAGCAGCTCGGGAACCAGGGTATTACTTTTAAGAGCGGTCGGGCGCGGGTTGGAGAAGGAGAGGCTGTGGACTGCCGTACTAACACAAAGGATGGAATAGAGAGAAGTGAATAAAGCAGCTCTCCAGGGCTGAAGGGGAATTAGGGGTTGGTCGAAGATGCAAACGTAAGTGAGGGCAAAGAGAGCAGGAAGATGAAGCAGCAGTCTGGTGGATGGATTAGGGGCACAAGTGCGAAAGTAAAGGTAAAGTGAGGTTCGGGTTGCGCAGATGCAGAGCGACACACGTCAACGGCTGCTATGCAAAGTACGGGGAAGAACCTCGACTATTCGACGCACAAGCACCGTCTCGGTTTAGTCACCTTTACCTTCTGAAGATTCTGCTGCTGAGCTGCACCCGCGAGGCCAGTTCCACGAGTAATTGCATGTACCTAGTACTGCGCTTCTTCCTCCAACGCAAAGTGTCGTCAAACCCGCCAGGGACGAACAGATCATTGCCATAACGAAAATCAGGTCGACGAGACCTGGCATTTGCAGGCTGGCTGGCCAGTGGCAGCTCGCATTTCAAGTTTTCTCCAATGCGATGTCCTTCGCCCCAGCACGACTTTGTTACCGGAATGGGACACGGGCGACACAAGGAATGAGCCGCGAAGAAGGATTATGCCAGCTGCCCGGCGGCCCTTGATGTCCTTGTGGCCTATCGTTGCTCTGATCCCGCTTTTTCAAAACCACCGAGCCCATCCAAGCTACTCCCCATGAAACGACTTCTGTGTGTCACTTATGCGCTCAATTTCCTTCAATGATCCTGAACTCCAAGCGTCCGGACGTGACTGAGGAAGTGCAAGACTCGCATGGACATGCACTAATCGAGCTTTCTCACAGCAAAGCACGAGGGCATCATGCAATAGTTCTTCGCACTCCTCTGGCACTGGAGGCTGATGGTTGTGATGGACAACCTGAAACACTGGCGCCCGACGTTCGCAGCCAACCATGTTGCTCTACCTCAAAGCTACTCGTACCTCTATGTGGAGTCTGACCCCGAGGCATCCAGTATCACCTGCTTGGCCCGAGCGCCTGTGTGCTTGTGAATTGTCCCGTGAGCTGTTCCGTGCTGCCCATTTTTGCGCGGACCATATTGGTTGAAGCCGGAAAATAGCCCCTGAGAGCCGCATTTAGCCCAGCTCGTCGTCGTCGACAGACTCTTACAGCTACTCTTACAACTGCACTCGTCAGTAGACTCCAAGATCAGTACTCTCTGTACTCCGTATGTGTCTGATGCACCTATTCATATTGCGCGATATCGCATGGACTGTGCCAAGCTACAACTAATGGTCACGTGGTAGCATCCATCACCACTCCCGGTGGGCTGCAGCTTCAGGATTCAAGCTGTCCGGCATTAACTTCGACAAACCTACGAAACCGCTGTAGTCCACAAGACCCAGGCGGAATGCCTAGTTGCCAGAGATACAGCAAAGACTTGAACAGCCCATAGAGACATTGATCCTCCTGGGCTGACGGGTTAGTACGAGGTACAACTGCACACTGCGTTGACTGTAGGATTGGGACCGGCATATGCAGACTAGGTACTCTGTACCGAGGCCGAGTGTCAGCATTCGGAGCGCAAAAACTACACTCCTCGACTACATCATAAAAGTTGTTTTTCAGCTGGACGACCGTCAATAAACATTCCATCCTTGAGCCAGGAACTGTGCAACAGGTTCGAGGAACGCAACCACGTGGGGGGTTTTGCCTCTGATATTGAATTGAACCTTTCAGGCGTTGAGAGCTACAAGCATCAATGGCGTTCCCAGATGTTGCTTATGCGGACGAGCTTGTGGTGTGGCATGCCACTAGTTCGTGTTAACGAGGAACTTGAACTCCGATTCCCGCACCTCGATCCGCGCCCCTTTCCAAGCTATTGGAAGCGAGGGACGCCGGCCCTTCAGGCATTTGGACAGTCACTCGTACAGCCATGCTCGTTAGCAGCGGTGAGCACGTACATACTCGTACCTAGGACATATTTGAGCCTACCCTGGGGCCATCGTCTATCAAGCCGTTTGTAGGCAGAGCGGGAGGAACTGGGGCTTACAAGGAGAGCTCCCTGATCAGGTATTCCGAGATCTTTCGGGATCTGCACAGCCATTCCATCACAGGAGCGGATCTTTCTTCACCAGTCTGACCATCGCGCAACTGCCGCCCAGAGACGAGATTGCTGGACACGGCAACTGCTTGCTGTTTCAGACACGAGTACGAGGTCCGAGAATTTTGGGGACCTATTGACGTGATTGTCGCGAGGCGGCCGACATCTCTTATCGGGCAGCTCTTCGATGACTGGTGTACCAAACCTGGCTGCTTGCCCTTCAATCACCACAGGCGATCTTTCTCGATCGTAAATCGTTTGAGGGTGTGTGGGTCTAAAGCTAGGACGCACTGATCGAGGGTTCCGAAGGGCGACCTGATGGTGGACCGAAGAAGCCACACTGACATCCTTTTTCTCTTCCTCGTGATTCATGGTGAAATTGTCTGGTGTAAGACGGCCGCAGCATGGATACAAGTCGAGATGTAGTTACAGAACCCTGCAAAATCATCTTGATCCACTGTAGACAAGTTGTCGGGGAACTTCCTGCCAAGCTCTTTCTTTACTTTGCGAGTTTCGGTACCGCTCCTATCAGGTGGAGCCGGAACCCTGGACGGCTTTCGTTAATTACTCCCGACTTGATCTTCGTCGCAGCGTCATGAACTTCATGGGAAGAGCATCACGAGCCGCAGGCGATCCTCGTTATTGACTTCACTCCCATCAGCTTTTCCATCAAGCCTCCATCAACCTGCTTCTACCCTCCCAATGTGATTGGAGGGGACGTTAAATACATCTTCCCTCGCACGAATGCGCTTCACACTCGTCATCTCTATTCACCTCTCTCTCACTCCCGCCTCGCCAATTCCCAATCTGCGATGACCTTCCACACTCAGCATGAACGGTATTACCGAGCCGTTACCCGGCCTCCTTGACGACCCTCAATTTCAGATCACCGATTTGCCTGCACTGACCGACTTCCATATTGCTCCTCTTCGAAACCCTGCCCCAAGTCGCCATGCAAATATTCCTCTACCTCTCGAGCCTGTTGCGCGCAACATCCACAGCAACAGCAGAGCAACCAAGAGCACCGGTCCTCGCGAAGATGACTCTGAGAAGAGGCGGGCACCTAAGATCACTCCCAGTGATGTGCTTCTGGCGAGGGAGGCCAAGAAGCCGCATCTGGCCATCAGTGAGCTGCTGGAAGCCAATGACGGCCCGGACATGGTCCCTACCCACTTGCCCTCCTTCATCAGTTTGTCTGTAGTCGAGAAGTCGCCTATACAGGCTCCGTCACCCTTGGAACACGGCCATGCTCAGAAACGGTTGAGGTTGGACGCTGACGGCGAGGCTGTCGCTCTTGAGATGATAAGGCATCTCCCGCGTCCTGCTCAAAAGGAAGACCGAAAAAACAGGCCTGCTCCTCTCTTACCGGCTATGGTCACAGGACTGCACGAGCCTCCTCCATCTGCGGCTCTTCTACCATCTATCGACGTTGCCTCCAGACCTGCTGCTCCCCGTTCCACGACCACTTCTAAAATCCATGTCAAGGATATGCTGACTGAGTCGGATCCAGACTCAGCACATTGGACAGCTCCACCTGCCACGGTGGTTGAGAAACAAGTACCCTCTGCGCAGGAAACTGTAGCTACGCAACCAACTCCAGTCAACGAAACTGTCCCAGCCACTACGCCATTGACTCCTTCTGTGGTCCCTTGGAAAGACAACAAGCCCCGCCGTGCCCGCCGGAAGTGGAGTGACAGTGAGACAAGAGATCTTCTAGCTGGTGTGAAGAAATATGGGAGGGGCAAGTGGAAGGAAATACTTGATGATCCATCGTTCAATTTCAGCGAACGGAGTTCGGTCGACCTGAAAGACAGATATCGTGTCTGTGCGAACAATGATTCGTTTCCCAGGTCAGAAACAAATGCGAGCACCACCATCACTGTCCCAGAACAAACCGCTTCCATGGAAGGTGAAGGACCTTCGCTTTCACCAATGAAAGTCGCGGAGGGTGAGTCACCCCTTGAACAAGGCCATCCTCCGAAACAGCGCCGTAAGCGCCGGGCTTGGACAGTCGCCGAAGATGAAAGCCTACTGAAGGGTGTGGCCAGGCATGGATTTCAGTGGACTGCAATTCACGATGACCCTGAGCTCGACCTGGCGCATAGACGGGCTACTGACCTTCGAGATCGAATAAGAAATAAGTTTCCAGATGGGTACAAGCATGCTGAAACTGCGCCGTTGAGATCGGAGGTCAAGAAGGCAGAGAAGCTCGCAGTTTCTTCCGCAGGCACTCCTGATACTCCTAACCCGGCCAGTGCTGTACCTGCAGCCAAGAACCCGCCGTCGTTGGTTCACAACAGCATCACGGCGGCAATGCCTGTCAAAGCGAGCACATCAAACTCAACGAGGGCAGTCAGTGGCAAGGTGAAATCGTCGACCTCCGCTAGCTCACTGACAATGCTGCTCCGTAGCGACGACATGGATATGGAGCCTACTAAGGAGAAAGCCGAGAAAGAGAAGGACAGGGACAGGGAAAGAGACCAGCAAGTGGGGGTAACGCTACCGAGCTTTACTCTTGAAGTCGATGACGATATGGATTGGGAGGATAATCGGCTGCCACCCCTACACGAGTGGGACGAAATCGGGATATGAAGCGCCACACAGAAAGTCGCCCAGAAGTCTGCTGATACACAAGATGGAGCGCCGTGCCCCGGATTGACATCTCCCGACTAATCTCTGACTAATACACAACACATTTCTGGATCGGAGGCCAACCAGTCTAAGGGGCTCACGGTCGTTGGGAGGATCTCTCTTGCCTGGAAGGCTCTATGCTACCTCTGGTGACGGGATATTGGAGGGATCTTTGGAATTTGGGAATTTGAATGGGTCTCACGGACTGGCTGCCATTGTTTTCTTGCACCTATTGGTTACAGCTTTCTCATGATGGACGGATGTTGGGATGGACACGCAGGACATGCACAGATGTCTGACGGCCTCGAGGATCAAGGAAAACATGTATGGGGATGGGATCGGGAATGGAAAGGGAAAACTTGCTGGCTTCTTATGATACCCCTTTTGTTGATTTCGCTGGAAGCATGGGACTGGTAAATACATCTGTTTAGATAGACACGGGCTTTTGATACGAGAGAGCATGTCTGCATGCATTGCTGTGGGCCTGGCTGATTGGACGGGAAAAGTTTTGTTATTTTGGCTCAAGGCCTTCGCTTTGAGGAGATGCGGCGAATAAACGGGCTGGGACTCATCTTGTTCTTCTCGTCTGCGCCTTTCTTCTGTGCAAAGTGTAGTTGAAAGACAAGAGCCTCAACACGACTCACTTTCCGTTGGTCAGTGCAAAACATCCTTTCCGGTGGCTGTTTGCTGATGGCAAGCTCCGAGAGGCTCTATATGAGACCGCTCAACGACCCCGGATAGTTTAGACTGATCATCATCTTCACACACTCTTGAGGCTTTTCTACAACTGTACCTAGGTAGTGTTTCGATATGAAAACACCGTTTCCCTTTCAGGCACGATGGGCGAGGTCGCTCCCATATTCTGGCAAGTCCACCTGGTGAGAAGCCACGAAGCAAGACAAGAGAAACCGTGAGTCTGAGTATTAAAGATACATGTGCGAGAGAAGAGAAACTATGGGTTCGAGTATTCAAGCCACATGCGTGAGAGAACACGCGAGTATTTACCGTAAGGTCCGTATAGCTAGTGATCTAACGACTAGGATATCACTACTCTGCGCATGCATAGCTGGATGAGATGGCCTAAGAAAGCATAGAGATAGATGTGACCTGATGGCAGTGGCATTGAAGGGCGCAGAGCCATGATGTGAGGATTGTGATGCGGAAATAGGACCTGGAATTTCCAGACAGTGCGATCGAGTCACTCATAGTATTGTACACTGCTGACGGGCTGACGGGAACGTTGGAAAAGTTTGCGGTTTACTGAATGGGAAGCAATTCAGATGAGACAGGTCCTGGTGGACTCACTTTGAGTGTCCTTGATTTGCCAGCTTTGGTTAGCATTGAGTCTGCCGTCGGAGTGGGCTGACATGCTCACGCCATTTCAACTTTAGCAGGGGCTTTTCTGACTTGCAATCTTCACCAATCCGGGGTCGTCTTCGAGATAGATCTGCACAGTGACAATATTCCAATTGGAATTGCAAACCTGGACAGCACTTCCTAATGATCACAAGCTTGATAACTCCTTTGCACCTCACGAGCCAAGCAAACAAAGGATACCACCGACCTTGAATTTTGTTCAAAAGGAAAGGCATTGAAAAGAAATCCTAGCGTAAAGACGCACCCCACCTAAACACGGGGAGCCTGGGGAGGAGGGCTTTTGGTTTTGGTAGTGTCTCATATCGCGCATCGACCTGTCGTTGCTCACTCACAGCTGCTGAGACCTGATTCTGTTCGTCATGTCGTTCCTCATTCTGTTTCCCTGGTTGGTAGTTGTTTCGGTGTTGGGTTGAACGGGGCTTGCGCCTGGCTTCTCACCAAGCATTCCGGTCCCAATTCGGATCTATGTGTGCTTGGGGTCAGCTTCTCTCGGTCGGCCGCATCGCTACTCTGATCATACCTTGTATGAAAGCCCCAAGAACTTTGCTCCCCGTCTGCAGCAGTGGATGTCCCACCACAATTTGCAGAAAGCGCTGCAATCCTTCTCTCCTGTGCTCAATTACATCGTCCGAGAATCTGTTTGTGAAGACTTTGCCTGGTAATGGAGGAATTGTGACTCTAGCGCTCTCTCGCTCGAGGATGTCGCGGAAGTACTCGAAGTCGGAATAGCGGCGGCGGACGACAGAGTGACGCAATTTGAAGGCGGGAATGTTGGTACGTGTATGGATCTCGTAGGAGGTGTACATGTTCCGCGGGGAGGAGCCGTGAGTCTGTGGGTTCTTGACCTGATTAGATCAAATGTCAGTATCGTTCTGAACGGGTGTGCCGGGCCGTGTAACTACAAGCGAACGAAGTTCGCCCCATACTGTCCACCAGAGGCAATGAGGGCTCGGCGTACTTCTATCTCTAGGAAGTTTTCTGGAGGACCATAGATCTCCTCGAAAGTCTGTTGACGCGACTCTGGTAAGGCCTGCATGACTGTGGGGTTTGCAGAGAGGGACGCGGGCAGCTGAACAAGGTGATGTGTCGCGTGCGTTGGCCGGGGTGGTGGTGTTATGTGTCGATACCCTTGTGTGAAAGATGTGATGAAGGAGTCTGCGGGATAGCTGTTTGTGCTGACTGTCACTATGGACGTGGTTTGCTTCTTGTCCTCTGTCACTCGAGGCTTCCTGTCGTCGAGAAGATTCCTGCCCGCGCCTGACAGTCAGGCAAGTGAGCCTGATTGGACAGCAGCTGCCCCGCATCAAAGCCGGAATCACTTTAGTGTGCCAAGACACAGTAGCCGTTTCGGGACGTTTAATGTACAACTTTTCTTACGTGAAGTTTTCTTGCATGCGAGAGATCGCCATTCCTCTCCCAAGTACACCCGCCAGATATGTCGTCAAAAAAGCGGAAGAGGGATATTGGCACTGAGCCAGGGAAGACCACCATACCGAGTGAGCAAGCGGCCCGCCACTTGTCAAAGAAGCGAAAAAGAGAAGTGGACGTCGAGCTTGTCAAAGTCTACAATGATCTTGCAGACGAGCAGGAAAATGTCCGCCTGGCGGCCGCCCACACCTTGCTGACCAAAGCATACAAGCCTGGAGTCACCAGCAACGAGCAAACCAAGACGATCTTGACCCGACTGTTTCGCGGCCTTTGCAGTAGCCGGAAATCAGCTCGCCTGGGCTTCTCGATTGCTCTCACCGAGCTCCTCTCTCAACTCGCGTCTACTCGAGACTCATTGCAAAATATACCTGTATCGGCCATCATCGACATCTTTGAATCTCAAAGTGCACCGGAGAAAGGCACTTCCGGTCAAGATGAGCGCGATCATTACTTCGGGCGAGTCTTTGGTGCGGAGGCCATCTTGAAGTCGGATCTTCTCTTTCAGAAAGGGAAAGAAACCCATTTCGATCACTTACTTGAGCTGCTCTGCAGCCTAGCTCACAAGAAGCCATGGGTTCGGCAAGAATGTGGCTGGGTACTATACAGCTGCATCGCGCACGAACACAATAACTTGCCGGAGAATCTAGCAGTGCATTCGCTTGAGAAGCTGATCGCCGATAAGCTTATACGAACGCCCGAAGGAGTTGCTATATGGATTGCGGTAACAAGGCGGTTTCCCAAGGCGAGGCTGCCCGTATCGGCATGGAAGAGCCGTGACCCATTGGCGAGAAAAGATGTCAAGGTTCTTGCTGATATTCTCAAGGACGCACGGGCCCAGCAAGGCCCGCAAAGCTCAGAGTTGAGCGCTCAAGGCTCAGCTAGATGGTCCGCTAATCTTCACTTTGCCTGGGATGTGGTTCTTGCAGAAGTCTTCAGGAATTCACCAGGCACAGGGGAGAAGGGAGCTAATGGCAAGAAGCCCACGCCTGAAGGTAAAAAGCTCGCATTCGATGAGTTCTGGAAGACTGTCGTCGACGAGAGCCTTTTCGCGGAATCAGCCAGCGCGGAACGCAGGGCTTGGGGTTTCGGCCTGTGGAGGAAGGTGTTTGAAACAGCGCCTCGGGAGGTTTTGCTCTACACATTCACTCCACAAGCGACCCGGCGCCTAGCTGATGCACTCAAAGGCTCAGAGCGGCTTCTTAAGAAGTCCGCAGAGAGAGTGACTCAAAGCGTTCAACGCCGGTTAACAGATCCTGCGCCCTGGCCCGATGCTGGGATTGTCGCCGCTTCTTACATGCAGGCTCTGCTGCAAAGTGTCTCCTATGGCGACTTTGACCAAATGACCAAGTCCAAAACTCTGCACAACTTGATTGACGCCGTAGGCCCATTTGTGCTTGGCCATGCCAACTCCGCCCTTGACAAGCTCGTGACAGAGATGTCTCCGAAAGAAGACGGCAAAACCACCTTATCTCTACAGAAAACGGTGGTTGCGATACAGTGGAAGATGGTTTCGCTTAGGCTTCGACAATGGGAACAAGCGCAGTGGACAAGCTCGGGCGAAATTGAAGAAGATGACTGGACTCTGGTTATGGGGATATTCAAGTCATGGCTTAGAGAAGTCTGCGTCTCATCAACTGCAATCAATTCCACCAAGACGCTCGACTTTCAACTAATTCTCCAGCCACAGGCTCGCCATTTTGCGAAAGAACGTCTCGATCTAGGCTTCGAGCAAGCACTCAAGCTTGGATCGCTCGGGTCCCAGGTTTTGCAAACTGTTCTTTCCCATGTCCATCATCTAGAGACCCTGGGAATAGACATGGCCACCTCCTTCGCCGATGATGTCCAGGAAATAGTGCAGACCGCCTGGCAAAAACTGTCTGCTACTGCGCGGGAAAGCAGAGAGACCTCAGCGGCTGAGCAGACTACCTCGATTTTACGGACAAGTCAAGCCCAGGTCCCATCATTGTCGTTCTATGAAGCCTTGCGACTGCTGTATTGCATGCTGCTGTTTCAAATATATAGCGGCGAGACGGAGGCAGTCCAACTCTTACAGGAGGTGCTTGAGTATCATGGTCAATGGGATGCGAGACAGCCCAATGGTCAGTCGCCTATTGACAGAAGAGAACCGGCGGATGCGTTTGTGGAAATCCTCCTCAGCTTCGCGTCTAGACCATCCAAGTTGCTGAGGCGCATTACAATCCAGAGTTTTGAAGCTTTCGCGCCGAATCTTACCGGCGATGGCCTCGAAGCTTTGTGTCGGGTTCTTGAAACAAAAGAGAATCTGTTGGGTCAGCAAGAGATGTTTCAAGCCGAAGATGTTGACATGGTTGACGGCGAAGCATCCGACACGGACTCAAATGTCGACGGACTCGATTCTGACGTGGAAGTCGAGTCCAATCCAGCATCCGAGGGTTCTGACAAGGACACGGACAACGAGTCAGGCTCGGACGAAGAATCCGTTGGTGAAGAGGAGGATGAGGAACTTGCAAAATTCGATGCCGCGCTCGCTTCGGCCTTGGGGACCCGTAGCCTCAACCAGGATGACCTCGCAGCTGCATCAGACACCTCGTCCGACGAGGATATGGACGATGACCAGATGATGGAGCTGGACATGAAGCTCGCCGAAGTGTTCCGGGCCCGCAACGAGCAACATCCGAAGAACAAGAAGAAGGATGCAAGAGATGCCAAGGAAAACATTGTGAATTTCAAGAACCGTGTCCTGGACCTCATCGATTCGTACTTCAGGCACCAGCAGCAAAACCCCTTGACCATCGACTTGCTCCTGCCGTTACTGAAACTTGCAAGAACGACCCATATCAAACAACTGGCTGAGCGCTCTTGCAATATCATTCAGCAATTCTGCTCACGGTGTAAAGGACCTAATGCTCCTGAGCTTCAGTCTGGTTCTCAAACACAACATGCAGTTGACGTCCTTGGGTCGCTTCACGAGGAAGCAGGCTTTGAATCTTCAAATGCGCATTCAAATGTGGCCAGTTTGTCCAGCATACTCGTTGTGAAGGCACTGGTCAAAGCCGATCAAGCGAATACTAAGACTGTTGTCGACGTGTATGCTTCTACGAGAGTAAAACAGTTGACAAGTAAGAAGTGCCGGATACTACCTGGGTTCTTCACAGACTGGAACAATTGGTGTCAGACTGCTAGAGAAAAGCTGGCGAGGTGAAGATTCAAATGCCAACGAGGCACCAAGCCGGCGAGGCACACAGAGTCACAAAGTCCGGGACAACGGTATATGGAACGTGGCTGCCCACATCTCGGAACGGCCTCATTCTTGAATCAGCGAACAAGACCTGGTCCGCTCTTTTGGAAACTGGATCTAGATGCAGAGAACAATATCGACGACTTCCGACCATGTAATATCGCGAGCAAATGGAATCCATGATCAGCTGCACGGCTGCAGAGAGCTTGGCGCCGTAAATCTTAATGACACTAGCCAGCGGGCTGGTGGAGGCTTAGCCCGCCATCCGGTCAGTCAATCAATGCCATTGCCGTGCAGACACCCTCAGCGCAACTTCTGCAAACTCCGCATTGAGCAGTAGCGTAGAATCGATGCTGAAACGAACACGTCGTCAAACTGCCATCAACCTGATTGGTCAGAGCTTCTAGGAGATGAGTCAGGCTCTCGAGGAAGGAAGTCCCAATAAAGCCCAGTGAACGCTCGGCTGCTTACTACTCAACGCCAAGACCACATTCATCCTTTTTCCCTTCTGGTCACCGATCCATGATGCCTTTCACGTCTCCTTACCACGGTAGTCAACCACGTCGACGGCCAGTCAAGCAGCGTGATGCCGGTTCGTGAATTGCCCAATATTTTGAGCTGCTTGGCTGGAGCGCCTACGCGGACTGCGGGGGTGGGATCGTCAGTACGCCGCACGTCCACAATTTGGGCGCGGCTCAAGCTGTCCAAACTCTTACAGCCTCGTCTGATGCGTCCCGATCGGGCATCTCATGGACGCTTAGGCGAAAGCTTACTGATATGCATGCGTGCTGCGCGAGTACCCGCCGAGCAATGTAGCCTTGGTGGGCATGGATAGGGGTTTCGGCTGCGACCAGTACCATTATCCGGTTGTTCCTCATCAAAGGCCCTGTTCCTGCTGTACGCGTTGGGCTCGTCTCCAAGCCGTCACGCCACGAGCTTCACCATAAACTCTTTCCGCTTTGTCTGTTGTTTTCTGTCCAGCACCCTTCCTTTCGAGTTGTGTAACTTGCCACAAGGAACGCAGCATTTCAAGTCACAAGCTCGCCTCTTTCGAATGCTCCGATAATTCTTGATATCGCCTGAGCCGAGTCCGAATCCGACGAACTATACATCGACAACCCACATGGCGGACTCACAGAAAGAGTCTGTGCTGAAGAGGCTCAACGACAAGCTGAGGTTGAAGCTGAACCTTGCCGTGCTACTGATGATGTTTAAGTATGTCGTTCAATGCCAGAGCTCGAACACCGCACAGCAAATTCGTCTCCGCAACATGGGAGCATGCCCTCAATTCCAGCCAGACACTTCCGCAATGCATCTAACAGATCATCGTTAGGGGAGCTGTTGCGCCGACAATCGGACTCGCAATGTACGTTTCACCCGAGGGACAGTGGATTGACGAGAGCTCACTATTTCAGATATCAAGCTAAGACTGTGTCGGACCACTACTCAACCATCGGCTATCTCATCCCTATCATGTCACTTTTCGTCGTCCCCATCCTACCACGGGCCAGGTTCTTGCAGAACTTTCTTGTTACTTGTGTACGTCCCTTGTCAACAAGCACCGAGATGGCCCATGACTCAGTGTATCGTAGTTTCTGACCTGTCTTGCGGCGGGAATATCCCTCCTCTACATGTGGACTGCCATCAAGGCCCGTCAGAACACCACCCACATATCCGCAGAACCACGAAGCAATGGACCGGTGCCACATGCACAAATTGTGCCATACAATGCGGCGGCGAGTGCCTGCCTGGCGGTCTGGTTCTTCTTCTGGCTCTGGGCTTACAATACGTTGGTCTCTCCACGAGGGCGTCAGGCCGAACGAGGTTGCATGTGCTGACGATGTGGGCAGTTTCCGCGCCTTTCGACCACAGTACTTCCTCCCCCTGATTGTCTTCGGTATCTACATCAACATCACATCTCTCTATGGAGCCATCTTTCCAGAGATGGAACAAGCTTACTCCCTCAGTGTGTACGGCCTCCATCAACAAGTGACTGGCTGACTGTCTGATCCTAGCACGACATCTCCTTGATACATTCTTCGTCGGCTTCGGTCTGGCTTTTGCCGTCCACTTTGTCATTTTGCCCATCACCTCGATGGATTTAGTCAGCCTTACTCTGAACGAATATCTCCACGTCCTCAAAGGTGTCATTGACGCGAAAGGAGCGTTGCTCGTCTCTCTACCTTCTCGGGACTGGAACAACACAGGCAAAGCAAGCAGCGTTGAGAGTGATAGTGATGCTGGAGAACCTACTGAGCGCCTGACGCCCTGGCCCGAAGCCGACAAGTGGAAAGCGCTTACGGCACAAGCCACCGAATGTCAGATCAAAATCCAGTCGGAGATGCGGTACGTCAAGCGTGAAGTCACCTTCAGCAAATTGTCTGGGAAGGACTATTCCTGTATTTCGAAGTTGCTGAGAAACATCCTCATCGCTATTTCCGGAACGGGTACGGCCATCCAGGTCAATGACCGAGTTGAAAGGCAAGCCGGATGGACATCAGTCAGGACTTACAAAAATGGGTCCGACTCCGAGCTGTCGGATCGATCACCGAGCGACGCAGAAAAGGAACGATGGAGTAGGCTGTTCAGCCAGATTGACCCGGCCTTCAAGCTCTTGTGGCAAGCAATGATTGAAGGGCTCGACTATGCGTTCTACACTTTGCGAATCACGAAGAAGCCGGCATTCACCACAGCAGAAGAACTCGAGACCCGAGGGGCCGAATCACCGGGAGGCAAGGGCTTCGCGAAGTATCTTGAAAATACAATCCATCACTTTCTGGTCGAGCGAGAAGGGCCTTTGAAAGACTGGTGCCGACTGAACGGCATGGAGGAATCTCAGGTGGCAAACAAGGCTGCTCATCAGCGACATATATCGCAACTGTACCTGTTGCTCGATGTGAGTGGTGTCGTGTTCGTTATAAGTTTGCGCTGACCTTTTCAAAGATTGAATACTGCGTTGTTGCCACCGCAACAGGCATTCTCGACCTCGTACGATTCGCCGATTCAAAAGTCGAAGATGGCACAATGAAGAAGAAGCGGCTCATCGTCCCCAGCTGGAAGCACTGGAAAAAGTGGGCATGGGCAATCATTCTCCGTGAAGACAGCAATCTGGACTACGCTGCGTACGCCTACCGAAGCGGCACGCCAACCGTGTACTTGGGAGACGCGTTCGGCGTACATCGCGACCCGGAGCATCTCTCCCCAGCAACGTGGTGGGAGAAGACCACCAACCATATCCGACTGATACCTCGACTGTTTGGCTCACCGGAATCGTGGTTCGGCTTTAAAGTCGCCACGGGGACCATGGTCGTTGCGCTTTCGGCCTTTTTACGGAACTCCCAAGAGTTCTACATCAAGCAGCGCATCATCTGGGGGGCCATCATGGTGGCCATTTCCATGACCCAGACGGCCGGGTCAGGCATGTACGGACAGTTCGTGAGAATCTTTGGCACGTTCCTCGCCATGGTCTTCTCCTACATCGACTGGTACCTGGTCAACGGCCACACGGCCGGGGTGATCGTGTTTGTGGGTCTCACCATTTTTGCCTACCACTATCTCATGGTCACGAAACCGAACGACCCCGTCATCCCCATGATCGGCATGATTACCGTCATGTTGATCGTGGCCTACGAGCTGCAGGTCAAGCAGGTCGGCGTCAGGGTCTCGGAGTCGAACGGCCAGCTCTTCCATCCGGTCTACGAACTGGCGCCTTACCGATTGGCGTGCGTGCTCGGCGGCGTCGGCGTCGCCTGCCTGTTCACATACTTTCCCAGCGTGACGACCGCGAGAAGCGAAATGCGGCGGGACCTAGGAAACACACTCCACTTGCTCGGGCAATATTACAGCTCGTCACACAAAGCCGTGTCCCTCCGACTAAAGGGTCAGCAAGGGGGTATTCACGACAAGAGGAGCCCCCTTCGGAGGCTGGAAAGGGCTCGGACCCAGCTGTTCGCAAAGGAACTGATCCTAATTCAAGCGATGCAGAACCATCTAAAGTTCATAAAGTGGGAGCCTACGTTTGGCGGGCGATTCCCCAGGGAGCTCTACGAACGGCTATTGACGCACACCCAGAAGTGAGTACACACATCAGTCTTCTCTTCCTTGAATCCGGAACGTACTGTACAATGCTAACCGTCTTTACAGCATCCTGCGCTACACGGCGATGATCTCATGGACGACCAAGACGCTCCAGGACCTGGCCCCGTCTGACACATCTTCGCGCGACAACGGCGACGGCGACCACAACAGCACCTGGCTCAAAGACTTCCAACAACTCATCTCCTCCCTAGAACTCACCTCCCAGACCCACAGCGTCACGTCCCTCCTCGCCATCCTTTCCGGCGCCATCGGCACAGGCCAACCCCTCCCCCCGTACCTCAGAGCTCCCGAAAGGTTCCACTTCGGCGAAATGCTCTCCTCGTTCGACTCGGAGATCCTAAGTACCAAACACGTCTGCGAACCAGGGTACAGTGCCTTTGCCGTCATGCAGGTCAGCACCACGATGCTGGGCGAGGATCTGGCGGATCTGTTGGCAGACACGAAGAGGCTGGTCGGCGAGGCGGAGTTCAGTCTCGATGGAGATGTCGTGGCGGGGGACTATGAGAAGGATGTCGGCGTCGTGCCTGCGGATATTCGGGAGAAGAGGGAGTGAGGGGCCGAGAATGGAGACGGGAGGACGAAGAGTTACGGGAGAAGAGGATTGAAAAGACAGAAACGGAGGCAGGAAAAAAAACAGGAGCGGACGGAAGAGAGTAAAGGGAGGAATAAGAGCAAGGGAGAAAGTCTAATGGGTGCGAGTGGTGCGAGTGGTGCAAGTGGTGCAAGCGGATCGAAACACCAAACACATAACATGGACATCGACGAGGAAGGCGGGCGATCTACCCATGGGTACTGTATCCGAGCGTGCACTGCTTGGCTCCGGCTTGCAGCAGCCATGGAATGTATATCATGTAGTGACCGTCACATAGGAGAAGATTGACATACCAGAGCACGAGGAGATGAAACCACAAACGACCACGACGGGCCATTTCTCGGAGGTAAACAGTATCGTCGGTCCCATGAGCGTCAGAGCATGTGGCTCCTTAGCTTAGGGCAGCCATGATGTGTATGTAGTGAATGTTCTAATAGAAGATTGATACACCAGAGCAGGACGAGATGGTACTATACAGTACATGGCAGACCATTCCATATCACAGGCAGATAGTACAGCATCGGGGATGGATACGGAGTAGAGATCCTGCCTCTTCAGCATCTTTGCTTAGCACGGATGGGAATGATCTGGTCGGACGTGTACGGATTCAGATACCTCGACTCGTTCCTGTACGTGAGAGAAACTCTGCGGGTGGACTAGTACGCAGAAAGTTATAGAGTCCGAGATCTCGGACTAACCACCGTGCATGGGTGGGTGGTCTCATGAGATTGATGGTGTTGATACGATTCCAATAACCTATACTAATCCAGCCTACCAATGCAGTCTGTTATAGATGCTGCTGTTGTGCTATAGCTCAAGCGTGTGCCATTCAGCATCGGCCATTTCCGCCTTCAGGACCGCATCCACGTCCATCTCCTTCACGACACTGTCATCCAAGAATTTCAACCCGTCATTGGCTCGGCCGCCGCACGCCTGTCCCAGAGTCAAGAATGCAAAATGACCTCCCACGACTGGTCGAGCGAAGAAATTCGGCCCGGGAAAGTCTCCTTTCCCTTCTGTCTGATGGAGATCCGTGAACGGCCGGTCTGTCACGGTCTCGTTCACCCACTTTGCGACCGACTGCAGAATCTCAGCTCGCACTTTGGGCGCGGCAACGGCCATGGCGAAGAACTCCCAATCGGTCTTGGTGTACAAGTGCCTTGAGTCGAGGGGCAGGCCGTACTTTTGTCGCACTGCATAGTACCAGTCGCTTTGCAACTGATAGATATGTTTGGGGACGAAGCCATCCTTGTCCCCGGGAATAGATTCCTTCAGCGGCTTCTGATACTCCAGGCGTCCCGCGATCGACGTCTTGCTGGCCGACGAAGAGTTGTCCCCGAGGTGGAAGCACAGCAGGCTGTCCGCGTATAGGTTGTAGGTGGTGGTCCAAGAACCATACCAGTTGTAGGCAACCTTGGCATGGGTCTTGTCTCGAGAAATGCCATATTCCTCCCATTTTGCAATGTAGACCTTGGAGATGTTGTTGTACACCTTGACGTCTTCATGATACCCGGCGATCTCGGCGATTCCGGCCATGGCTTTGATACCAATGATGCCCTTGAGTGCCAGGTTGGTTTGCAGCGCCAGCCAGCCGGCAAAATCGTCCGTGGACAGCTGATTGTGGGGCAACAAGGCAAATTCAACCAGGTAGCCTGTCCACTGTTTCCATAGACGGTAGCTCCTGTGCACCCACTTTTGGGCTTTATTCGGGCTATCCGGCTTACCAGCCCAAGCATTGTCAATGTAGAGGACATCACCGTCCTTGCCTACGGACAAGGGGGCAATGTTTCCTGACAGGGCCGTTGGCACAGGAACACCAGACATGGGCTGCCATGCAGCAGAGGCAGACCAGCCCTCGCCATTCTTCAGAGCATTGGCCAAGGCCAGACCCATGATGAGAATGTTTCCACACTCTTCCACCGGCATGTATTCGTCTTGTCCCAGAGGATGGCCAGTGGCATTCGGGAAATGAAAGCCCAGGTCGTGCATGGCATACTTGTTAGGGTATTGCCCGCTCAACATATGCTCAATTAGCGGTTCAAGGAGGTATCCAAGCCACCGAGGGTTGGTGTACAGGAAGAATGGGAAGGCCGGAAAGATTACATCGATGGTCTGGAAGTTTCCATTCGAGGAAATCTCCTTTAAGAACAAGATCGGATCTTCGGGCGTGCCAGAGAAGCTCGTCGCACCAAGCACTTGGCGCGCAGACAGGGCCACGATGTCCACATAGTCTTCAGCACCAGACTTGTAAGCGTCGACAGCTAGTTGTGCCGAGTAATTTGCTGCTAATGTACTTGCGTGGTGAAAGTCGAGATAGTGGAAAGTGAGAACTTCTTGGACAGTGGGGAAGTAAGACTCCCAGAGAGGTCGCATGTAGGTCAAGCCTCGAGCCGCCGCGTACTGGACCACTGGGTCCTGAACGTGCGCGATGGTGAATGTGACGCTCTGATGGTGGTGCGAAGTATGCGTGCTGTTCAAGGGAAATGCCTTCACAAAGGCAAATACCGGTTCCTCGTCCATGATGGAGCGGAAATCCTGGTCGACTCGGTCTTCCAATGTCCCGAACCTGGCAAAGTGCTGCCTCAGTCTAGCCGATACACCAGCCTCGTGGCGCACGTCGGAAGGCGCTGAGAAGTAGAGGGTGCCCCATTCAGAACGATCTTGGAACTCGGTAAAGAGCTGCTCCACGGCCCTCTTCACTTTCCACGTCTTGAAGCCGTGGGATGTGTCCTCCAAAGCTGTGTGATCGAGTCCCCAGACAATTTTACTGCCTCGATTACCGCTCACCCACTGACCGTTCACGTCGGTGTAAATGTCGACCGGCACGTTGCCTGACACGTAGACAGTGACGTAGCTCGCAGGGATAGACTGTCTGACAGTCGAAGTGGGGGTTATGGGCGACAGGAAAGAAATGGTAATGTCGACATGACTGGATTCCGAGTAGAAAGCTGGGAGCGGGAGAGAGTAGGACAGATTGGTCGTCGAGGCATCATACGTAGCGCCGTGATAGATCGGGTAGGCAATCGTGTAGCTGCACTCAGATCAGATCCAGATTCTAGAGGTAGGGGAGCAGGACCGTACTTCTGATCCTTCTTGGGGAGAGAATCTTGAGGCCTTCCCAGCAAAGGATACGCCGTCCGTTGTTCCGACACGCTGGCGAGGATGGAGAAGCCAATCTCCTGGCCCGTCCAGAACATAGGCCATTTCTCCCACGGCGGATCTCTCGCGTTGCCCAGCCATGTGCTCAAGTACGGGTTCCGCACAATCAGCGGCAGCACTGGAGGGGTCAAGCGCGAAGACTCGACCAAGGAGGGGACGGCAGCAGCCAGAAGCGCCAAAGCGGAAACCAGCCGCATGATGGGCCACAGCAGATGAAGAACGGCCTGCTTCAAGCCAAACAACTTAACAATAAAGTGCTTGAAACCAGCGAAGAATGGAGGAGCTGCCCGAGCAAAAAGAATGAAAGCCGATTGTCTCGTGTGGGCGGAGGCCAGGTGCTGATGGTCAGCCGATCAAGCTGCCTGCAACACCATCCACACCGTCGCTGCTTCTCCAATCACGCCATGACGGCATCGTGAGTGCGTGACCAGTCACCGCAGATCCCTCGGCAGCCCCATGTTACGCTATGCCTGTTCCTATCATTTACCCAGGCTGTCTGTGGCCAGCTCGTCGCTTGCTGAGGTGGTCCAGCCTAACACGAGGTCAGGGTTACCAAAGGGTACTTGACGAGATCGGAGCTGGTGGCGTCCACGTCGCGCATCCGTTGTCGAATGTGCAACTCGCCAAAATAATATTGAGAGGCCCCAGTAACGGAGGACTTGAGAATGGTAAAGTGGTATCTCCATTCTTCCATATGCAGGTGACAAGTGGCAGTATTCTATCAGGACTACTGCGCATCCGCCGCTCTTACCTGAACATATCTGTCCGCAGACATATATGCGATAATAAAACGCGCACCTCTTCACAGATAACCCCGTCCGCCATCTAGGATGTCGAGCAATAATGCAAGAACCATCCTCGGTACCAATCTGATCAGCCCCTCCTCACATCCCATCGGTGTTGACCACTCCACTGTCGCGTAGAGTTCCGCGTCTTTGTTGCCATAAAGATCGTGGCTGTCATGGTCACCAGGCTTCCCCTTGGAATCAGGTCAGGAAGGGCGGCTGACGAGGATTTCTGAGGTGGATACCTAGCGGCTTCCCCTTACTCTCGCTTGTCTGCTCTTCCGTAACGTAATGCCCCTATCATTATGTCCTCGAGCCTCAAGGTACTGTAGTCGAGTCGTCCATCAGACTCTCTCAGTTGTCAGGATCGCCACACTAACCATCGTCGACTGTGCTGTCGTCCTTCTGTCGACCTCTTCATGACCAGAGAGCCCGGCTTTCGGCTAAAGCCGGGCCTAACATAGAGCTTGGCTGCAGCAAGCAACGACTTCGAGTTGGCTGTTGCAGTTGCAGTTGCTGTTGCCAAGCGAGGTGTCGACTGCGAATGAGCGTTTGAAGCCACTGTAGGTCGTCATCCCGGAACTGCTCTCTCCTACGACCCGGCATGTGGCCAGGTGGTTTCAGAGGTGCAGGTGGTTGGCGGCTTAGGCTTTCGAACGAAAAAAAACACATCGCGAAATCCCATGACTTAGTTTCAGCCATATAGCTCGCGTGAGTTCATATCTTGCATGACATCGAAAAGGAGCTGTGTATTCACCCGACAGCCGGGTTCCGAAGACCGTGGCAGTGCAAACCCCGCAGCAAGTCGTGCTTTGATCTCCTCCATTTCTGTGGGCGTAGGGTGATATTGATCAATCATCATTTTGGCTACAGAGCATTGAATAGTATTTCCATCGTCCGTCAGTGGTGGTCCATCCGACGGGTTGGCAAAGGTATCACAACAGAAGGGGATCTCCATAGACTCTCTGTCATCAAGCCGCAGGCTCCAGCCCTCCAATGTCGGTGACATATCAGCGGTCAAGGGTAAATCCATCGCATTTGTCGATGGAGCAGCCATGAATGGCACCGCATGTTGGTTGCCAAACGCGCCAGGAGCATCCATGGGCAAGACGGGAGCAGATGGGCAAACCTGCGAGGAAGCCGAGGTCGGAGGACAGCACTGCCCGGGGCTCGTTGACTGTGTTATCGTATTCGTGGTATCTGATTGTTCGCCTGAGAAAGGCGGCTGAAACTTTGGTCTGATTTGACGGTGCGCAGCCGCAACAGCTTGACCGGTCTCGTTCTGGCGGCCAAATGCCTCGACAAAATCAGGATTGATGCCGGCAGCATTTAAAATATCGCGCAACCGTGCGTTTTCGACTTGTAGATCGTTGAATGCAGAGCGCTGTAGCTCGGCCTCGCGACAGTTGGTATGGCACTCTTTGACCCTTCTTTCTAGATCAGCCAGATACTCCTGCCTGCGGGCCCGACTCCGACGCTGGTTGTCACGGATTCGTTCCTGCTTCGATTTGGGCGCGGTGGACGCGGAAATTGCACTGCCGTCGAACGCCATGCCTGGCGGGAATCGACATGTCGATGACAGCGGGGCTACTTATATGCAGACAGCATGACAGCAGCATTGATGTGAAAGTTTACTTGCTGGCAAAGGCTGAAAACTGAGGTCACAGTGATATGTCAATCCGGCGCTGAGTAAAAGCTAAAAGCCATTGGCGGGGCAGTTACGGGGTAAAGACGACCGGGGGGTGCTATCGGTGACGCGTCAGTAGCAATGCCAGTTCTGGTTATCCCTCTTCAACCCCGTGAGGGATGGAAAAGGGTGGAGGGCACGAGGCGTGGAAACAGAGACCCCATCGTGAGCAGCATCCGAAAGGAATCACATGGGGAGCTCGAGCGGAGCAGACGAGACTGAGCATCATAGGTGCGTGAAGCTTAACAGCCAGATCCACGATAAATAGTTGGAGCGGCGTGCGTGAACTCCAGAAAGCCAAGGGCCACTGAAAGCGCTTGGATGCGCCGCGGAAATCGTGGCTTGTAAGTTAAGCTGGCGGAGGGGAAAGACCATGAATGAATCCGGCAGGTGATATGAAGTTCGCGACAAGGAAGGTCGATGATTCTCGCGATAGAGTTTACAGCACAGGCGGTTGACTGCTGTGTCCGGACCATATCCAAGACGGACTCGGCTACCATCCGGATATCACAAGTAAATCAAGCTAGAGTTAAGGCTACCTCCCCGCCGTCAAGGGCAGATCACCGAGGTTGCAGAATGCGAGGTACAGACTGAAGAGTACTCTTACACAGTACTGTAATGTTCTTCGTGGCTTCTTCCGCAACGGTCCCTGCAGATCTCGAAGGTGGCCACTGCGTTCGCCACCACCATGAGACTCGAGTCTACAGAGTATACTTTGGGAAAGGTCGTGCGAGGCGTGTACGGGTACCAAAGACTGTGCAAACCACCCGTTAGTTAGGAGGGAGTCAATTCAATCTGCTCAGTCTTCGCAGGCGGAAATCCCGCAAACGTTGCTCGTCCCGCGCTCCAAACCACTCCCATGAGCCGCGCCTGCTCCTCAAACGGCAGTCTTCCTCTTTCCCAAGACGCAATGGCCCCTCTTCTCAGAGAAGGCACCGTGTCTTCGGCTTTATTGTCGGGACCTTTATTTGTCAAAGCTGTGGTTAACCCTCAGGGAGTCGTCCGCTTGAACAACTACTAGTGGGGGCCGTTCACCGAATCACGCTCGACGCTCGCTGGTTGCCCTGATAATAGTCTTTCACACGAGGCTCAATTGATAGACGATGCTGCTGTCCTGCCTGTAGGCAAAGTGCAACGCTGTGCTGAGAATGGATCCAAGGAGGTTGACGTCCGCCCTCCAGCTCGGTGCATCTGTTCAACCGACTCTCACACCTCAGCACAATCTCATCCTTAGGAGGAACGACCGCGCCTTCTTGGGGCCACGAAGTCAAACTCTGAGCTTCAATCACAGACACACTTACCAACAACAGTCTCATGGCGCGCGCGATCGGAAGATCGCGCCGGAATCTCACGTGTCGGCGAACGTGCTCTCAACCTTCCTTCCTCCACATGCTGACGCTTTCTGGCTTTTCCGTGAGAGTATCAAGGCGTGCAGGTCGAGTTAGGTTCTACGCAGTCGGTACGCTCCGACGATTAATGGTTGCAGGCAGGTCTGCTGCACATCTACATAATTCAGTCGATGATCGGGATGCATCTACCGTACTCAAAAGTGAATAAAAGTGCTGGTACGGACGAAGTTTGCCAAGAAGAAGTGAATGGTAAGTGTCAATGAAGAAGGCACATATTCCTGCTTCGCAGGTCGATTTCGAATGGCTGCAAAAACTTTTTCCCTTGAACCATCATCCACATTATGCTGCGGTGTTGGATCGAAGTTAAGTGAAACCTTTTCTGTCCGATTAGGACAGCAGGTTTTTCCCGCAAACGATTCTACGAGGGTTGTGACAATCCCATCCCCCAAAGTGCCCATTAACTGTGAAACCGCATGGCCAAGAAGCGGATGACTCTGTCCGGGATTGTCAGGACAAATCTGCTCTCTGAAATATATATGCCTAAAAACGGAGCAATTTATTCGATTGGTGTGAAAGGTGAAGTCGGCGAGGCTGGTGGCGAGGCTGATAATGGTGAAGGCACCACAGACGAGGTCACATTGAGGGATGGGAAAGGCTGGAAATGAACACGGACAACGGCCACAAGCCTCTCGGGGATGACTTTGGCGCTCTCTTGAGGACGGCAGGACTGTACTACTCTACGAATGGCATAGGACTCTCACTAGCAGTGATCCAGCTATCTGGCGTGCTTACGCATTGGAAGAGACCCGAATCGTGGCAGCCATGGGGCCCTTGGCCCGACCTGGGTCCTCTTCAGGCGTGCCGAAGCATCGCAGTCGAGGATGTTACTGTCACTGCATAACACTCCGTTCTGGAGTAAAGTCTAGCATTAGCTCAGTTGATGTCCCATCGTTTCCCTATCTCTTCGGCAATTTATAGATTCAGTTCGACGGGTATTCCGGCAGCGCCAGGAGGCCTACAACTTGGACTGCCCACCACTCACACGCTTCAACTCCAAGGGGTCCCTCGCTTGCAGCCCATACTGCTTCAGCAACTCCCGGGACTTGGCCTTCTGCGCCTCAATCTTCTTCAACAGAGCCGCGCCGCGCTTGTTCTCGTTCCGTCCCAGCTGGAGCATATGCACCTCATCAGGACCATCCACGATCCTCATGGTCCGTCCGCTCGCCCACATAGACGCCAAAGGAGTCTCCTGCGAAACACCGGCGCCACCATAAGCCTGAATGGCACGGTCGAGGACGTCCAGGAGCATGTTGGGCACCTGGACCTTAACCTCGGCGATCTCCTTCAGCGCATCCTTGGCGTTGGACTGGTCGATTTTGATGGCAGCGTTGAGCACAGCCAGGCGAGCCGAGTCGATTTCAATGCGTGAGCGCGCGACACGTTCGAGCTGGATGCCATGCTCGGAAAGATTCTTGCCGAAGGGGCGTCTTGAGGGATCGTTCATGCGGGCAAGGAAATATTCCAGCGCTTTCTCGGCCTGGAGGAAGTGGTGGCCCGATCAGTGCAAGTCCAACAGCAGCAGTAGCAAGAGAACTGGAAGAAAAGTCACTTACAGCACCAACGGATCTCATCGCGTGGTGGATACGACCGGGCCCCAGACGGCCCTGGACAACTTCGAACCCGCGGCCCTCGCCGAGGACCATATTGCTCTTGTGCACTCGGACGTTGTTGAAACTGATATGGCCGTGGCCGTGAGGCGCGTCGTCAAAACCAATGACGGAGAGCATGCGCTCGATGGTAATGCCCGGGGTGTCTGCCGGCACGAGAATGACGGATTGTTGTCGGTAGACGTTCTTGTTGGTAGGATCTGATTTGCCCATGACGATGTAGATCTTGCAGCGGCGATCGCCAGCACCGCTGGACCACCATTTCTACCCATGTCGTCAGTCACACTGCTTCCAGACAAGACACCAATGCAGAGAACGAAACCACATACCTGGCCGTTAAGAACGTAGTAATCGCCGTCCTTCCGCATGTTCAGCTCGATATTCGTCGCGTCGCTACTCGCCACTTGCGGCTCCGTCATCAAGAACGCCGACCGGATCTCGCCGTTCAACAGCGGGCCCAGCCACTGCTTCTTCTGCTCCTCGGTGCCGTACTTTGCAAAGACCTCCATGTTGCCCGTGTCCGGGGCGGCGCAATTACACGCCTCGCTCGCGGTCGCGGACTTGCCCAAGTACTCAGCCATAAGGCCGTACTCGAGGTTCGAGAACCCGGCGCCTTCCTTGAAGTGGTTCTTGGGGAGGAACATGTTCCAGAGGCCCAGTTTGCGGGCCTTTGTCTTGAGATCTTCAATGACCTGCGGGTGCGAGTCGAAGCGGGAGACCGTGTCATGGCCCTTTTCGTTGATCTGTTGCGCGAAGACGGCGTCGGCGGGGACGCAGTCTTCCTCGACGAAGCGTTCGACCTATACATTGAGAATGTTGGTTGGTATCTTGATATGATACTTTACGGATTGTCCATGTCCTCTTCGCTTTTTGAAGGGGAGACCAGATAAACCATGGGTTTCATAGATTTGAGAGCTCTAGGGACAGTTCCTCCCCGCAGTTCTTCTGATTCCACCGTCTAGGGTCCTCTCCTCCTTTTATCGCCACATCACATGGGGAAGCGAATGCGAATTCAGAGCATCATTGAGACAAGAAGGTACGGGGCACTACTTACTAGGTCCAAGGTCTTCTTTGCCCGCTCGCTGACGAAAGGCCGGGCGATGACCGGGATCTTCTCGGAGGCGGGAATGTGCCCGGTGGCGCTGTTGAGGAGGTATGGGACCGACATTGTTGTGTGATTGATATGTTCTGAGCTGGGGAACGCCTCAAAGACAAGGATGGCCAAGTTATAGAAGACGGAGAGGTACACAGTCTGCAGCAATTAAATGAGGTCTGTGTCTAGATTTAGTGATCAGATCAATGTTCGACTCTAGCTTCGAGGCGGTTGTGACGGCTACGCTTCGCATGTTCCGATAACCGAGGCTACACCCTCCGAATCTGGCCACGGACTTCCGATTGCTTCGAGACAAAGTAACTACCCCGGATTATCAGGCTACTCGTCGTATGATCGCGCGTGGCTCTTCACACTGAAACAGCCAGCTCGGCAGGAGGCCGTTTTTAGTTACCAGTGCTCGGTGCTTAGTGCTCGGCGCTATGCAGCACGCTGTACCATGGCCTTACCGACGCTGAGGGCTGCGGCATGCCACATCTCGCCTCACGTTCTCTCCGCCGCGCGGACGACGCAGAAGACCATCACCTGCATCAAGACTGCAGCAAGACACTCCGCGAACCTGGTGGTGTTTCCTGAGTCTGCAATCCCTGGATTCCCGGTGTGGTCCTCGCTACTTCCGCCAACACACACTCACCATTTCTTTCAGCGCATGGTACACGAGTCCGTGTATGTCAATGGTGACGAGATCTCCCACATCCGCCAAGCAGCGCGCAGTGCCCGCGTTACTGTGAGTTTAGGCATATCTGAAAAAGTACGGTATAGCTCTGCAACGTTGTTCAACACGAACTTGATCATTGGAGAGGACGGGGAGATTCTGGTGCATCATCGCAAATTGGTGCCCACGTTCTACGAGAAGCTCACGTGGTCTCCTGGAGATGGTCACGGCCTACGTCTTGCTGAGACCAAGTATGGAAAGATCGGGGCCTTGATCTGCGGCGAGAACACGAATCCCTTAGCGCGGTATTCTCTTATGGCGCAGGGCGAGCAAGTCCATATCTCCAGCTGGCCGGCTATTTGGCCAACACGGCCTCTAGATGATGGCGCTAACGAGGCGTCGACCAAGAAACAAAGTCGCAATTATGACAATATCGCCGCGAACCGCACACGAGCGGCTGCGCACTGTTTTGAGGCCAAATGCTTTGGCATCATGAGTGCGGGCCACATCGATGAGGCAGCTATGAGCGAAATTGCCGGCATGACTGACGCGCCCGAGGCAATGCTGAGGAAGCTCGCAAGCTACCCTCGGGCGGCGACTCAATTTCTGGACCCGACCGGCAGGACTGTTGATGACTGCTTGGCCTTAGATCTTGCTACAGGTCAACAACTTGATGGACAGAGTGTTGTCATGGATAAGGAGGCGATCCTGTTTGCAGACTTGGATCTGAACGAGTGCATAGAAGGCAAGCAGTACCACGATGTTGTTGGAGGGTACCAGAGGTTTGATGTATTCGCGTTGCAAGTCAATCGCCAGAGACACGAGCCGGTACAATTTCAGGATGCGTCCCTTCACGACCCTGGAAAGGTCACTCAGAAAGGTTCCGGTGGAAAAGAGAGTACGAGGATCGAGTGACTTCCGGTGGAAGATCAGCTTGGCAGGTATTTGCTCCGTAAGTACTCCGTACCACGGTAAACACTCAGTCGATGCTCGTCCATCCGGCCTCGGATATTGGAGCTGCTTCGCGTTCAAGCATTGCTCCATTGCTTGCGGCGCGTCTTGCTTCGTTCAGAATGGCTGAGGTCTACTTCGATTTCTTTTGTGGAATGAGGGAGCAATGACAGCCCTGAGTGCCGAGGCACAACATCCAGCACGTAAATTTGATCCACGTGACTCTTTCGGATGCTGTGTTTTTCCGTCGCCGAGCCAAAATTTCCCTGCCGTTTTCTATCAAGTGACTGACTCGCAAGTCCAGTTTCGTTGTCGTCACTCGCTATTCGTACTCCGGAATAATCGTTTCGTTCCATTCTTTTCTTGTTTGTACAGCAGATTCGTATCCGAGGCTTTTCTTCACAGAACTGAACAGACCTTGACGCTGAACATACACCGAGACGTATGATTTTTCCTGCGGCGACGCCCAAGCCGTTCCCGGGTACCACGACCAGAGGAGAAGAAAACCTGATCACGCAACCCCGAGAAACTGGACAAGTAGTTCCACTCGGACACAATGGCAGTACGACGACGGTGACAGAAGACGGGCCCAAGGCCAAGCCATGGGCTCATTTTGTTGCCGGAGGGTATGCGCGCATGGAAGTAATGGGATTCCAGAAACACACTGACAGTGTATAGGCTCGGTGGTATGGCCGCCGCCACCCTCACCTCTCCCCTCGATGTCCTGAAGACCCGATTACAATCAGACTTCTACCAGGCACAGCTGCGACAGCTGCACGCGCAACACCATGTACCGCACAAAGTCACATTCACATCTGTGCCTCGAGCCGCCTATTTCCACGTCGCCGAGACCGTTCAACTGCTTAATTCGATATACCAGCATGAAGGCTTCAGAGCGCTGTTTCGCGGTCTTGGTGCAAATTTGATAGGTGTGGTTCCGGCACGGAGTATTAATTTCTTCGTCTATGGGAATGGAAAGAGAATCTTGAATAACCACTTGAACCCGGAAGGACGAGAGAACGCCTGGAGCGTTCATCTCTTAGCGGCAGCCACAGCTGGTGTTGCAACGGGTACAGCGACCAATCCTATATGGGTTGTCAAGACCCGGCTGCAACTCGACAAGAACAATGCGAGCAACGATCCTTCCAGAGGACGGCAGTACAAAAATAGTTGGGACTGTATCAGGCAAACTGTCCGGCATGAGGGTTTTCGAGGCTTGTATCGAGGTCTCTCAGCGTCATATCTGGGTGTCACTGAGTCCACGCTGCAATGGGTCCTGTATGAGCGGATGAAGCTGGCACTCGCTAGACGAGAAGCCGGACGACTCGCAGCTGCTGGCTACCAACGGACCATGCTCGACAACGTGGAAGAATTTGGAGGCAAGTTCGGTGCAGCTGCCAGTGCGAAGTTGTTCGCCGCTGTCATCACATACCCGCACGAAGTCGTGAGGACTAGATTACGGCAGGCTCCGACCGTCATCTCCGAGACAGGAAGGCCCACCATGAAATACACCGGTTTGATCCAGTGTTTCCGCATGGTCGCCAAGGAAGAAGGCCTGGCTGGGCTGTACGGAGGCATGACACCGCACCTGCTTCGGGCTGTGCCCAGTGCAGCGATCATGTTCTCCACCTATGAGATTGTCCTGCGGCTCTTTGGAACGACTTCATAATCGCAAGGCGCTGCTTGCTCAACGCTCGTCCTCGACGGCTCTGACGACAATGTACAGTACTATGTAACTTTTACAGGAAGGGCTTTTGTGGGTGCGATTCTCGTCGGAGTGCTGCTTGGATGTAAATTGGCGCTGAGGACAGGCGTAGACCATGGAAAGGCTGCTTGGTCCTTGGCGACGAAGATACCCAGCTCCAAATCTGTACGATACGAAGACACCTTTTCACCATAGCCGAATTAACCGGCTCCTGAGCTGGAAGAGAATGCGCAGCCGGGCTCCATTGCTGCTCGGTCGGCGTCTACCATATATCCTTCACTAGCAAGCGCTGTTGACGACCAAACACCAAGACGCAAAAGGACCTTGCCGAAAGTCCAGCTCGTGAAAACAGACCGATTGGACGGCGACTCGATCATCTCCTGTTCAGCCTCAACAGCCACTGCGGCCTTCACATGCCTTCTTGTTCCTTGGTCGCCATTGCCCTCTCTCTCTCTCTTTTCATTATTTGTTATATTCTTATTTGTCCCCCGTACTCAACTGCGCAACTTCCTGCTCTTACCATGACTACGACGGCCGCTCACCAAATGACCAGCTGTACAGCTCGAGAACACGGCGACCTGACATCGATGGCCACACTTGTCGACCTCGATGAGCACACTGGTCCAAACGAGGTCTGGTGTCTTGAAACACCCGGGTTGTCCCACAATACCACTCTGAGCTGAACTCGATCGTCGTCGAATCACTATCGGAGTACTCGGTCACATTCTTCGATGCACCACAAGACACCGCCGCCTACAGATCGTGTCAGACCCTTTTGGGAGCGCCTTACACCAGACTCGTTGTAATTTGTCGGTCAGGGTAATGGACATCGTACAGGCTCCGCCTTGCGGTGAGTCAGCCGTGGACTCTTCATTTCAAAATCTTGAACATTTCCGATACTTCTCCACCTACGAATCCCTCAACAAACACACTCGGGAGTTACGCATCCTGACGCTCCTGCCTCGGCAAGAAAATGATGATGTGATCACTTGCAGCCTGGCAAAAGTCCCTTTATCAGCCGCCAACCACTTCTATGCGCTGTCTCACTGTTGGGGCTCTCCAGGAGAGACAGCCAAAATTATGGTGAATGGTGAACGATTCCATATTCGCAAAAACCTCCGGAACTTCCTATGGAACCTCCGAAAGCTGTTTCCTGGGCCTGTTACGGTGTGGGTGGACTTTTTGTGCATCAATCAACACGATATTTTAGAACGCAACTTTGAGGTCAGTGTGATGGGCGAGATCTACGCATCTGCCGACAAAGTTATCGCATGGCTCGGTGATTCCACTCCGGAGTCCGAGGAGGCCCTCAATTATCTCAACGAGATCTCCCGTCTACGGCAGCAGCGCGGCGAAGAAGTGGTCGTTCGGTACAGTGACAAGACTCCAACACGTGCCCTCAAGCATTTGATGTCAAGACCTTACTGGAGCAGACTGTGGATCGTCCAGGAGGTCCTTTTGGCCAACGATGCCCTCACTATGGTTGGCGCAGGATTGGCCGGCTGGAAGACTCTGTGCTCCGCTATTGAACTGATGGACATCAGTACCCTGCTTGGACCCTTTGAGCGAGGTCAGCAGCAAAGAGTAAGCAGAAGGATCTTTCTATCGCTCAGCCGGCAATCAAAGCGACTCGTAGGCTCGAGGCCATTAAGTGGGCTTGTGTGCGAGTTGGCGGTCCGATCTGCTATGATCTCGAGACAGACTTTACGGGCTCCTCGCTTTGGCGTGTCCCAAAAGCCGGGCAGGGGTAAAAGTTGACTACGACGGTCCAATTCTTCAAACTTTCATCAGGCATTATGAGTTATGGCATGGTTGGCATCCGCACCCAACTTCCCTGGAACGCGGCAAATCGTGTGATCCTGGGCTGCCGAAAGGTCCGGCTTTCGAGGCCAGGTTCGTTTGGGAGAGACTTCGACCGCCCTCAAAGTCTGTTGTGGACAAGAGAACTGTCTTGTGCACCGTGGCGTCGAGATCGTGGCAGAAGGTGGGCCGTTACGTTCTTTGACGATATTACGGAGGTCTATTTCGACCACGCCGAGCTCGAGCGATTGCGGCACGATAGCATCTTACGCTCCAAACTTACTGGGACCATGGTATTTACAGTATTCCTCTGCTTCGGTGAGGTATCCTACACCACATTCGCCATGGCCAAGGCTCCACACTTCGCCGTGGTCCCTGTGGCAGAGTGTGCTGGAACAAGCCACACAACTGTTGCTGTTTATGTTTCGTACGTGAAGATCCGAGATACGCCCTCACACAGGTCTGAACACATCATCTACACCACTATAGTGCCCGAGGCTGGCGACCTTTTGATCAACTTGCTGGCTACAGTGCTTATTGTACGACATTCTGCGGCAGAATGGCGTGTCGTCGATGTCGGGTTTACGTACAGATATTCCGTTGCACGCAGGCCACATCTCTGCCACTGGCTCAGCCATCGAATCCCTAGCACTGTCTACTCCATTGTCTCCTCTTACCAACCTGTTGCTCCCTTCAGGGATACTTATGATGACAGGCACGTCGCATGTGATATTGAGCTGAATGGGCCCGCGATCGCCGAATTTATAAGGAATGAGCTGATTTCAAGCACTGGTAATCAACGTGACGTTCCAACCTGGGATCCCGCAGCGTTTGTCCGGGAACACGGTATACGACGCTGCTCATGACAAGAATCTATACCTTGGCGCATAAGGTAGCACGGTGGCATACGCGGGCCCTTCTTGATACCCCTGTCGGCTTCGGCAACGAACTCAGGCTCCACCATGGGCTGAAGAAAGCACCCATTCATCCAGATGTGCTAGCCTTCTTTCACATTGGTGGCACATGGTACACCGCAGCATTGTTTAAATCGGTGCGAGCGAGCTGAGGAGGTTGCCACAACCCCAAGGGACGTGTCCTATCAGAAATACCTAGGATGGAGATCACAGATGACAAACTGCTAGACTCAGTCAGGAGAAATTCGCCGAATACAAGACTTCCCGGAACTGGAAGACACGGCATTGCGTGCTCGGACCATTTTCGCGCTGCAGCTTAATTCAGTATACGGTACTTGGGGATGGTGCTGGTTCACACTGTATCTTAGCCCGATTATCCCTCTGTAGAAGTAGGATGGTCATACCTGCTATTCTACCGAGCACGGCGGCGTCTCAGTATTGCATCGCGGTCTGTGTGGTAGAAGTGGTGGACGCCAGGCTACTGTGTGCTTGGCACTTTATGAAGGCTTTGCTTAGACCTGCCATCGCTCGGTCTACCGTCCGTTTGTTTAAAACAGCCATCGCCATCTTGAGCTAGCAGGAGTATACATATTTCTACCTACAGTAGGTAACTTTACCCAACCAAGACCGCGAGGCTGAACGCGCCCGGTGGAACTTCGGGCACATGCGTAACCTTTGTTTACATCTAATCGTCAAGAGCCTCAACTCGCATCTGTCAATCCCTAAAAGGCACCACTGTCGAAACAGTAAATAGAGTACCAGTTGCCGACCAGAGCAGCATACCATCGTATTTCTTCCTACGAAACTTCCCTAGCCAGTTAACAACAATGCCACGACCCGTCGACTACTCCTCCACGCTCGCGACACTGTGCGCCCAACAAGCCGCGCAACCCCTCTCGATCCTCGCGCTCGCGGAGCCGATCACCACCTCCCAACAACAGCGACAGCAGCCCCAAGCTGCCTCCCGTGGCCCACCCCGCCCATCAGACACGCTCTCCGCCTCGGAAGCCGACTCGTCTCTAGCTCTCACGCCCACGACCCTAGCCGCCGACCTCACGCACTACAAGGACCTGTTCTCCAAGCTCCGCTTCAGCTACCTCGAGCAGGTCACCAAGGAGAAATACCTGCGCAGCATCGTGGGCGATCCGCCCCTGCTAGTCAGCCATGGCGACAACCTGGCGCTCGAGCAGACGCTGGCGACGATGAAACACGACCTGAAGGCCAAGAAGGAGGACGTCGACGCGCTGGTTTCCGCGATGGAGGAACGGGCGCGGGACGTCGCGCAGCGGTACGATGCCGTAAACGAGGGGATGGGCGCGCTGGAACGGGTACCGCTTGAGATCGAGGATTTGAGGCGCGAGGTAGAGAGATTGAATGCCGAAGTTGCGGCCCGGCGGGGTGTGGAGGGGTCTTCCGATCCGAGGATGAGGATGTCGTTGGCGGAGACGGAGGAGGCGCTCGCGGCGCAGAGGGAAAGGAATGCCGAGGTCGATCGCATGATTGCCGAGTTGCAGGGCGGAATGCCGGCGAGGGTGCGCGACGTGGAGAGGATGGATCGTGAGTTGGCGGAATTGGAGAGGAGGCGGAATGAAGCTGCGAGGTTGGCGGTCGAGGGGAGGCGGAGGAGGGAGGAACAAGGTGGCCGGGACGAGATGGAGGAGCTGGGACGGTGGTATAGAGCGAGTGAGGGCGTTATGAGGGGGTTGTTGGGCGTGGAGGGGACGGTAGGGTAGTGTGGACTTGATTAGGCTTGGGTCGATGCCGTTGTGAGCCAGCCAAGGCACGAGGACATTTATCATGCTTGCATAAATGCAGTTACGACACAGAAAGACACGAGGACTTTATGTGACGCAAGCTGGTGTGGCCTACGACCAGCGGTATTGACGATGGGAAACAGAAAGGAACGAAATGCACAAGACGATACCCCGGAGTAAGAAGATACGAAATAGGACACGCGTCTATCATATGCATGAATGATCACGGACTCTGATTCGGAAGGATTTGGTTCAGTCGGTCGTCTCTTATCTCGGAATCACTGACTGACTTGAACATTTTCAGCTCTGGGCTTTTGAACGCTTCGATGCCTTTGCCGCGAAAGCCATGGAGCTGACTGCCATTTCGATGACCTTTCACATGGCTCCGATGTGTGGATGCTCGCTTCCCTCTTGCTGACCACTAGTCCCGTACCGCTTGGGTCCGCTCAGGTCGACTTGTTGGAACCATCAGGGCTGCCTTTGGACCTGCCGGGATCACCTCCCACATTCGATAATGTCATGGCATGCCGTGACCTACTCCTCGTCCTCGCCGGCCTCCTCATCACCGCCATCGCCTTTCTCCGCGGCCTTGGCCTTCTTCCTCCTAACACGACCAGGTCGACCACCACCAAACGGACTCGTCAGGGCGAAATCAATGTGCTTCTGGCTGTCAAGTCGGACCACAAAGCTGGGGACGTTGACGATCTGCTTGCCGACGCGGATGTGACGCTGCTTGATCAACACACGGGCGTGGTGGATCGACTTGGCCAGCCCGAGCTTGTACACGCAGGTCTGCAGGCGGCGCTCCAAGAAATCCTCGACCTTGAGCGCGAGCACGTAATCGAGCTTCATGCGCGACTCGTCGAGCACGCCGACGCGGACGAGACGGCGAATGAGGGCGTTGCCTTCGAAGAGACGCTTGGGGTCCTTTTCGTCGAGGGTCAGGAGTTGACTGCATACAGCATTCGTATTAGTAAGTGTTGCGGATAGAGCCCGACGACGAATCCGCAGGAGAAGCAGTGTGCTGCTTCACAGACAAACAAACAGATAGACGGGGAAGTTTCTCATAGCATACCGGGCAGCACGACGGATCTTGGACAGCGTAAGCTGGACGCGCCAGACCTCACGCTTGTTGCGCAGGCCATATTCGCCGACGATCTTGAGTTCGGAATCACTGTGGGCGGAGATGTCAGGACGGATATCTCAGACATGAAGCACAGACAAGCTGATGCTCAGTGGCCAGGATATTCTGGTACGTACAGACGGGCAGATTCGAAGGCTGCGAATTGATGTCAGTCCTGTCATTGCAGAAGATTGAGCGCCGTGCTTACGTCGACGGGGGACCTTGTAGGTCTTGGAGTAGGACCGCGGCGCCATGATTGCAACAGATTATGCGCAATCGAGTGACTAGGTAGTTGTCGAGGTGGCCGAAGTTGCGGGTTGAGGTGTAGACCTTCTGATGAAATTGCCAGTGGTGCGCAGTTTGAGTGGGCTGTCGTAGTCTTGGCACGCACAAAAACAATTTGTGGGTCCGCGGTCTTGGCGTTTTGGGAGGCGCAACTGCGGCGGACACGACCACCACGACCACCACACGGCGAATATCCTGACCTGTGCCACAACTAATTCCACGACAACCACCGACACGTAGACTCGTCGATCTCATCCGTCGCAATGGGTCACTCTGCAGGTCTGCGATCCGGCACGCGCTATGCGTTCAGCCGCCAGCACCGCAAGAAGGTGCGAGCACTCCGACAGAATTTGTGGGAAGGAAGGAAATCGGAGGGCTGACTGCGCTTGTAGGGCATGATCGCTCTGGGCACGTACATGAAGACATACCGAGTCGGTGACATTGTCGATATCAAAGCAAACGGTGCCGTCCAGAAGGGTGTACGTGGAAGATCCTAATCCCAATCCTAATCCCAACCACGCCCAAACAGAACTCAGCATGCAAATACCAAAGAGAGTCGGGAAAAAAGAAGCACACGCTGACCTGGCCACAAAAACAGATGCCCTACAAGGTCTACCACGGCAAGACGGGCGTCATCTACAACGTGACGAAATCCGCCGTCGGCGTCATCGTCTACAAGAAAGTCGGCAACCGATACATGGAGAAGCGAGTGAATGTCCGTGTCGAACACATCGCCCACTCGAGATCGAGAGAGGAATGTAAGTCTATGACCCACGCCCATGAGCACTGGGTGCAACAGTGTTTGCAATATCTGGTATCCTTGCATACTTGACGCATAAGGTGGAATGGCCACCCGAATTCAAACACATGCTGACCATGCCGTCCATTTTATAGTCCTGACCAGAGTCAAGTCCAATGCCCAACGCCGTCGCGAGGCCAAGGAGAAGGGTGAATCCGTCCAGCTGAAGCGCATGCCTCAGGGTCCCCGAGGCTCACACACTGTCGATTTCTCAGAGGTCGAGAGTCTGGCGCCTCAACCGTACGACACTCATATCTAAACGAATCGAAAGAGCGGAGGGTGGTTTATGCTGTGGTGGTGCTCAGCTGCATTGGGTTCGGGATGAGGAGCACTGCAAGCCAGGCGATGCTTCACTCACATGGCCCGCTTAGGTGATGAGACGGACGTGGTCTACCGCAATCCGTGGATAGGTACTGCCGTGTTAATGGACACGTCTTTATTGCTTAGGAATGAAGGAAGTGTCTTGGCAGAGCTACTCGAGTGAGGGAGATGCGTCCCAACTTCTGTGGACGATGGCATGAGGACGGGCATTGCATCGCAGGTGTGATAGAAGACGCATCAATGTCCCTCCATACTCCCAAGATGATACCTTCAAGCGTTGAACTGTCCCTACTTCCAGAACGAATTGTCCTTAGCTCCCGAAAGAGTTGCCCCTGGCAATTCTGCAGATTCTGTTCATCGACTACTTCCCGACTTTCTCGCCTGAAAGACCGAGTACCAAAGTCTCAGCTCTTGACGCAAGATGAGACTATGGCCATGAATAAACCATGTCAAGTGCACCAAAGTTATTATCGCAGCTCGTTGGGTACAAGGTGGTAATGCAGCGCATCGTGGCTCATCGTACGAGGGCGTGCTTACTGCGGCGCCATCTTGGACCAGCATGTCACCATGAGCACATCTGCGGTGCCTCGAAGGGACACTTTCTCCACGGTGCTCTATGCCTCCCACCCAAGGACCATCACACCTATGAGGGCTCCTTGCACTGTAATGCCTTCGTCCCACTAAGCTCTTCTGTCTGGTATCAAATTCCCTTTGTTCGCCACCGGTATGATTTGAGACTTTGTCGTCAAAATGCCCCTAACCGAGAACAAAATCTAAAAACTGAAATATGTGGACGCCTCGCTATGCTCTCGGTATCATGCTGATCCTGCACCCACTCATTTGCGTGTGTCTGTAGAACGCCGGCCCCATTCCACCAGGGTATCCCATCCGATGTGAATGCAAGGTAGCAGTCCCATTTGTTGTTCATTCCACTTCGCAGTCGTAGTCTTTTCCCCGATGCCTGAATCAATATCCAATGCAGTGTCCTCCCAGCCCGTCATATCAGAAAGCGAAATCATCGTCATCGTCGTCGGAATCTTTCGCTAACGCGTGAATGCCGCCTTCTGCTATCGACCCTGGATCTTTGAATGGCCGCAACTCATTGCCCTTTGATAGAGTATGACGTGCATCGGTCAGTTTCACCGGACTTGACGACTGGACTTCCTCGGTCGGAGTCATACCAGACACACTGGCAAAGTCTGGCGACCTCTCGTCAGTACGGGCCAGATCCGACAATGGAGGATACACGTCGTCTGGATTTGTGAGAGATGAGCTCCCACCGTTCGAGACCACTGAAGGCGCATTGGGCGAGACCATGGGCCTAGTGCCGGATGGAAAACGATCATTTCGGCAGCCAGATTCAGCGGTGGTTGGCGGCTTTGTGGGCACAATTTCTCCCAATGATTCTCGCCTCGCAAGCGACGGCGATGATTCCAATCCTGTTGTCTCAAGCGGCTCATAGTTTGGCACGGCCCCCGGTTCGTCCTGTCCGGCTTCAGTATCGACCAGGACAGGCACGTACGGATCTTGCAAGTGGTCTCCACTGTGTGTCCATCTGGATATGGTTCTTTCAGGATCGAGTCCATCATCCTCTTTGTCGTTTCGCACGCTGGTAGTTGAGTGTTCCACCTGCAGCGCACACTCATCTGCGTCGATGGCGGTATTCCTTGCAATCTGTTGTAGTGTCTCCTGGAGTACCCAAGGGAAGCTGATGAAAGGTACGCCAGTGGCAGGGGTTGAAGCAGAGAAAACAGAGCCAGAAGATTCGCTTGAGAGAGCAGAACCATCTTCGTCTTCTGATCCGTTGCCCTCTTCTCGTTTCCTAGCTTTCTGATATTCTTCGTGGGTGATGTGGTAAGCCGCAATGGCATATGGTCGCAGCTTTGCCAGGTCATGTCCACCAGCCTCTTCCAGGAACGCCGCATAGTATTGATCTTTCAGAGTCTTGGCGTGCTGTCCAATTTCTTCATGGAATTTGTAGTCTTTGGACGCTTTGCTGTGGTGCAACACAAAAGTAGACCAAACTTCGAATTCAGACGCAATTTGGTGTTGGGCCATGACACGTCGCATGCTCTCGTCATAACTCTCCTTGAGTCTGCGGACAAACCCAAAGACTTCCTCTTGTGGGGCATGTATCAGGATCCGTTTATCAAAATCTCCCAAGAGGTGTGGCTCGAACTTTGCTTTCCCAACCGCGTCGTATAACCGGCCCAGAATCTGTTTCGAGCGATACTCATCTGATCGTTTCTTCTCCATGAAATGAGGCCACTGGCTTCGCTCCAAATCCCGGGTCATGAGTGCGGGAACGCCGGTTTTGGGATAGTCAACGGCCATGGAATGGAGCTCGACAAGCTTCAAGCATTGCTCGCTGTCGATGCCATCGGGTAGAGAGTCAGCAGCAGCAAGGTGCGCATGTGCAATCCTTCCTAGATAGTCATTCTGCATGTAATCGTAGAAGAAGTTGATGATGTCGTCGATCGAGACATTTTCCTTTTTGACGGGCTCTGGTGCGTTGTAATGAAACGGTTCGGCATTCCACTCCTCAGGAAGCAATTCGGGATCCCAGATGACGATATAATCGTCCCCGTCGAGATCACCACCAGAACACATGCTGGGCAAATCTCGGTCACCAACCGAGGGCATGACCAGCACATCGCACATGTGCCGCAGCTGGGGACAGTTGACAGCTCTGACGACCCGGATATCGCCGCGATGCAGAGATGGGTTGCGAGCGATGATACAAATTCCTTCATAGATACAGCGGACTTTTTTGTGCGGATCTGTGTATTGGATGAAAACCTCAGGCAAGGCTTTCTCTCTTTCCTCCCGGCTGGCGTTTGGCCCGGGCTGAAGGTCGTTAATGTGACCGGAGAGCATGCCAGTCTCGTCAACGACACCCAGGACGAAGGCACCTTGGGACACTGGGATCTTAGCCTTCTCCTTCAGATACTTCAGCGTCCATGCTCTCCAGAGTCGTACTAGGGAGGCAACAAATGGTTCATCAATCTGGGAGAAGCCAGCTTCGATCATGGCAGCGACAACAGGGGTCATCAAATTGGGATCGACGTTCTCCCGCAAGGCTCGTACGGCAACGGTGTCATCTTTCATGGCGGCATCCAGATCTTCAATGCATTTTTGTTGCATTCGGAGAAACACCGCATCCGGTACGCCAAGTGCCGACAACACAAGGATGAGTTGACGGTTCAAGAACGGTCGCCAGAATTCAGAGACCCGAATGATCTCCAACTCATTTGATTCGCTATCGAACTTCCGTTGGCTCGGTCGGATCTTGACATCAGAATTGGTGAGGGTGGGGTCAAGGGCAAGAACTCCTTTACAGCCGCCCAATCTGAACTGGAACGCCGAAGGAGGCTCCTCACCACCGAGCTTAAGTTTGTTCTTGATGTGAAGGGCAGTGAGACGGGATATTTTGCCAACGCCATCGGTGAAGTTGTATTTGCCGTTTTTGATGTCCGGTATGTCGGCATCTCTGCTGTGACTGTCTCTGTTCAGGATCTTGCAGGGTGTTGTCGTCGCAAAGCATTGACCCATTCGTGCAGCTCGCTTGGCGACGACCTTTTCATGATCAAAGATGCCCATATCCCTTCTGATATCATCAACAGTGATGTGTGGACGTTGAGAGGCCGCAAAGAAGTATGCACCGTGTTCCCTTATCTGTGAGTTTCCCCAAGCAAGAAACTCGTAACGTCGATCGCCAAGGACAATACCGTGCTTCATCGTCCGACGGACTCTGTCGAAGATCAGCTTCATCTTACCGTTTGTTGCTGGCCAGAGCCTTGTTTGTCCGCGGTAAGGGTCGTCTTCGAACCGTACTCTGAGGAAATGGTTGCTGACGCTGGAATATCTGCGCACAATCCGATTCGTGACCTCGACTGCAGGGCTGTGAAATACAACACCCGTGGCGGTCACTGTTGCACTATAGATCTCTGCACAATTTGCGGGAGGAGCACGAGCCAGCACCGGCTTTGTGTAGCGTAGGTCTGTGAAGATGGACATGGGCTCATAGACACGTTGTTGATGTAGATCGACGTGGACGAGCATTTGCTTGGCTCGTTTTGTTGGCATGTCTGACAACTTCTGCAAAAACTCGCGTGTGAGGCTGTATTCATTAAGCCACCGTCTTGAAACACAAACTTCGAGCTGATATCTCAGATCGAAGTCAAGGCGGCGCGGTAGCAAAAGCTCCTCTGACCATGATTGAGAGCCTGTTCCGTCGACAAAGTCCCAGAATGGAGCTGGACCTTCTGGACCGATGACCATTTGGAATGGGGAGTCTCGACTCACGCGAATGTTGAAGTCTGCAAGAGCAGTCAGGAACTGGCCCAGCGAATTGTGGTCTCGGTCGATATCCGGCTTGATGGTAACGCGGAAAGTTGTCCAGCGAGCGATATCGATGCTATTGTGAAGTTTCTGCACCGAAATCGGAGTTTCATTGATCTTCTGAAAAGTTTCCTTCTCGTCGACAATGTCAGTCTGGCGCGACCATGTGTCGTCTGAGCTCCACTTGGACGAGTTGTCATCGTGACTCAATCCCATTGCCTCCTTCAATTGCCGGGAGTACCAGGGCGTGTTATTCAGGTGGATGATCAACCCGGTGGATCCGTTGCTGCGGGCTTCGCACAGAGAGAACTGTTCGTCCAGTGCGACAGAGAACCGGTATGCCCGTTCTACAGCCCTGCCTCTTGAGTGGATAACAACAGGAAAGTGGACCTCCATCTCCAGTCTGTTCAAGTTCAGCCGTAATCGAACGGCATCACCGCGAAGGTTCCGTTTCGTGGCCTTCACAACCATGCATTCAGGTCGAACAAGATAGCCAAAATCGATTGCACTTCCATACAGTATGACTTCTGGATCGTACTTCACGCCACGGCGGACAGGACTCTCCACGAAGCGGTTGCGCGGCCGGGCTTCATATCGAACCTTGATCTTGGGTAGCGGCTCACCCTCATTGCGCCGACTGTGAAAGTGGAATTTGTTGATGAATTGTTCATCCCAAGGTGCTCTTCCCGGTGGTGGTGGTCTGCAGACAATGTCAGAACATAGTGACGGCAAGGATCTAGAATTGGTTGCTCACTTGAACACGATCATCGCTTGTCCTGCGAAGTTACCCTGAGGGGTTTCCTCCATCCGGATGAACTCGACATTTCCAAAACGACTGAAATTTCTGTGGATATCGTAGGTGGTGACTCCTCGAGGCAGGTTAGAAATGTAAGCCTTGACAGAAGGCCAAGTCCTCCATTCTTCGTCGCGTAGCGGTTGGCGTGCTAGATCCACCACCCTCAGTGAAGCTGCAAGTCGCTCCATCTGGCCATGCCCTTGGTCCGAAAGACGCTGAGCAAGGACCAGAGCAGGTGCTGTCCAGGCTGTTAGGTTGTAGAGCCTTTGGACTGGAGAAAGGCAAGAGAATCGGAAGTAAATGGATTTTGACGTTCAATCTTGGCTTTGGACAACAAGACAGGGTCAAGGATTTTGGCGAGAGCCAGCCAGTGTGTCGGAAGCGAAGATCCGCCCGGGACTAAGGCAAGGGACGATAAAACCCTAATCCAGATTGCACGAGATCAAGAGAATACAAAAGGACGTCGAATCAGAACAGGATGAATATCAGAGATTGGGGGTGAACCCTGAAGCAAAAAGAGAAGACGGACAGCGGAAAAGTGACGAAAGTTAAGGATGTGAATATCTCGGGTGACGGTAGAATGGTTGTTGGCAAATTCATTACATTTAGAGGGTGGGCAAAGGCAAGAGCGTGGTGCAAGCAATCCCCATGCAGCACGCACCTGCCCGTCGTTTGATTGTATCAAACGGCAGAAGGCAGAAGGCAACACACTGGGGCCTGCTGGATGTTAAGGCAGACATGGCCGGCGGTGGTCAAGGTGAGTTAGCCGTGAGACCGAACCCAGAGCAAAGACGATACGTCAGTCAGACGAGAAGACTACAGACTCAAGGACAAATCGCAGCAAACGACGAAATATTGGCCATGGTGAGGCTGGCACACCAGCTTAGGTACGCACGCAGTAGATATGTAATAGGGTCTTCACACAGCTGCATTCAATGGCGAGGCATTCGTGGTAAAGAAACGCTTGCTAAAGCCCCGCAGTTGGCTGCTCGACCCACGATCTAAATTACACAGTCCTGTCTGATTACTGTATGGATTATGTATGACATTAGGTGAAGGTGGCCGGGGATACCTACAGTACCTAGACAGGCGATCTAGAAGCCCGCTTGTCGGCAACAAGATTTGCAGACTAAAGAGGCCTGGAGAGGCTCAAGAGGCGCGAACGCGGGCGGCATCGATTCCGCTCCCTCCTAGAGTATGTAATCGTGCGTCGTGCTCTCATGACGGCAATTACACCATCGCATACGGAGTACTCGTGAGAAGAATCGTATTCCTCCCGCCAAAACAAGGAACACGCTTCCTCATCGCCGCGCTCACTGGGCGTAGGGTTCTAATGGAGAAGTCCCGACTGACCTTGCGACTTCTCAAGAGATGCGTCAAGGGAAATAGCAGAGGGACCGGTTCTTCGACAGTTCCCTTCTCGTCCAGGGCTTGCACGAGGACATACCTGAGAGACACTCCGACCAAATTCTACTCGACTCGCGCCTCAAGCGCAGAGTCCCACGCAAAGCCCAATCTACCACTATGGACGACCAGCAGGGCTTTACTCCTTGCTGGGGCCCTAGCGTCCATCGGCTATGCCGTGGGCGTCAACGATGCAGGAAGTCATGCCGATGAGCTCATTCCGCGGAAACCCAAGCCTCCTACATACGCGAGCAAGACGGAGCTGGAAAAGGCCATCACGGAGCTTCGGGAACTGCTGGGTGAGGACGCAATCTCCACGGACGACGACGACCTCAAGGACCACGGCTACTCGGAATGGTCGTCGATCAACATCGACCAGTTGCCCGTCGCTGTGGCGTATCCCAAAAGCACCGAGGAAGTCGCGCACATTGCGAAGATTGCCTCAAAGTACAGAGTGCCCATGATCCCTTACTCGGGCGGCTCCTCTCTGGAAGCGAACTTTTCGGCCCCCTTCGGCGGTTTCAGCATTGATTTCGCCTTTATGGACCAGATCCTGGCTGTCCACGCAGACGACATGGATGTCGTCGTCCAGCCGGCCGTACAATGGATGGAGCTGAACGACAAGCTGCAGCATACGGGCCTGTTCTTCCCCGTCGATCCGGGTCCGTCAGCCAAGATCGGAGGCATGGTCGGCACCTCCTGCAGCGGCACAAACGCCTTCCGCTACGGCACCATGAAGGACTGGGTCATCAATTTGACAGTCGTCCTGCCAGACGGGCGGATCATCAAAACCAGACGGCGCCCCCGCAAGACCGCGGCGGGGTATAATCTTACTGGCTTCTTCGTGGGCGCTGAAGGCACTTTGGGCATCGTCACGGAAGCGACGCTCAAGCTGGCAGTTATCCCCCAGGAGACCAAAGTCGCGGTCGTGACCTTCCCGACCATCCGCGACGCCGCCGCCGCGGCCATGCAGATCATCCGGGCGGGCGTGCCCGTCGCGGCCATGGAGATCATGGACGACGTGCAAATGTCCGTCATCAACCGCGCAGGAGGCACGAACCGCACCTGGAAGGAAGTGCCCACCATATTCTTCAAATTCTCGGGCACAATGGCCGGGGTGAAGGACAACATCGACATGACCACGCAAATCGCGAAGAAGAACCACGCCGGCGACTTCATCTACGCCAACGACGGGCGGGAAGCCCACGACCTGTGGAAAGCCAGGAAGGACGCCCTGTGGAGCATGCTCTCGTTGAGGCGCGAGGGCGACGAGGTCTGGTCGACCGACGTGGCTGTCCCAATCTCGAGACTTCCGGACATGGTTGGTAAGTATTCGCCTACTGCGAAGCCATGTTTGGGGCGTGCCTGACATGTCCGCCTAGAAATCACCAAAAAGGAAGTCGACGATCTGGGTCTCTTCGCCAGCGTGCTCGGCCACATCGGCGACGGCAACTTTCACACATCAGTCATGTACAACCGCAACGACCCCAAGGAGAGGGAACAGGTCGAGCGCGTCGTGCATAACATGGTAGATCGGGCTCTTGAAATGGTATGTGCCCAGTCTCCAAGATCGAAACTCTAAGCCGCCGTCCGACGTTGATGCGGATGCTGCGTGGATGAGGATGACATTGATCCTGAGCGATGCTAACGATGACCAGGAAGGCACATGCACAGGCGAGCATGGCATCGGCCTAGGCAAGAAGCAAAGCCTCGTCTCTGAACTCGGCGTCGAGACCATCGGCGTGATGCAGACGTTGAAACGCAGCCTCGACCCGCACTGGCTGATGAACCCGGGCAAGATCTTCGATGCCGTGGGTCCCGCCGACACGAAGAGTCAGCCTGAAGCCACGGCGGCGTCCACCCTGGCACGACCGACGGACAAGTGAGCGACTGGGAGGAGACACGGACGGGTGGACGGACCTAGTATATGATCTGCACGATATATGCTTGCACACATGCCAGACAAGCTGAGCTATATGGGATTGACTTTGCTTCGCCTGGTCGACTCGCTTGTGCGGGCATGATATGTGAGCTCTCGTTGTATCTACTACGTATCGTAGGTTGATCCCTCGAATTAAAATGGGGGCCAATATTGCTGATCGCGGCTTGTGTGCGCATGTGCTGATCAGCTACGCGGCAGGTATGTACGTAGCTTCGCTCTGGATGAGATCAGATCCGAAGTGCCTAGCCGGGGGAGTTCCTGATCTCCGACAAATCTAGATTCTCCTGTCGAAGGCCCGGCTAGCTTCACTGCTGGACACCGATTGCTTGACTTCATCTCCACCCCATAACCACACCCCGATATCCTGGATCCATGCCTGCCAAAGGGCTGCTTGCCTGAGGTAGACTCCTCACAATGGCTTAGCATAGGCAGGGAGCTGAGTCAGTGACGTCCGAGGGTGCGCAGTGTTGGCACCGATCACGAACAGAACTTGCTAGTGTGCTGAGGTGCCCCATTGCAGCCAGTGTTCAAGTTCTAGCCATCGCCTGGAGACTTCATACACGCGGGGTGTCCGCGATGGCTCCCCTTACCATCTAAGCTCCATCGTTTGCTGAATTTGCACCTCCGAGGCGGCGCCGGGGAATGTATGTAGTCGGTGGAAACATGCCTGCTTGCAGCGCTGCCGCTATCAAAACAGCCTAGGATGTGTATCACAGCGTACTGCATTCGAGGGATCCGATATCTGGACGAAATGTGCTTGAAAAGTTTGTAAATCCAGACCGGCGACCGATCAATCATTAAAGAATGCCTTTTCCAGTCGTCGGGCCAAATTCACACATGGGGTGTCGACAGCCCGCAAGAACGCATCCGCCACCCAGATGACAGCCAGTATGATCACGGTGGCCGCTTTGGCGAAGTCCCATTGGAATTGTCTCATGACTTCGGGCGTCTCCAGTTCGGGCGTTCGAGGGAGTATCTGTCTTGGATTAGGACGAGCAATGTGAAGGAAGTAAAGCGCATTCTTACCAAATAGCCTAGGGTATGGATGACCGGTCCGTGCATGACATACAAAGGAAAACTGATCTTGCCCAGATACTGCACAGGCGCCCAGCAAAAGGCTCTGTTTCGCAAAACGCCAAGACGACACGAAGACCAGACTATCAAGACTGCTCCTATGGTGGGCCAGAATCGGTGCTTTTCGGTGAAGTTCTGGGGAATGAGAGAGTCGAGGGTAACAAATCCAGGGGTAACATTGGCGGCAACGTCAGGGAAGGAGAGCAGGAACAGCGACACCAGAAATGCTGCCAAATACAAAATCCGACTCGATCGTTGGGGGATATGTCGCTGACTGTCCGTTTCGGTCGACGGCAGTCCAGGCGCAGTCGTCGACGTGCAGATGATGTCCAATTCTGCAATCACAGCTCCAGCCCAGAATGGGGTCAATTCCCATCTGTCCCAAGAGACACCCCAGATAAGGAGTCCCGCAAAGGTCATGATCCGCAGCCGGCTCGACATCCTGGCAGTGAGCATGTGCGTTAGGAAAAGAGCCATGCTGCAGCGAAACTCCACCGGGATGGTCCACAAATGGCGGTCCAGCTCAATGGACCCGGCGAACAGCGACCAGTTGAAGACGTCGACAAAGATGAGCATCTGGACCAGCCAATCCTTGAACTGCAGCCACATATTCGGTTGAGTATAGCAGTGAGATTCCAATACCATGCGCATTTGGTTTGAGAACTCTTCGGTGAGTTTGTACAGGTTGAGCTGAGCCAGACAGACGACAATGAATGTGGAGGCGAAACAAGGAAGAAATAGTCGCAGTCCTCGGCGGAAGATGGAAGAAGTCATGGTCGTCATCAGTTGTTCGTGGTGGCGCGCACGCATTTGCTTCACAGGTTTGTAGCTGAGGGCATATCCTGAGATGACGAAGAAGATGGCAACCATGGGAGGTCCCGAGTAGAAGAGTCGAACAATCGGTAATCGAATAAGCTCTGTGAATGCGGTCGGTGGCTGGATTTCTGGGTCGGGTGCCGCGCCCCAGGCGTGCACAATGTCGAACGTGCCATATGTGAGGTGGCAGATGAAGACAGCGAAGGCAGCGAGCCCGCGCATGCCATCGAGAAAGGCGGTTGGGGCAAGCTTGTCAGCCTTGCCCTGCTCACTCGGTGAGCGGCGATGCAGGAAAGTCGGGACAAGCAAACTGAGTAGTCGACCAAGAAGTCTGCCCAGATGTCGGTGTGAATAGCAAAGCCCGAAGTTCCAGATCTGACGTGGGTGGTGAGGCGTCAGCCATTGACTAGGTCCGATCGTACCTTCATTGTAGTCGAATCCACGTTTCTCGTCCAACAGTCCGGGTTGCGATTCATCTGAACTGGAACGTGAAGAGTCACTGCTCGAGTACGTCGAGCTCATGATGCTCGCTCGACCCGCGAACACTGGGCATCTGAAGAGAACGGAAGAATTGTGATGACGCGTCAGGACGGAGGAGTTTTCGAGAAGTTGAAAAAGAACGAACAGTGAAGGAGGCGCGAACTGTTTCCCCAGAGTTACAGGCGCCGGTCAGGGATAGCCAGTCGCTTGCTGTGATACTGGCAGCCACGGGGCTGAGTTTTGCATGAGCGGAGCCTCGCTCTCTCCACAGTTGCGAAATTGCGCACATGAGAGGCGGGTGAGAGGGAGGTGAGAGGCTGATCAGTCCACTCTGCGCCAGTTTTCTGAGACAGCAGGGATCCTTCGCAGAACAATAACCACGATTTCATGGGCACGTCTACTTACATATACTTTTGATATCTCGACTCGCTGTATCTACACTTACACAGTACCTATCAAAACATCCTGTGTTCAGGAGACCATGTTCAACGTCTCGAGAACTCGGAAAATTCAACGCAGGGTCTGGAGGGCTCAAGAAGCGTGGAAAGTGGCACCCCGGTCAAGGAGGTGGCGTTCCGAATTGCTTGTGAGTCTTGGTAATGAGTACAGTACGGAGTATTCCGGACACATCCACGCCATCAGAAGTCGAATCGAAGCAGCATGTCGCATCTGCCAACACGCCACACATATCAATGCTGCTGGAGTCTCGAGAGTATTGTCGCATCTGTTGGCCGAGATCACATTCTAGCAGATGTGAGGTCAGGGTGAGGTTCAACTGAATTTGCAGTTCGATGTCGATCAGGTTTCAAGCCAGGCTATTTCTGGCACAAGTTTCACCGGCTTCGGTTAAAGCAGGTTTGCCGGACCCAGGAGCCGCTGATTATTGTGTGCACCACGGTACTGTAGGGAGAATCACAAACCTAATTTATCCTCAAAGCTAGATCCAGGCCTTCAAGAACCAGTCAAGTGCAATAAGGAGCCCGGACTGTCGACCAAGGCCAACTGACCACACACGACCTGGGATGGCAAGCATGTGATTTCATCACAAGGAGCACGCTTCCATATCTACATTCCATTTGTTCGTCTACATGTACAGCTATGTATCCAATTCCCAGGCAAATCAACAGTCCATCAACACGGTATCGTTCGTAAGAATACCAGCATGTTCTTGACAGCGTTGACACCGTGTTCTTCACTGGGATGAAATCCGCTGTGTGTCCCAAGCACGGAACCGGACACACGTAATCAGGGTCCGTCATCTTCCTGCACGGGTCTGCTTGTCACACGCCGTGCACCTGCTCAATAATATCGGTTTCAACGATAGGGCCGTTGTATCTGCCCCGAAGGTATCCAAAATAGCTCGCTATGCCGAGAATCATCGTTCCTCCCCACAGCAAGCACGACCAATTCATAGTCGCAACGGTCAACCCGATCCGAACGGATGGGAAGAAGCTGAAGACCATGACGACGGCGATCCACAGAAGGCCAAAGGTATTGCAAAAGATGCCCAGTCCGCGCCCCAGCGTCCAGGGTCCGTAATGAATCGAACTGGGATTAAAGATCTTCTTGTGCAGCAATAGAACCATCGGTAGCGTGTACGAGCCTAGGTAGCCGCTGATCACCAGGGAGGCAACAGCGTTGAAAGCTGCGGATGATCCAATGTTGATGAGCCCTAGCAACATGGTGATCAGGACCGAAAGAGCTACCGAGTACAAAGGAAGCTTGGTTCGCGGCTCGACCTGGGAGATGAATCGAGAGCCCGGCAGTCCGTTGTCACGGGCGAAGGCCCATGTCATTCTTGACGTTGCCGCCAACACGGCAATCGTAGCGAAGATCATCAATGACAGAACCACAGCAGTCATGGCCGTGGCTCCGCCGTTCGTTTGGACAGCCTGCTTGAAAATCTCGATGAAGGGGAATCCCGTGGGAGTGCTGAGCGCATTGTCGATGTTGCCGATACAGAAGAGAATCGCTATCAGCATTGAGAAACCCATGATACCGTTGAGACCGATTGAGGCGACCAGCGCTTGAGGCACCACGGTTGAGGCGTTTTTGATCTCCTCGCTCATGTGTATGGCGCCGTCGGCTCCGATAAAGGCGAAGACAGTCGTGATCAGCCCCACGAAAAAGGACGTGCCCTCGTCGTATCCACCGTTGGCAAGGTATTTCACAAAGACATCATATGAACTGCCGTGTGGCGCCAGGTATACCAGGGTGATCAAGACGCCGAAAAAACCGACAATGTGGACAATAAGCACCGCGCCTTCGACCTTCGGGAGCTGCTTAGCCAGGTATGTGTTGAAGAGCATCGCCAGGGTGATGACTGCATAAAGGAGAAGAGTCCCATGCCACCTCTTGAAGTCGTAGCTGGGATAGTTGAGGACCAGCAGTCCCTGAATAATGGTACCTCCGAGATAAGCTGCTGAAGCCAAACAAGCCTGCCATGAGAGAACGGACTGCCAGCCGGTGATAAAGGAGAGGAAATTGCGGCAAGACTTTGGCGCGAACAAGAATGTCCAGTGGTATTGACCTCCGGCTGTAGGTGCCCTGTTACCGTCAGTCCGATGGATATCACTATCGTCCTCTTTCTGAACTCACATTGACACCATCTCAGCAAGGGAAGCGACGACCGTGAAGTAGCCGAGCCAGCAGAACAAGTACCCATACACAAGCCCAGCTGGTCCTCCGTCCGTCAAGCCGTACACGAAGACGGTCAATAGACCTTCCCAGGTGATCATCAGGGTGCAAGAAAAGCCGAGCATGCTCATGAAGCCGAAGTTACGCTGGTAGAGGTCAGTCGCATGCCTTCACTGTTGTCGATTATGATAGAAAGTCCGCGTACCCTTAACTCCTGGCGCTTTCCCAGCCTAGCCATCTCCTGTTCGTCTCGGTCGACTGATTTCTCGCCATGCTGATCTGACGATGATCGTGAGTGGTGCATATCTGAAGCGATCTTGCTCCCGCTCTTCATCGCGTACGTTTCCACCATTTTGAACGCCGTTCGAGGTTAGTTGGAAATGGTTGCGCGGTCTCGTTCGAGGACAATCCAGCTCAAAGTGCTGAACAAGACATCAAAGGAGTGGATGTGTTGAAAGAGCAAACACCGGAGCACTTGGCTCTTGTTCAAGGAAGCACACTGCTGCGATACTCTTGCGCCGGAACCCAGTGGTCGCGAAAGACAGAAAGGAAGTCTTCGCACTCGGCAGCGTTGTGGGTGTATCCAAGGTCGAGTACCTCGTGTATTGTAGGCGGGGTGCAAGCCCTGCCTAGAAAATAGTTCCCATGGAAGCGGGAGGCTCAGAGGTCAGTACATCCTCAAGGCTAAGAGTCTGGCCGGTCTGGGAAGTTCCCACCTTCCATGCGACTTAGACGGCCCCTTGACTTCCGTCAAAAGGATTCTCGGGGCGCTCGTGTCGCAGAAGGTCAACCTGTGGGTTGGATGGGCACCAGCTGGTGCGACGATCCTCGGGACACTCAACCAGGATTCAAGGGCGGCGCACTGAACAGGGCTAAGCCTCGGGCGTCTTTAGTTAGCTTGAAGACTAACAGCTAGGGCCACACTGGCCGTTGATAACGCACGGGCACCACAGTGGGGGGCTTTGGGGGGGCGTATGATTTTCTCTACACAGTACACAGTACGGAATAAAAAGCTTGGACCTTTCGAGTCTCCTGCAGCAACAACGCAAGGATCATTGAGACCATCGCTATCACCATTTTGGGGAACCGACCTTCGCCTGGACTCAGAGCGTCTCGTGGGCTTGCTCAAACTCATTTCCTCTTTACAAGCCGAGTGGCCACGCCGCGGTCACATGCGACAGCAACCATTGTCACAGTTGTTGACACGGCAGCTGAAATGAAGAGGTGCACACCGTGGTAGGGAGGCTTTTCGTGGCGTCCTGTCATCGTTTCTGCTCCCATGGTCGACAAAGGGGGTTTGCTGATCTAGGCGGGCTCACTGGCTGGCATTGCTTTTGCCATCTTAACAAACATCAAGCGATACACGATTCATGCTTGGATAGTTGTGTACATAGTCTATTAATCTTACAATTGTACAGTTTAAACGCGCCGATGGAGGTTCAATATGACGCAAGCTTGGGAATTCCATCTCAGCGGCTTATCTGGGTTATGCTTTCCGTCAAGAAATCGCTGAAGCAGCCCCGAAAAGTCTGAGGTAATGCTTGATTGACCTAGCTTGGGTCTACCCATACGCCTGCCATGTTGAGGCCTGATCACGGCATCTGCCACGTGAATGATACGTGGCTAGCAGGTGATAACTTTCAAGAATCCTGTTGATAACGACATTCACGTTGATGCTCGTTTCAGCAAGTCTCAGATTGCTGATATGAGGAAGCATCGGGCTATTAATTTCGCGTCAGCAGTCCGCTCTCCTCTGTTCTGGAGAGACCCGTATCGCATTGCTTGTGTGAAAAGCTGGAGCAACGCTTCAATAGATACACATGTTGAGACTGTGTCTCGCCTAAACGCTCAAAGTGCCGCGTCTTTTCCCTGTTGATGTTCGTTTGTATAGCTGTGCACGTGTTTACGGAAGTGCAATCTCGAATCGAGAGCCCATGAGATGCGGCAGCACGAGTTTCCCGCTCTCACTGCCCTTCGGGAGTCCGGACAAGCTTGTTGCTTTGGTGGGGCTTTGCTCGAGCTTGGTTGTGATAAGCCCCTGGCCGGCGAATGCTAGTTGCCCTGTAGGGAGGGTGGCTTTCTGTAACCACAAGGACTGGCGCCGCACGCTGATGCGCACCCTGGTCGTCGCCCCAGTAGGAAGGTACTGTGTAGACTCGGTCATCAAAGGGCCCTGCTTTGGATTGTAACAACCATGCGTCAAGTCAATTTTCCGTTACCAAGCAGCATTGGGAGGTCCTCTGACTATGATATATTTTGGCAGCTGTCGTACCCAAGCAGTGCACACATCTGCGGTAACGATGGGGCCCATCGAGAGTGAGCACAAGCCGTTGCCCGACGTGTGATCGACCGGCAGGTGGTTCGCCGTCGAGGCCGTCGACCAAACGGCATGCTCGGTGACGGGGGACGCTAAACGACCCAGACATGGTTGCCCTGGAAAGCCCACGATATGGGTTTGTGACAGGGGGCCTGAGAACACTTGAATCATGAGTCTTGCCCAACCCCGACCTCCCGCACTCACTTCCACCTGACCCCTAACGTTGCACCTTTTCTCAAGCGAGACTACCGTACCATGCACCTAAGCGGCCGCCTGCGAGCTGTTTCTCCCCGACACAAAGCCGTACTGCGGTACGGCAGTGGAGATTCGACGGTCCCTTTACAAGCACGGCAGCTGCTGATTGTGCATATGCAACACACCTGATTTGTACTGGGTTGAAGACGGGCTTGCGTTCAGCTCACTCATGCTTGAGGATGGAACGCCACGTCAAGGTGCGATCGCACCCTGGTCTTCTCTTCCCTTTGTCTACACAGTAAGGGCCTAGCATCTGCATACGTCTATCACACTTCCTGTCGCATTCCCGCTCATCTAGCGGTCTAGCCCGATTCTCGACCTGTGTTCCGACTCCAGCAAAGTCGGTGCTCCTCACCTTCAAAGCACCATCCCTCTGCGCTATCAAAGAGTCGCACGTCTCTCGCCGCCCACTGCCAGCTAGGACCTCTTACCTGTCACCTGTCACTGACGGCATACCGAACGCCAACTGTATCCATGTAATAACAGCAAGTCGATTCACCCATTAGCTGGTCGAACAACAATCATGGCAGGAGCGGTGCATATCCTGCTCGCGCGCGTCCCCGTTATATCCGCCACTCACAAAGGCCCCGTGGTGAACCTGATATCATGGATTGCCTTGACGACGATGTGTTTGGCGGTTATCACGGTCCTGATCAGCAAACTCGTGGTACTGAGGCGACTGACGTGGAACGACTCGATCTTATCCGCAGCCGTGGTAAGCTTCAGCGGGAAGCGACGAGTTTGAGGATATCTCCGTTATTGACTTTTGCTGTTTTCAAGATCTTCTCCATCGCCTTCACCCTCACTCTCAACCAGCAAGTCAGTGGCGGGCTGGGCTCCCAACTGTCCACCCTCTCCGACGACCAATATGACCGGTTTCAAAAGGCCGGATACGCCTGGAACATATTGTACATTGTTGCGCTGGGCTTGGGCAAGTCCTCGACGCTGTCACTGCTGCTTGCGCTTTCCCCGAACAAATCCTACCGCATCCCCATGCTGGCCGTGGGCGGACTGATCGTGGCCTGGGCCGTCGCCTCCATCATCGCCAGCGCGTTCCAATGCTCGCTACCCCACCCCTACCTCATTACGACAAACACCTGCTTCAGCCAGGTCGGATTCTGGGACGCCGTGGGCGTCATCGACATTTTGACTGATGTTGCGCTCATGGTCCTCCCCGTCTGGCTCGTCCACAACCTGCAACTCGCCCTGCAGAAGAAGATTGCCGTCTGTTTCGCCTTCTCGTTCCGAACTCTGGCCGTGGCGTGCACGGTCTGGCGCATAAGCGAGATGCACCGCTTCTTCGACCGCGGCACGGACGTGACGTTCGAGAGCTGGCTCCCGACCATCGCCACAATCCTGGAAGTCTTCTTCAGCGTCTTTTCGGCCTGCGTGCCCCACTTGCGACCGTTCATGGAATCCATCCAGGCCGGGTACCTCTCCGGAATGATTCAGGAAGGGGGCGGCCGCTTCGGCTACGGCAACGACAGCTACCTGATGGGCAAGATGGCGCAAAGCAAGGCCGTGTCAGCGATCCGGAGTCAAGCTCTGAAATCCGAAGTCCGAGGCGAGAGCTTCGACCTGCCCAGGCAGGGCATCACGCTGGGCCAGATAAACGACTCGACGGACCGGCACGGCATCGGACGGGCGATAAGCAGCAACCGCGTCGTGGTCAACAAAGTCTCTGCGGGCAAGCCCGAGAAGGACCTCAGCTCCGAGCGGAATCGCAGCGATAGTATTGGCTCGGACGGCGCCAGGAGCCACGGCAGCGATGGCAGCAAAGCCATGATCATCAAGACGACAAAGGAGTGGAGTATCAGTTATCAGGACGCGTAGGGGAGGCCTGCCATTTCTGTCTGTCCTACTGTCTGACTTGCGGTTCCTTCCGCCGCGGAGCAAGGTCGCATGTGTCTGGCTCCGTGATGCGTTAGGGAGCGTATCTGTACTTTCTACGAGGTTTAAGCGTGGACATCTATGAGGGGCTCTCTGGTCGTTTTGGATATAAGGGGAAAGGGTCGAGAAAAGGGTGTACAGTGCGGTCTATAGAGATACCAACCTCACGGAAAGCGTGGATGACTTTGGCAGAGGTATCGTGAGAGATGGCTATGCCACGACCTGCCGTCCTCTATCTCGTACTGTGTACTGCCGTCCACCCAGATTTTGCTTCGCGTAAACTTTGCGACCTTCCCCCCACGGCCTAGAATCCAGTCTCCGTGCTGTAACCCGACCCCAGGCGGGAGATCAGCATCAGCACCGGAACGGCAAGCACCGTGAGTCCACGGGACGTAGTACGTGCTCCGTACTGGATACCTTTCACGGCTTCCTATTGCCACGCGGCACTCAGGTACAGTATGTAGATGGGCCCCCATCGCGACCTCAACGGAGCATAGTGGTTCATCCTAGCTCATCCGACTGCGACGACGCTGACCTACCCGTGAGAATTGTGGCATAGTGCTCCGTACTCCCGTGTGACAGACTAACCATGGCCTCGCTTCCGTCGCGAACCCCACGTGCCTGCAGCATGCTAGTTTCAGTTTCTTTGTCTGCCTGCTGTTCCTGCATACCCTTGCACCGGCTCCCGTTCCTGAATTTCATCTTCCGTCTGATGTGGTGTTCTGGACCTAGACCCTCGATAGTGTCCGCTTGTCGAAGCGACGTGGCGGCACGACCCCATGTCCACTGTCTGCACTTGACCTTCTTGGATGCGGAAGTACTTTGTAGTACTGCGGGGGGAACTTCCAAGTACAAAGTAGCCCTCTGGGTTTCGGGATATTATTGTACTACAACAAAATGCTGTGTACGTGGCTGCATGACTATGCTGGCAGAAATGGCCAGGGCTGGACAGGGATAACGACGGGAGATAGCGGTCGACAACTGACAGGGGGTCGGAGTGCTACTCAGGGGTCAACTCCATCACTGCACGTGCGGTACAAGATCCTTGTCACTTCCGGAGCTGCCATGCCATGCCGGTAGCGTTCATGCAGTTGAAGCAAGCTCTCGCAAGAACCGGGTCAAGACTCCTTGGCCTTCTTATCTCGGGTATGCTAGGCTAAGGAGTGCACCAGGTGAGATGGACAACGAGCGATAAGCCCTACTGCTCGAACCGAGTAATTGTTGCGCCACGCTGCCCAATGCAGGAACACGGGACATGAGATTCCCTTCTGGTATAGTGTCAGGGACAGGAAGGAGAAGTTCAGGGCCCCTGGCTCGCGACGCAGGTGCTGCACTCCGTACCTGGCAGCATGCAATCAAGTCCGTCGCCTGGACGAGGCAGGAAGTACAGAGGAGGATGTGATACTCGGTATGGCATGCATGACTTGTGAAACTCCCAGACCGGCATCGAAGAGATTATTGCAAACAAGACGGTGTCTCGAGCGTCGAACGCCCAGACGACAGCTGTGGGATATCTCCTTTCTGCACGGTATGGGTGCTATCACCTATGCAGCGCTATCGATGCGGGTGAGAACTTTAGTTGCACGGTCGACACGACTTGAGCTATCCAATTCTTGATAGTGTAGAATGGGCTTTTTGCGCGAAACCTGGCTGGAGATAGCTTACCCTAGCTGACCTCAAACCAGGCGTCGGAAGTGATCATTGATCGGAGAGTCCTTGATATCGGCAAACCCGCAGAGCGACGGTGAACGGCCCTAGAGGTTCGCTCATTAGTCTTCGATGGCACTGCGTAGTGCTCGGCATCGCATCTGCCCGGCAGATGATCCAATATGAACTTGTGCAGAGTGAAATTTTCAGAACGATCCAGGGTCGGAGGCCTGCCACGCTGTTAGCTCCCGCGACGTCTAGAACGGACAACCATGTCTGCCGCAAGCATAGAGTACTCATTTCGCGTCGACTTGTTCTCATGCCCCTCCCTGATGTCGTCGACAGCTAGCAACGAGACTTGCAAGATGTATTCCCAATGTCAGATCAACAGGGACACGGTCGGAATCCGCGCAGACTATTGGCATCAGTTTTGTGACCGACAATGTCTGCCTCTTTGCCCCCCTTTAGCAGTGCCGTGCTCTTCTTGTAGGCCTCCTTTTGCATTGCCCGGAATGTGCTCTGTGGTGCGAGATTGGGGCGTGGGGAGGTCGCTCTTGAGGGAGGGCGTCAGGTCGGCTCGGCAGAGAGAGTACGGAGTGGTCAGTAGGAACTGAGGACAGGCTGACAACGCTAACTCGGAGATGAGGTTCAGGTCACCGGTAGGAGAAGGAAGGGTTTGCGGCTGCTCAGGACACTCGTTGCTGAGCTTGCTTCCGCCACAGCTCGAAGGACACTCAGCTACAGTAGAAGCAAAGCTGGATCTGCTATACGTCAACTAAAAGGTAGAATTTCGATGACCTGGGCACCTCGAGGTTGACTGGTGTCGGAGCGGCAAGCACGCTGTGCCTAAAGTGTCCAGTTTTCTGCGGGATTCCCTCGACGCCAGGAGTCCTCACCAGATGGCGATGATAATTTTGCGTGGGCGGAATGGGTGACGCTTCATCCTCGCCTCAGGGCAGTGACGACCCTGACAAAAACCACTGTCTACACAGAAGGCCACGGTGTCCTTTTCCGAGTAGCGCAACACGATCGTATCTCTTACTTACTGCTACTTACCTACCTTCTTCTCCAGGGGCTTGCTACCAGGCAAGCTTCCATGATGAAAAAGTGATAGAGCCAAAAAATACGCGGACAAGAGCCCCGAAGGACACTTGATGGCGACATCCACCGCGATGTGCAATGCAGGGACACCGCCATAGCGGGCTGAATGCTTGAGCTCAGTCGCTCCCACAAGGCTATAGACATGTTAGCTTTAGACGAAACGTTATGGGGCATCGAAAAGTAACGTACTAAGTATGAAGAAGACCAAGAGAAGATGGAGGGCGAGCGAGAAGGAAATACTGGAGGAGCGCCAAGCATTGCGCACTGACCATTAACAAAGGCAGCAAACATGCCAAGGATGCTGACTGTCGGCGGTGGAAGAAATGCTCCGTAGTAGTCCACGGTAAGCCCAATAGGCTCAACGCAAGATCTGGGTTGAGGCCGCTCAGGCCGCAAAAGCTCGTACATAATCGTGGTGGCACCCCCATCCTGCCTACACAGTATGTACAATCAAGCCTAGGCCTGGGCTTTGCTTGATAGTGCTTACCTACTTGGTAATTGTCACCGATGGTAACACCACATTCCCTTGTTGGGTAGTGTCGTATCCCGTGATGTGAGTTCGCCCCGCGGATAAGCCCCCGGGAAAGCGAGGACGCCTCCGACATCATTGCCTTGTTGTGATGCATCTTTGGCGGCTGCCACTTGCAAAGAGGTCTGAAATAAGCCTTCCATGGCGCAAGGCTTCATTGCAGCCTCGTCGGTCGTCGCACATCACTAACCCTCAATCATCAACCAATTGTACAGAAATCTCCGTAAAAGCACTTGCAGAAGTCTTTGTAGACAGGATGCCAATACAGCCGCTTTTGGAGCTCTGCCAGGATGCTGGTTGCTGATTGCCCAAGGCCACCACGATCGACTCCCTCCCTGGTCGCTCAGCTTACTCGTCTTCGCCGAAACGTCTCCCCACGGGGCAAACACGAATTCTGCGAGGTGAATAAGATGGAATGTTCGAAGTCCCAGTTATTCCAGCTCGTCATCGATCAAGTGATCACCTCCTTTTTGCCGCTGAAGGGCACGCCATGCATAACATTGCCGGAGCCTTCCGGTAGGTCCGTGTTTGACCTAGCCTTGCCTTTTTGCCCGCTATGCTGCCGGAAACCGAGGGGCCAAAGAGTCTCTCATGATTCTACGCAAGCATATTGACACTGTACTGCACAGGAGTTCATGAAAGTTTGCGCCTGGATAACTTCCAGTTCGGCAATTGAGTGCCTGCCTCCCGCTCCGGCGGCCCTGGGGCCCTGGTACCTTGCTCACTGTTGGCCGGGTGGGCCACGACGAAGCAATTGAGAGGCCTTTCGTATTTTGAGTCGCCCCTGATGTTCGTTGATACGTCAGATTTTCAGGGAGTCGTCCCCGTGCTTACAGAAGTGTTCGAGAAATCACTCATCTGGCCACACAATTGGGTCTACTACGATTCACCACCACACGATGCTCGAGTCATCCGCCCGCCTCCGCTTTTCTCGAAGTAACCTTGGGTTCATGGTGGCCGGATTGCGATCCACGTGTTCAGGCATGGTCTGCATTGGGGCAGGCCGACGCCCGACTATAAGAGAACCACCCAGTCACTCCAGTGCATATACATTCTGGCAGTCCACCTCCTCCCTTCAGTACAAGAGGTGACTAAGCACGCATAGCTCAAGCGAATATGGGGTACCTCGACAAGTTTCATAGGCCCGAGTTGACTCGCGAGTCACTCGGCCTGACCAACTGGGTGAAGTACGACAAGTACAATCCTCACGCCGAGGGTGCGACAGACGCGAGAAAGTCATTGGCGAACCTGGACTACTCCCCACTCCGTCGAGTAACAATGGCATCCTTCTTGATGGGCGTTGCCATCTCTATGGGCGGTTTCATCTTCGGTTATGACACTGGTCAGATTTCCGGCTTCCTAGCCATGCCCGACTTTTTGGAAAGATTCGGTCAACGACACAGCGACGGGACTCCCTACTTCAGCAATGTTCGGTCAGGCCTCATTGTATCTTTATTGTCGATCGGCACCTTGATCGGAGCTCTTGTTGCTGGGTTCGTCGCCGATGTCATCGGCCGGAGACTTAGCGTTACCTTTTGGTGTGTTGTCTTCTCCGTCGGTACCATTGTCATGATATCTGCAGAGCACCACTGGTATCAGGTCATGATGGGCAGATGGGTAGCAGGTCTTGGTGTCGGCGCCCTCTCACTGCTTGTGCCCATGTACATGGGTACGCCGATCACTCACCGTTCGATATGTTCTTCACTCACTTTCTGCCTCTGCAGCTGAGACTTCTCCCCGCCATATCCGTGGCGCTCTGATCAGTACATACCAGCTTTTTGTATGTCGTACGGTCCATCACAGATCAGACTCTCTGTGGCTAACGCCTGATAGATCACCTTTGGTATCTTCTTCGCTTCATGGTACGTCTGACCACTCCTATCGTTATTGGATACTGACTCTTCACAGTGTGAATTTCGGGACCTACGAGCACCAAAGACACAATTCCAGTTCGTGGAGAATCCCACTCGGCCTCAACTTCCCCTGGGCTTTTATTCTGGGTGGAGGGATTCTCTTCTTCTCCGACACTCCGAGATACCTATACAGAAAGGGGCATAAAGAGGGTGAGTTCTCCTTGTGCTGCGCTATGCCCGTTTGAGACGGCTTTCTCGACGTCACCCCTTTCCAAGCGAACAGGTTACTGACATGCTTTCTCGGAGCACATCAGAGGCCAAGCGGATCATGGAGAAAGTCTACGGCGCTCCCGCCAACCACTACGCCATCCACGTCGAGTTGGAAGAAATCGAGGCCAAGCTCCGCGCTGAAGCTAACAAGGAAGGGCCTCTCGCCGAATGGTTCCACATGTTCCGGGCCCCCAAGATGGCATATCGCATCGCACTGGGCATGACATTGCAGATGTTCCAGCAGCTGACGGGCGCGAATTACTTTTTCTACTATGGTACTGTGATTTTTCGAGCAACGGGAATCAACAACTCCTTCGTCACGCAGATGATTCTGAACGGCATCAACTTTGGCACGACGTTCTATGGCCTGTACATTGTTGAGCATTACGGACGGCGGAAGTCTCTCATGGTCGGATCGCTATGGATGTTCATGATGTTCCTCATCTTCGCCAACGTCGGCCACTTCTCGCTCGACAAGCAGGATCCTCAGAGAACAGAGTCCAGCGGCACAGCCATGATTGTTATGGCGTCTTTCTTCATCTTCGGTAAGTCATCCTTGGCGCTCTCACCTCGACGTTCCTGCATCTGTGTCGACGCATTCTAACATCTTGTAGGATTTGCGACTACATGGGGTCCCATGATTTGGACCATCTGCGGTGAACTCTACCCGTCCCGCTACCGCGCCAAAGGCATGGCCCTCTCGACCGCCTCTAACTGGCTGTGGAACTTTCTTCTGGCGTTCTGGACTCCTTTTATTGTATCAGATATCGACTTTTTGTACGGGTACGTCTTTGCTGGCTGCAACCTGGTTGCCATCCCGTTGATCTACTTCTTCGTCATTGAGGGACAAGGCCGTACGCTCGAGGAGATCGATACGATGTACATCCTAGGAGTAAAGCCATGGAAGAGCAGCACCTGGGTACCACCACCGCCGGAAGAAATTGCCAAGATCCGCCGGGAGGCCGGCACGGCCGAGGGTCTCGATGAGGCCGGGGAGATTGCGCCGGCTGGGGATCGCACCAGCGACGAGAGCAACATGGAGAAGGAGGCCGAGAAAGAGGCCGAGCATCATGCCTGAACTCGTAGTCGTTGGTCTTCACCGACAGCAAGGAGCGCACTCACTGATGTGGCTGGCAAAGAGGCAATGGCGGTCACTAGGGACTACGAGCGGCGAGAAAGCAGCAAGGACTCTGTTTGAGGTTGATGACGGGGGGAAGGCACCTGGAGAAAGCAGCAGAGCTGTGTTCGAGGTCGATGTTGTTGGGAGGGGAAGGGGGGGGGAAAGGAGAGCACCTGGTGAAAGGAAGACAAAAACCACAGCATTCTGTTTTTGGAGGGAGGAAGACATGAAAGACACCTTACGCACTCGCTACGATACTTATATACCCGCAGTTATCACTTTTACCATATGATAATGTCTACGAAGCACCATTGAGGCCTCTCTTGGACAATGTCGTTCTGGAGGCCTCTACAGAGCAAACACAAGATCCAGACGATGTGCTTTAAATGCAATCTATAACCGCCAACCACAACAATTTGGTAGTAACTATCCTCAAGGCACGTCAGCGTGCAGAGTGAACCTCAGACCGAGCACGGCTCACTGGCACACCCACCACGGTCCACAGATGAGTCACAGCGTTGTTTTAAGTGGTAGTGCAGCGATACATAGAGTACACTGGCACGCCGAGGGTGCGCCATCCAGTGCTTCCTTCGTCACAATCAGAACCACCGCATCCTACCTAGGGATCTTCTTCGCGCTTACTCTACACCATTTGCGGGGCCCCGTACGAAGGAGCCTTATACTACCTCCTCGGACTCGTTCATGCGGCATTCCATTGTCCCGCTCCGGGCCATTCATCTTGTGCAACCTCTGAGTTGGTCCGCCCAACCATCCACCCGCCAATCTTCTTACTCTCCTATGTTCCTTGATGTACGCCGTACGCCGGAGCAATTCCCTGCACGGCGGATGTGGCCGTGGCGATCTCACCCGCATTATGGTGAACTAGCTGCCGCTGCATACACAGCACCATTGGCGTGGACGCTGCCTGCCCGCCTTCGTCAAGAACGCAAGGGGGTCTAGGTATTGGTGAGCCGACCGTTCGGTCTGTCAAGTGGTACTCAGTGCAACTGGTACGGCACGTTCCTATATCTTGACTCTGAGTCCCTTATGCCCCAACGTACTTATGATGATAATAACGATGGTGATGATGATGCTGGCGTTATTAAGCCAGGTTACACAACACATACGGAGTACACGAGGGACTTCCCAGATAATCACGATATATTAATCTGAATTGGGCACACTCAATGGTTTATTTCCACAACTATTATAACAGGAATACCTCGGAAGGCCTCACAGCGGTTCAGATTAATACGAGGGCCCCCACTAGTAATGCAGCACATATTATGCACAGTGTTATACCCGGAGCTACTCATAAAGGAGGTAAATAATTGATTTGACGTACACGGTATCTCCCGACAGCAGCAATAGCGCGCCGTTCTATTCAGAGCATGCCCTTTCCATCGCCTTTGTGGGCTGTAGACTACGAGCTGTCTATGTGAGCATGGGGTCCAATCTTGCCTACGTATCCTGTCCCTAAAGTCCTCACCCCTCATCTATGCTCAACAGGTTCAGCATCACTCGTCCAGCTTGCCAGCAGGGTACTCATGCGCAGGCGAGTGGTCCACGATCTGTCCTTTTGCGATCATCTTGTTCCTGCTCGTCGACGTCTTCCACACGGGCCTGCCAGAGAAGTAATACTCGTCGATCTGCTCCAGCGTGAGTCTTGCCGTCTCGGGAACAAGCAGGAACGTCAAGACCAGCATCGCAAAGGTCACTCCGGCATAGAAGTAGCCGACAGTCAGGCCCATGTTGCCGTAGTCCGCGCTGAGCATGTAGGGCCCGTAAAAGGAGGCCGCGAAGCCAAAGATCTGATAGACCGTTGTCGTCGACGCCTGCCCGTACGTCCGGAGCCGGATGTTGTGCTGTTCGGGCGCCGCGATCCAGACACTCGTGCCGATGAACATGCCAAACAAGAAGGCCCACAGGAAGAGGAACACCAGCAAGACCACCTTGGCGGCATTGCTTGCCTGGCCGAGCGTCGAGCCCACAACCGCAATGATCAACATGCAGATCGTCATGCTCGTGTACCCTGAGAGCATGGCGAAGCGGCGGCCCCCGTACTCGATGACCCAAGGCCCCGGGATGGCCCCAGCCATGGTGCACACCGCGGCCAAGAAATTGTTGAGGAAGACGTTCTTGATGCCGACCTTGGCCAGGAAGATGGCGCCGTAGGGGCCGACGAACTTGGATCCCGTGATGGCCAACCCGACCATGATCAAAGCGCTCACCGCCGTTCTCCGCAGGTTGGACGAGTGGAAGATCTCGGTCCAGCTGGTCGTCGAGCCGTACAGCCGCTCCATGTCGATGTGCCGCTGCACGTCCTGCACCTGGAGGAGCACGTCGGGGTGGTCGGCCGGTTTGGCGTAGAACCAGGCGAACGATCGCCTGGCCGCCTCTTCGCGGCCTTTGGTCAGCAGCCAGCGCGGGGATTCGGGGAAGCACAAGGCGCCGAACCCCAAAATGAAGGACAGGGGAATCTGGCAGATGATGGGGATTTGCCAGGCCAGATTGCTGTGCGTGTATGTTGATGAGCCCCAGCAGACTGCTGCCGCCGCGGCGTTCCCGGAGCCCAAGCCGATGTTGTACAGCGCGAGGAGCATGCCGCGCTTGCTGGCTACGGTGCACTCCGCTCCGTAGACCACCGCGGCGGCGATGATGTGGCCGAGCCCGACCCCGCCAATGCACTTGCACACCAGGTAGGCCGTGAAGTTTCCGGCCGTGCCCAGCATGCCTCCCGCTCCGATGGCCGCGAACAAGGCACCCACCTGCATGGTGCCTCGACGGCCTAGGTAGTTGCCTGTAATGCCGCTGATGGCGCCCCCCAAGGCGACAAAGAGCAGTGTCAAGGAGACGAGACCCTGTTGAAGCGCCGTCTGTGAACACACCACTGCTGTGATGCCTGTCTCGAGGTCGGTCTTGGGAGCACACCGGCCGAACGATTTCCTATATGGCGCCATCTGAAGGACCGTGCCGCCGAAGCCTTGGACGGCATTGTTAGCTGCCCATGCACTGACTAGGAGGTCTGCTGAACTTACCCAGATCGAAGTTGAAGATCCAGCCAGCAAGCGAAACATATAGAGCGATCAAGATCATTTGCTTGGTTGCTTTCTGAGAGGAGGGTGCGCTGGTACTGGCAGGGGGAGCATCCTCAACGGAGTACTCCTTGGTCTCTGTGGTAGGGGCCATGTCTGTCTTGACGTCCGCCATCAGGTTAATGCTAGGTCGTGGTCTTCAGAGGTGGCTACCACTGTAAGTGCAATTGGTGTGGAGAAAAGCTCAAGGCTGGCGAGGTGGGCAGTGCGCATCTTTTATCGGTTATCGAGGGCCGGGTCCGGCGTCTCTCGACAATCGGCGTACGGGGGAGGGCCACGCTTGCGAGGGCCTTCCCTAGATTTCCCCGCAATGATAGTCTTACCCGGTACCAATATGCGCCCCGATCTTGTCTGTGAAGAGCTAGACCGAACGGCGAAGCCATCGATTAGCCCAAGTCGGCGGTGGTGGCGGTCTTGGTAGAGGGACAGATACACAAAATGTGGGACGAGAGTCACTATGATATGCGGGGCAACAACCGTCACCGAGGATCGCTTCACCGCCCACCCCGTTTCAAGGGTAGGGAGGTCGTCAAGGCCGACCCAAGCGAGAACACTGCGTCCGTGATAGATCCATGCACCGCACTACGGGACGGAAAGTCAGACAGATGTAGTCGGCGCACCCCGTAGACCGCTCCACATGACAAACCAGCACAAGGCTGCGGGCCAGGGGATGCTGGCAGTGGAGAGTCCTGCATATGTCTTGACTATGCTGATGCTTTCTTTCATGCTGGTCGTGGGAACTATGGGAGCCCTGGTCCAGAACGTGGCTAGCTGTCATGTTAGGTTGTCGTAAGCGAGCGGGTGCATATCGGATGGTGGAAGCCAAGGTGAAAGGATAACTACTCGAGTCAGAAAAGTGAGAATCATCACTGGTTCTCTTGCAGAGACAGTGAGGCAGATGTGCAACATTTGTAAGTGTCAAGATGACTCTGCTATGTCCCCTCACAGGACTTTCCAAGCATCGCGGATTTCTCGCGAGGTTGCGACGTGTGCACTTGTGGGTAGGACATGTGTAGCCAGCATAGCGTGGAGGCCAGGGACCGGATCAAAGCAAGCATCTTCCGCCACTGTCACGATGAAGCCACGATCCGTCGCCGCACGGGTAGTGCTCAAGACACAGCCTGAAGTACTGATGCCCCCGAGGATGAGGGATCTAATCCCTGTCGCCCTCAGGACCTCAGCAAGTCCATGCGATTCCAGCGCAGAGATGGACCCTGGTGTTCTCACAAAATTCGCCTCCAGGTTAGAAGGACGCCAAACTGCAAGCAGTCCTGATTCGCGTCCGAGTTCGGGTGCTGCTGCGAAAGAAGCCTCGTACGCCTTCCATTTAGTTGCAGTCCTGGTATGTCCAGGAGGTTGTGTGCCTGGTGAAGTATCGATGAGGCAGTGGAAGACCCTTATGTTCTTCTCGAGCGCCCAATCCCGTAAGCCAGCAGCGATATTGGTGATACTAGCCCAGACTCCATCTCCGACCAGTCCCCGGAGGATGTTCTGATAGTCCATGAGTAGCAGGGCGGTCTCATGCGGGGGGATGGACAGTGGTGAAGTCGGATCTGAGGGATCGAGGACTGCGTTCGCCATGGCTGGGTCAGCTGCTCGTGGTGCGCTGGGCAAAAGGTATTCAACCTTGTGCTGGAGGTTTACATTCACAGATCTGCAGGGAGAATGTGGCTATGATATGAGGTTTCTGACCGCGGGAGCAAGGCCTAGAAGAGGTGAAATGCCTCGCAGGTACCAAACGGAGATAAGCCACCCCTTCTCACAAACACCGGATTTACACACCTTTACACGACCTGCGATTGGCGAGACAGGCCCGACAGCGGTACGGTATCCTTGAGTGATGCTTTCCGGCTCTGTGGACATGGCAAGCCATGGTGCCCATGCAAGAACTATGCGAAGGTCTGCAGTAGGGCATGATCGTTTAGTGCGGAGTTCGAGACCGGGCCCGATCAGCTGGGTTTTTTCTTACTGCAATATCGTGCTGACCCGTCCGTTTTCGTGCAGGTGAACCCTTGGCAGCCGGCATCCTGCTGACGACCTGACTGGATTGGCGAAGAGAATTGCAGGTCACACATGACCCGTCACCAAATGCTGGATCTGAGCTCCAAGCCAAGCTCTACGCACGTTCCTAGCGGTAAAGCTCCTAGAAAGGCTCAACGCTGCTTTCTCGCCGAACGTCTGAGCTAGCGGAGTCATAGGAGCATTGCTCCCTTGAAGGCGATATGATAGCTTCCTGCAATCAGGGAAAAGCCCATGTCCACACGAGGGTGGTTGACGTTGTGAGAGACGTTTTGAGGACCTCTGCTGATACTACCCGGTCGAAATGATTCCCAGGGTTTACCGCGACAAGGATGTTCAAGTTCCCAGCGGCTTGAGTAGCCCATCCTGGGCATCCGGCAGTTGGCAGGAATTTGCAGAGGTGATAGCCGTCAGGAAGAGTAAATTCGGCATGGCACGATATAGCGAAGGGTATTGCGGGGGGTCCGGCGCCGTCTTGATATCATCCGTCAGGTTCGCATACGAGTCCCAGCTGGCAGACAGCGGTCGGCTCGAGTTAGCGGTGCTGAGATACAGTAGCTGGTGTAGATTGAGCACGACTTTCAAGATGGATTGAGGCAAGCAGAACGAGGCGAAGGAGGCAATCAAAGAGAGCCGCCAAACCTTCCTCGTACACACGAGGCTCGCCGTGTCTCGTGCCTGCGGAGTTTGGAACAGCAGCGCAGCCGCCATCGCTCAGTCACCAGTGACGCGCAATTGAGCACACGTTGATTGCAGCCACCTTATCCCTCTCTGCCGCATCGATGCCCTTCTAGGCTAGCCAGCATTACTCCTGGAGTCGTATTTGTTATTCGGGACTGTTTCGCTCCGAATTCGTCGGTCCAAGAACGTCACTCGGCGGCAAGGCTGCAGCTGGGCTTGCGAATAGCCTCTTGCTGTATATCCCACGTTGCTCGCACGCCTCGGTGTAACGACTGTTCGACCTGAGCGGAATCGCAAGAGAGGCCAACACCTAATCAACTCTATTAGCCGGTATGAGACAGGATAAATAACGTGTTTCTGGCATGATATCCTCCCTTCAGTGGCCTCAGACATCAACGCGGAAAATCTCTAGCACGATATGGAAGACCTGGTCAGCGTCAACAATCACATGAAGCATGCCTTCGAAGTTTCACGAGCAACATCTCCCGCCGGTACCATAGTCATGCAAGATGGTCAGACCAACGACGCTGGAACACCGGCCAAGCGCAACAGGCCCCGAACCTTCCCCTACTTCTCAACTCTGCCTTACCCAGTCGAAGATGAAGCTACGAGACAGGAGAATTTGGCGAAAATCCTCAAGCGCCTCTACATTGCCATTCAGGCTAGTGATTTCACTCCAGGCGCGGTGCATTGGACGAGGGAACTCCGCAGCTGGCTCTCACTCAAGTTTGATCCGACGAAAGAGCAGCGTGTGAAGCTTGTGCAACTCTACTATGAACTGGCGCTGGCCCCTGGCATCGACCCAGTCGTGAGTGAACGCTTTGCCAGCATGTTCATGCTGCTCATCAAGTGCGTCGACGAGTCCCGCAATCTTGTCCAGAGCTAACAGTCTCCAGGAAAAAACATTACCTACGCCCCCTCGTCGATCTCACCCTCGATTGGCGCCCGCTTTATCGTGAAATGAAGGTGTTCGTTCTGCCCAGCGAATCGGGTCTCGTGCAGACTACCAATCTCAAGAGAAATATCAAGACACTCGTCAAGCTCTGTTCGTTCGCTCAGTTGTATTTCGACCCCGAGGATATCCCGTCCATGCTGGAAGAAATACTGCCTCATTTCACGATGTCGGCAACAGAGGGTGCTTTTGTGGTCATCGGCCTGCTCAACATGCTTTTACCCACAGCACCGCCTCCGCCCAATCGATCCGACTTGAATCCGCAGCATTTCTTGCCAACCTTCTTTCACCTAGGTTCCTTAGTAAACCGCTCCCGGACCGTGGATGTGGCGCTCATTGATCTCTTTTCTCGCCTTGCTCGAGATTCTCTGCCTAGCAAGCAGGTTGGCTTCTCAGAATTTGGCATTTTCACCGCCGAGCAATCGACCTTGATTACCACCGCAATCCTAAGACTACTAGAGATACCCGTCGGGCAGTCCACTTCGCCGTACAGTGCTCTTGTCGATATTACAGCTGGTATGGGCTTTCTACTGGATCGAGATACCAGGAAACACCCAGTCTCGCACCACATTGCCCGATGGTTTATTATGTCTATGTCACCGTCTTGCTTGGACAAGGAGACATCCGTGCTGTCTTTGCTTGAGAACCTGATCCAGGCAATAGAGACTTTCTTCCATCCGTCAAACTCTGGCTCTTGGACGAGAACGTTGTCCCAGCTTGTCTTCTACCTGGCCGACTTCTTCGTCATGCGGTGGAATCGGGAGCGCAACGGAGAGATGGAAGTCCCGCCAGAACGGAGACTCAATGAAGCGATCCGGAAGCGATTTGTCCTCTGCCTACGCGACGTCATCTTCATGGGCATCTATGCGAAGAGTGGTACAGCAATGAGTTATTCTTTGTCGACCCTACAGGCGCTAGCTTTCTTGGAGCCGGATCTGATCCTTCCTGGCGCATTGCAGCGCATCTATCCTTCCATGCAGGGACTGGTGGAGGTGCACCGAACGATCTCGTCGATTCGCGCCCTACAGATACTTGCCAGGACAATGATCAGAACGAAAGGCTACCGCTGTCACATTACGGCTCTTCTTGGCCTTGCCCTACCTGGCATCGATGCCAATGATCTTGACAAGACTTTGTGCACCTTGTCATTCTTCGCCAATGTCTGCTACAACATACCTTTTGAAGATCTTTCCAAAGGGAGAGATGATGTTCAAGGCAACATCTTGGCTATCGAATGGATTACTGGGGAGATGGAACGTATGGAGCAGGAGGGCGCCGCTGTTCAGCTCAACTATGCAGCCTTGAACGAAAAAGATGAGGAACTGATACTTGCCTCGTCCACTGCTGGGTTGGCTGAGTTTGTGACTTCTTTCCTGGGCAGAGTCTTCACACTGCTCGAAAACCTGCCCGATGCTGCACGTGTACGGAGTGGCTCTCCAGAAGAGAACATTGTCAATACTCTTCCAGCAGCGTTTGCACCGCTCTTGGCCTCTCTTTCTCCAGAGCTGTACGACCTCGCGTTGAACAAGATTGTCGATTTTGTTGCCAACCACGTAATCCACCAGTCAAGAGATGCCATGGCGTTCATCTGCAATTGCCTCTGCAAGGTTAATCCTGAAAAGGCTCTGGCGAAGTTCGTCCCGGTACTGGTAAGCGCCATTCGGACAGAAATCGACGAGAACGGCGCTGGCTCAACCAGGAATGCCGCTTCCGATGTCCTACCTAGAGACCGCGGCTTGGTTTGGAACATCAGCATGTTGAGCATGTGCGTGGTGCACGTCGGCTCGGCTGTCCTGAAATACAAGCAAGAGCTCTTCGACATCGCGGTTTACATGCAGCAGAAATGCAAAGGCATGCCGACTGTACACATTTCCAACTATGTGCATCATTTACTGCTCAACCTGACTGTCACTTATACGGCCGACTATGCTTTGTACGAGCCGGAGAAAGCCAAAAATGGAGTGACTGCGGACTTCTGGGGAGCGTCTGAACCACCTGCGACGATCAATCCGAAATGGCACGTCCCGTGCAAGGAAGAGGTCGACTTCGCGGTTGAACTGTTTCAGACTCAGGCTGAAAGCGCCATCCAGCATCTGCAGCGTCTTATTGACGGCACATCTAGCGTCAAACGGGACGGCAGTGGCAAAGAATGGTCAGATGAGGTTTCCAGAAACCTAGTCCTTCTTCGCCTGCTGCTCTCTGGTATATCGGTCCTGTTCGATGCCAAGGGCGTAAATGAGGGTCTGACAACAACCGCTGCCGGCACCGAAGCTGACACTGTGATGTCTCAAGCCAACGGCCATGCGCCTGAAGAGAATCAAGGGACCAGTGACGCTGACACTACCCTTGATGGCACTGATGAGACGTCCCTCAAGCCGTCGTTCCAGTACCCTGCGGGCGAGATCCTCAAACCCGACGACGACAACTACAAGCTTGTTCACCGTCTCCGACAAAACATAGGTCACGTGCTTCATGATGTCCACGTCTTTCTAACGCAATACGCCGAAGATGATGTGTCTTCATTCGCCCCGCTGTACACCGCTTACAGATCATTCTTTGTCGATGTTGGCATTGAACGTTCGGCTCATGTACTTGACCGCGTCACTCGACTACTGCATGCCGACGAGCAGCCGTACAAGGTAGCGGGAGTTCGAAAAGACTATCCTCGCTCGATCCTTGTTCGACGAGCGAATGTTTATCATACGCAGAGACTGCGCCACAATGCTGCACCGAGACCACGTTCGGAGCTCGACGAACAGCTTCTCCTAGATCTCGCGCAGTCCGCGGTGTCCTTGTACACCGAAGTCCGACGCAACGCGCAGAGTGCGGGAGAATCTGCTCTGAAAGTGGTCTTTGGAGCCCGTCTCTACGTCATCCCACCACTCCTGAAAGCTTTCCAGGAGGCCGTCGAAAAGAATGATTTTCCACGTATCAAGGGCGGTTTATTCGCCCTCCTGTTCGGCAGCCTGGCAAAGACCGTTGGGAGACACTGGAAATACACGCCAACCGTCATCAGAACGTTCATCGAAGCCAGTAGTGCCGACAAGCCGTCAATTCAAAAATTGTGTTCCGGCGGCCTCTTCCAAATCATGGATTATGGTCGACCAGGCGATCGCATGGCGATCATCGATCGTACAGTTGTTGATCCCCTTAATCCGGACGACGACGTGGAGGACCAAATTGTGAAAAAGAAAGCCTTCATCTTGACTAAGCGTGCCAACATCGAACGCAGGAAGGCAGAACTGGCCGAAGAGCTGGTTGAAATGTGCCGTTCTTCACATTGGAAGAAAGCCTCGCGTGTTGCTACGCTGGTCATGTCGTTGGGCATGCGCTTCGATACTGTGGCTCCAGACAGCATGATCGAATTGGTGACCCTCGGCACCATAGATCCTCATCCGGGTCTGCGTGGACTATACTCCCAAGCCCTGGTCGCCCTCTTCACTATGACTGATGTCAGGGCGGTCTCCAACCATGACTATGCAAATTACATCCAGGCAATCCAGCAGTTCCCTGCGAAGGTGAAGGTTGAGACTAAAGCCGGAGAAAAGTCATGGACGGATGAATTCTTGAAGACCTTTTCCCAGCCTGAAGCCGACGTCTACATTGATCACGACTACCCAGGGTGGCTAGTTTGGTCAAAGGATATGCCTGGCTATAAGGCTAATATTCAGAAGGACATCGTCTACGATGAACTTGAGTGGGCGAAACGAGCCAGCATCGGCCGGCTCCTCGATCGAAAGTGGTTCAACACTTTGTTCATGTATCTGAAGCAAGAGCCTCGCGACACTTCTGTGGACAAGTTCCGTGTCGCAAGCGCAGCCATGTTGACATATGCCTTCGAGTTGATTATCAGAGATGGCCTGACCGTTGCCACGTTTGAAGACATCAAGGAAGAGACGATTGCGGTCTTCGGAGATGGGAGCGACAAACATCAGCACCGTGCAACGGCTGAAATCCTTGCTGGTCTGGTCACTTCGGTCATGGACAACTCGATCGAGCACAGAACGATGGTGTGGGAGTTCGCCTTCCCCATCATCCAGCGTGTGTTTGCGGATGGCCTGACACCCGAAAACTCTGGTTACTGGACAAATTTTCTGCGCATGATACTTCAGGCTAGAGACCCCCGCCGAGCCTGGCCTTTAGTCGAGTGGCTTACAAGCTTCCGGCTCGACATGTCGTCCAATGCCGCCTTCAAAGAGAGCTCCAAGATCCATCTGCTTCACCAAGTGGTCATGGAAGCAGGCTGGCATTTTCAACTCGAAAAGCCCATCGTGGAGAACTTCCTCGGTCATATCGACCATCCGTACAAGGGCGTTCGTGAATCCATGGCCCAGACCCTTGCCGCCATCACCCGTACTCGCTATCACGAATCGTACAAGGATGTCAATGAGCTCGTGCAGGCCCAGAGCAATGCGGGTTCTATTGGCACGCAGCCTTATCTTCCGACCAAGGAGTTTGATGACACCATGAGCGAAGTTTTTACGCGGCTCGAGAAGTGGCGACATGAGCGCACACCTGGTCAGCAAAGTCCTTCTGCCTACACGTCTGGAAGTAAGACGATATTGTTATGGCTCGACTCGATGTTGTCCTCGTATGAGTGCACTCAGCTACTCAAGTACTTCCCGGATCTGTTTATGGAGCAGTTTCTGCACATGATGGACGTCAAAGAGGTCAGTACTCTCCACAACCTGTAGCTGGTTGATCAATATCCCCCAACCTTTGTCGTCCCAAACAAAGGCCAACTGCTAACTACGAACAGGACCCCGAGCTCCAGTCACTGGCCTACCATGTATTCCGTCATCTTCCGAACATCCCACATCGTATCGGAGAGGACCAAGCAATGATTGATGCACTGATTCGCATTGGAAGAACGGCTTCGTCCTGGCATCAACGTCTTCGAGTCATGATTAACATGCAGATCATATTTTTCAGACGCCTGTTCTTGCTCTCAGAGGAAAGCAAACAGAAGTTGTTCAGCTGTGTGGCAGATATGCTCGAGGACACACAGCACGAGGTTCGAGCAGGTGCCGCGACAACTTTGTCCGGGATGATCCGGTGCTCGCCTCTTGGGCTACGCGAGAGGATGATCAAACAGCTATCAGATCGTTTTACGCAAACTCTCATCGACAACCCCCTACCGAAGAAGCCAAAGGGACAACTAGCCGGGCTGTCATCAGCCCGGACCTCAGGAACTAACACACCCAGCCCAGAAGCACAGCGGCTAGTCGTCGTTCGCCATGCAGCGGTGCTTGGCCTGGGTGCATTAATTCAAGCATTCCCTTATACGAGTCCACCGCCAGCCTTCATTCCCGACTTGCTTGTCCAGTTGTCGAGAAGGGCAGCAAATGACCCAGGCACGGTGGGAAATGCCGTCAAGAGCATCATTGCTGAATTCAAGAAGACACGTGTTGACACATGGTTCGAGGATAAAAAGATCTTCGACCCTGAGACTTTGGAAACGCTGGCTGGAGTGCTATGGAAGAGCTACTTTGCCTAGACCTTCCATCCACCAGCAGGACGTGCTGATGTTTTGGGCATAGCGTGGGCGTTGTGTTTTAAGGTACTCGGTTCATGTTGGGGCCATCAACAGGTCCACTGGCACCCTGGGTCTATGAATTGGTCATTGGTCTTCCTTCAGTTAAATGTGTAATCACACTTTTCGACGGGGATTTGGGCCTGGAGGGCAGAAGATTACTATGTCGGGACGTCACCGTTTCGTTACTTGAAGTGCTGCAACAGAAGAAGGACTTGGAGGACCACGACTTTAGCGGCCATTGACCGCGGCATGAGGAAGGTAGATATTCTTCATGCAGTACAAAACGAGAGACAAGCAGCCGTAGAGACACCCGATAGAAGTAGGGCCTGTTCACGAAAACACTCTTAAATCATTTTCAGCACCAAAGACGGTCCTTTGATGCGCTGACTTGTCCCGCAGCGTGCCTGAAACAATACCCAAGTACTATAGTCAAACAGAGAGCTAGCCAGCGACTGCGCCTGCAGAGTCCACTAGTGCTCGTTGTACGAGTATAGGTCCCGAGGCTGCGTTCACCAAGATGTGTCTAAGGGATCTCAAGCTTGAGGGTCTCTCGGGCCAAGTATATCGAGGCAACAGCTGGAGGCTTTGCTGGTGCCATAGGTAGAATGCTGAAATGAAAGGCTCATGCTCCAGTCGATATCCATTCTCATACACACTCCAAAGCCTTCCATACCGCCGGCTGTTCGACCACGATCCGCATGCCGACTTCTATGGCTCCTCCAACTTCAACAGTGCTCATGATACCCGCCTTCCGAACAACAATTGCTCGCTGCTCATCCCTCTCGACGAACCGCTCTTGCAACCCTGAACGGAAGTGGTTGATTTGCGGACACGGGTTCCGCAGCCCTGTCACCACCAGAACGGGATGACCGGCGGTCTCCGATCTTTCCTGAACAATTCCAGCTCCAGGTCCGCCGTCTTTGAGATCGCTCCCAGTCGTGCCAGTACCGGTGGCCGTCGCGGCCGGAGACATCAAGTGCAACCTCGTCCCCGCGCCCAGCTCCAACAACTTAACTCCCTTGGTCGTGATGTTCTCACCTAACTCCCCAGGCTTCACTTTGAGCTCGTCAAGAATTTCCAAGTCGATAAGGTGTACCTGCCGGAGGTTCTTGGGCGGTGGCCTTATTTTCAGTCTTGAGCGGTGTTGGACCGTCTCGCCGCAGTGGCAGTCTCCCTTTACGCCCAAATCAGGGAGTAGTGTTAGGGTATTGGAGGATTGTTTAGAGAAGTTGTGCTGGGCGGAGAAGGAGAGGGCATGGACGGACATCTTGTCGCGAGAGAGCACTTCAACAACAATGACGTTCAGAAATTGGGAAGGGATGGATAACGAGGATCTTCCGCCTGAAGTCAAGACTTGGTTGCTATCAAATTAAGACGGCGCACTGTGTCAATGGTACCATCTGACGATTTCAAAGAAGCCAGTGTAGCGATAAGTCGACGGCTTCGTATTTCGACGTATTGGACCAATGTGGGGTATGAAACTGCAATGCTCACTTCGGCCTTGTCTCCTCAGTGGTCATAGGGAATCAAATAGTCACTGCTCCAGCGAGTTGCCTTTCGTGGTTTCCTTGCACATCTGCCGCGTGTCCGGTTGGTGACTGGAGCTGCTGGAGCTGCTGGAGCTGCTGTCTTATACCTCTGCGTCTAGTGCTATATGCTTCGCCGCATTCGTCCTCGAGGCAGAACGTTCAGGCGAGACTAGCGTGCCAAGAACAGAGACCTGAGCTGCGAGTTGCCATCATCGAGGTGCATCCGAAAGACCATGCAACAGGCCTCAACTTTATCATCCAAATCGACAGTGAGTGCCACCAAAGCTCGCGGCTTTCTACCAATTCATCTACACTCTCATCTGGGCCTGGGCGGCTCTTGTCTCCCCTCCTCCACCGCCCAGCATGGCCCACAAGGACACCCTCTTCCGCTCGGCGAGCATGTCCCTCACGCAGCTCTACATCTCCAACGAGATTGGCAGGGAGGTCGTGTCTGCCCTGGGCGAGATTGGAGTTGTCCAATTCCGCGACCTCAACAAGGAAACCACGGCATTCCAGCGAACCTTTACCAAGGAAATCCGCCGTCTCGACAATGTCGAGCGACAACTGCGCTACTTCAAGTCTCAGATGGAGAAGTCGGGCATCGAGATGCGGAGCCACTGGGACTTTGACGAGAATATGCTTGCAGCACCACAGGCCAGCGAGATTGATGAACTTGCGGAAAGATCGGAGGCTCTCGAACAACGCGTTAGCAACTTGAACGACAGCTACGAGACACTTAAGAGGCGGGAGGTCGAGCTGACCGAGTGGCGTTGGGTCCTGAAGGAGGCAGGAGGATTCTTTGACAGGGCACATGGACAGACAGAAGATATCCGACAAAGTACCGATGATGACGATGCTCCTCTGCTGCGCAACACCGAGGCTGAAGAAGGCAGAGCTAATGGCGATGTCGCTCAACAGCAGAGCTTCGCAGTCATGAATATCGGCTTCGTCGCAGGAGTCATCCCTCGTGAGCGACTGGCCGCTTTTGAGCGCATCTTGTGGAGAACCCTGCGTGGCAATCTCTACATGAACCAGTCTGAAATCCCGGAGCCCATTATCAACCCGGAGAACAATGAGGAGATCAGGAAAAATGTCTTCGTCATTTTTGCTCATGGCAAGGAGATCATCGCAAAGATCAGGAAGATCTCCGAGTCACTCGGTGCCGACCTTTACAACGTCGACGAGAGCAGTGACCTCCGACGAGACCAGATCCACGAAGTCAATACCCGCCTCAGCGACCTCGCCAGCGTCCTCCGCAATACCAAGAACACCCTCGATGCGGAGCTCAGTGCCATTGCCCGATCGCTCGCTGCATGGCTGATTGTTATCAAGAAAGAGAAGGCCGTCTACAACGCTTTGAACATGTGCTCGTATGATCAAGCGAGGAAGACCTTGATCGCCGAGGCTTGGTGCCCTACCAACACTCTGCCACAGATTCGAGCCACCTTACAAGATGTCAACGATCGCGCTGGACTCTCTGTGCCTACTATCGTCAACCAGATCAAGACCAACAAGACACCTCCCACGTATAACAAGACCAACAAATTCACCGAAGGCTTCCAGACCATCATTAACGCCTACGGCACGGCCAAATACCAAGAAGTCAATCCGGGTCTCTACACCATTGTCACCTTCCCCTTCCTGTTCGCCGTCATGTTCGGTGATTTTGGTCATGGTTGCTTGATGGCAATGGCTGCAGCCGCCATGATCTACTGGGAGAAGCCCCTGCTGCGATCTAAGCAGGATGAACTTTTCGCAATGGCTTTCTATGGTCGATACATCATGTTGATGATGGGTATCTTCTCCATGTATACGGGTCTCATCTACAACGACGTCTTTTCCAAGGCCTTTACACCATTCGCCTCGGCATGGGAATACCTTGAAGATGGACGGCCTGAAGTCACTGCTCATCTCAAAGGCAGCTATCGGTACCCTTTCGGTCTGGACTGGGCCTGGCACGGTTCCGAAAACGATCTGCTCTTCAGCAACAGTTTGAAGATGAAGTTGTCCATCTTGATGGGTTGGGCTCACATGACCTACGCTCTTTGTTTCTCCTACATTAACGCTCGTCACTTCAAGTCGCCCATCGACATCTGGGGCAACTTCGTGCCTGGGATGATCTTCTTCCAAGCCATCTTCGGATACCTCAGCTTTTGCATCGTCTTCAAATGGTCGATTGATTGGTCAGCAGAGGGACGGAATCCGCCTTCCCTGCTCAACATGCTGATCCAAATGTTCTTGGCACCCGGGACTGTAGAGGACGGCGAGCAGCTGTACTCAGGACAAGCAGGCGTGCAAGTATTCTTGCTCCTCATTGCTGTTGTCAACGTGCCTATTCTGCTCCTTCTGAAGCCGCTGTATCTCCGGTGGCAACATCAGAAGACTGCGGCACAGGGCTACCGTGGTATTGGAGATACGAGCCACGTCACGCATGCTACAGATCTGGACGATGACGATGAGAACCACCACCCCAATGACCGCCACGCGAATGGTCGACCGAGCGAGGATGACGATGAAGGTGCCATGATCACAGAGAACATCGGAGATGAAGAAGAAGAGGAATTTGAGTTCTCAGAAGTCATGATCCACCAGACAATCCGTAAGTCTGTTCGTACTCTTAAGACTGGACTTCGTGCTAACGTATTCCGCAGACACGATCGAATTCTGCCTCAACTGCGTCTCCCACACAGCCTCGTATCTCCGTCTCTGGGCGTTGTCACTTGCACATCAGCAGCTCTCCGTCGTGCTTTGGAATATGACGCTGGCTAATGCCTTTGGCGCCGCCAGCGCCGGAGCGCGCGTGGTCATGATTGTTGTAACCTTCTTTTTCTGGTTCGTCTTGACGATTGCGGTCTTGTGCGTCATGGAAGGCACGAGTGCGATGTTGCATTCACTCAGATTGCATTGGGTGGAAGCTATGAGTAAGCATTTCGTGGGCGAAGGTGTGCCCTTCGAGCCGTTTAGTTTCAAACTGTTGTTGGAGGAAGAGCCTGTAGATTGAGTGGGTAGTCGTGCGAAGCACTTTTAAAACGCAGGGCTATAGATTGATAGCTTAGTACATAGAATGAGAATCACTCCTTTGAGGTCTGAATCGGTCTCCATTTGGGTCTGACTAATGTCACCGTGAAGATGATGCTAGAAGACAGTGGCACCCAGCGAGGCTTTTTCGCAGCCTCGCCGCCCGGCCTACCTTCCTTGTATAGGCCTTTCCAGCCCGGTCTTGGCGTCCGAATCACACAATCAAAGTAAGTTCCTGTCGCCCCTCCCGCCGACATCACCACCAACGAACCCAGTGCCTAAGAAGATCCTGTCAAGAGTAAGTTCTGCGCGCTTTTACAAGAAGATCGCATCCCATACTGACCCTCATCTAGTGCAGATGTAAGTTCTTTTTCAGCCTTATCCGTCCTCAGCTCTCGAAATCGGGAACCGCATAGAGGGAGGCAAAGATCTAACATACACGCTCCGAACAGCTTCGTCAAGACCCTCACGGGCAAGACCATCACTCTCGAGGTCGAATCCTCAGACACGATCGACAATGTCAAATCCAAGATCCAAGACAAGGAAGGCATCCCGCCCGACCAGCAGCGATTGATCTTCGCGGGCAAGCAGCTCGAGGATGGCCGTACGTTGAGCGACTACAACATCCAGAAGGTGAGTCCGTTTATACCTAATTTCTCAGCGTTTCTTCCTTCCCGGTCTACGAGGAACGTTTCATGAGGTTTCGTGCTTCTGACACACTTTGCAGGAATCAACGCTCCACTTGGTCCTTCGCCTCCGAGGCGGTATTATCGAGCCCTCTCTGAAGGCCCTCGCCTCGAAATACAACTGCGAGAAGATGATCTGCCGCAAGTGCTATGCTCGTCTGCCGCCCCGAGCGACCAACTGCCGCAAGAAGAAGTGTGGGCACACCAACCAGCTCCGCCCCAAGAAGAAGATCAAGTAGTGGTATGCCGTGGCGGTATGTTGCGGTGTGGTGTGTGGAGAAGCAGGAGTCTGGAGAGAGAGAGGTGTGGGCCTGAGCAGAGCCGCGGAAAATCATGAACAGCGCGAGTCAAGGCGAAAGAAAGCATGCGTGCATGCAAGCAAGCAATGTTGCTGAAGGCGTGCTAGTGGCCCACGGTGTCGTGCTGATCTCCGAGGATGAAGTGCACAGGCTACGAGGTAGCCCGCGGTGGTAGACAATGCATCCGTTTTCAAAGCGCCACCAGTTCGTGTCCGTAGCCTAGCTTACCAGGCAGTCAGTCCCGCTAAAGTGCTTCAAGCCCACAAGGAGTCCATGCCCGAAAGCCAAGCGTAGGGAAGAGGGTTACAGGGACACTCGTCTTGAGTGAGCAATGGATGAAAAGGCAAGTCGTCACGGTGTCTGCTTTAAAAGGCGATGATTCCACCGACACCGAATCCTCATGAAACGTAGTAGTGATACACTATACCGCCAGCTTGGCTGACCCGATACCGGTCCTGGTGGACACCCTGCAAACCTAGGTGTGTCGCCATATCTCGCCGTGCTCCCCCTTGGCCCTGCCATTAAAATAACCTGACCATACCGCCATCATCCCTGGCGGGACTCTTATGACTGAAAAACAGCACCTTGATCGCAATCGCGAACCCAGCGTGCAACACCACGACAGCCACCAAAAGCACCTGGCTGATCTTCTTCTCCGTGGCACTGATCACCGGGTACAGGTTCTTGACGAGGAAGAACACGCTGACCGCATACCCCAGGCCCACAATCGCATAGTTGAGCCCATTCAAAGGCGACCACGACACCAGCGCCACGGCGATCCAGAACAGATTGCCATACCCGTATAGGGCCCAACACTCGACCAGTTCCAGCGATTGCGCCCCGAACCACCGCAGCGCGGCCCACAATCCCAGCGGCACGAACAGCGTGTACCCGTACACCAAGCCCGCCGCGCCGCCGAGCAAGGAGAAATCATACTCGAAGTGTTTCTGCCCTTCCGTGGCGAGCTTGTGGCTGATCGTGCCCGTCAAAAACAAAATGACCACGACCGTCGTGGCGATCCAAAAGGGGCCGTACAGGTCCGGGTTGCCGTCCAGGGTGTCGAGAAAGGGCGGCGTGTTGGGGAGGAAGGGGAGGCATGCGGACCGGCAGCGCGAAAGCACGGTCGTGGTGTCGACGTCGAAGAATTGCGCGTAGAATGAGAGGGACCAGAGCATGTGTTTCTGCGGCGAACTTGAGGAGGGCGCCGCGCCGAGATGGTTGTTGGCGCCGCCGCTGCTGGTCGACAGGAAGGGTGTGTCAGGCTGGATCTTGCGTTGGTTCGACGAGGTGGACTCGAAGTCTACGATCAATATGAGTGTCAGTGTGTCTGTGTTTGTGTCTGTGTGCTATTGTGTCATTGGGTTAGGTTCGCAGGGAAGTCTCAGGGTAGCAGGATAGTTGATGGCGGACGAACTTGACGAGTGGAATTCTAGGTCGTCGTCTTGGAGGTCGGTGTGGCCTAGGTCGCCCTGCTGGATGTTAGCTATTGAGTGCGCATTCGAGATTCATAGTGAGCTGTCGCAAGATGCACATACCTCGGTGTCGACGTCGACGACGACATCGTAGCCTCGGTTCGCCATCCTGGTGTGGAGGACTGGCGAGGAACAGATCAGACGGCGATGGCGCAGAGGTTGGTGAGCGAGCACGAGGCGAGGCTGCTCGGTGCAGGTGGTGAGGAGTTGGAGCACGTCAAAACACGTTGCCTGTCCGCGTTACTGTATGTGTAATATTCGGGTCCAGGGGCGTGATGGGGTATGTAATGACGGTTTGAATTTGTCCAGACCCGGCAGGTCTCTGCTGTCATTACAAGTCTTCCGCCGGGTCTGCCCTCCCGGTTCATGCATGGGGTTTCCATTAGTGACGGGTCGGTTAATAAGATATTGTTGGCCAACACACATGAACTCAAGTGTACGCTGACTACACGCTTGTGTTGCAACACTGGCGCCATCTGCACGGTCCTAACATCAATTTCGACCACCACCACCTTCTTCATCCCTCATACCGGCAGGAAGATCGAGATCCCCGGCTTGTCAACTGCTCAGTGGCCAGAATTCCTGCCTCCGTGTCTGAGACATCGGGTGCGACTATTGCTATGCGCACCCGCTCCTTCACCGCGTGTGGTTACCTGTGCCTGACTTGTACAGCCATTCTCACAAAGTGGTGCTGCTGATCCGGCACCTTCCAGTACGCAGGTCTTCGACAGGGTAGGCACCGGGGTGTCCTGTGCTTGCGGCGACGCTCTCGTTGACATACAGACGTGGGGGTTTCCGGTCCTAATGCCTCTTTCCACAATCAGAAAGTATGGGTTTTGAGACGTCTCACCTAGTCTCCGCACGCCCCCTTCGCAGTTCTGCCGTGGAATGTATTGATCGCGCCATTGTGGTCAGGCTGGGTGGAAGGGCGGCTGGTCTTCCTAACTTGCCAACCGGCTTCATCCACCTTGACGTTCGTTCTTCCTGTTAGGGGTGGACCACATACAGCCCATACTTTCGTACACCGATTCACACTCAAGCCTACCCCGGTCTTGACAGGTACGAATATGTGGTGGCGACGACAGACCAGAACACCTTGTCATGCCCATTCCTCCTCACCCAGACGGCGAATGCTCCAACCATAAGCATGGCGGCTAGGGATGTTGCCGGCTTCCTGTACTTGTAAAGCAGGAGGGCTCTCTTCTCCATCAATTCCTGCCTCTGAAGCTGTTCAATCTGCTTCTGGCCGAAACGTTCGGCCTCTTCGAGGCTTTGAGGTGGTTCAATATGTCGCGAGGTCTTGAGCACACTGTATTGTGACAGGCGCCACCAGACAAAGCCAGGGAGGGTCTGAGGTGGATGGTCTCGGAACAGAGCCAAGGCGTCCTGGATCCGCGCATCGATGTCGAAAGTTTGTGGTAATTTGGATATCACGAACGTCAGCATGTCGGATTCGTCGGGAGGCATTTCCAGCAGTTCCGACCGCCGTGATATTGTCACCGCCGCAAACAAGTAGATGCTCATAACTGGTTCATGTGCCAGCAAGAAATCGTAAAGCCTGGCAATGTCGCCGTAGTTGTAAATATCGTGCGCAAACAGGGAATGAGTCGCCGAGAGCGCAAAGATGTTCTCAGCTTGAGCAATATGATTTGCCAGTTCGGGGTCGGCTGCCTTCACAACAGCTGATACAAGCTCGAAATGTCTTCTTGCAGGTGCGATCGTCGGTAGCATGTAGTCCCGAAGGCGACATAGTGAGATTCGTGGAACGGCAGCCATGGCTTGTTGCTTCCCAAGCACCAGTAACAGAACCTGTACGACATCATGATAGCTCTGAAAGTAGGAGAGCATGGGATGGGTTCTCAAGGTCGAAACAATCAGATCGGAGAGCTCTGCCTTCTTGGTTTCGAGTGACTGTTCGGATTCATCTGGTTGCATTCAGCCCGTGATACCCTGTGCGTCGGAGGGAGGGACCACAAACCTTTAGGGTAATATACAAAGGCACGATCAACATCGAGTTGTACTTGATCCTCGTCGGGGTGACGTGGTAAAGTCCTCCAGTGATCCTGATTTGCCTGCGTTTGCTCGACCGGTCTTGAATCTTCAGGTGCGAAACCCAGTAGAATTGGCCCTTCCCAGTCAGTGCATCAGCGTCGAGTTCCACGAAGTGTGGACGAGTCAGGGGGAACATACAGGCCTTGCGGCGCAAGTCGTCCGCCAACAGGCCCCCAGTCGAGCTCGCAAGCTCAATCAGGACGCTAACGTGCTTTTGATGGCAAGCTTGCTGAATGCGTCGAGTCTTGTCGTGTTTGTCCGCGTCTGTCAATGACAGCTTTGCAGCCGACGCCATGGAACCTGTCAGAGGCTTCTCACTGACAGTTGTGTCCATAGTGCTGGCGTCGCCATGCATCGCGCCCCCTAGCCTAAATGAACGATCTCCGTCTGCGCGCGGCCGACAGAATAAGCGGGGGATTGAGCAGCTACAAGCGATGGTATGTGCTGGTAGATGTTCGCCGCTCTTTACGTCGAGATTTCAATAGGCTTAGAGAAGACAATAGCCCGGGTGACCCTTTTTGCGCTCGACGGTGAAGGCTTGCATGGGGATGGTTTTAATGTGGACGAAGAGTGACAGGTCGTACAAAAGCGCCTGTTTGCCTGGCTGCCAGTGTCAACTTTGTCCACACCAAAGCGACCTTAATCGTCTATTGCATCCTGCGTATCCCTCTAGCAATAGCTTAGATCGTGTCGGTACTGCCTCGTTGGGTTCTCTTTTCGCACCGTCTCGATGCACTGAAAGGATGCACTCGCTGGCAGCACTCAACTACACTGCCTCGCGCCTGCGGGGCGAATCTTGGGCGATCTCACCAACTTGGCTGCCTGCGAATGTGCTGCAAGGTCATGTTGTCTTTCCCTTCTTCTGATGCCCTTGTGTAGCTCTTTTCATTTTCACGTCTCGGACTAGCTCGATGCACGCATGTTCTGCAGCTCTGCCCCTGTCGAAAGAGTCAGGCTCCGGGATATGGGACTGATGGCAATTCAATTGGTGCGCAGCTCCAGCTCTTGCCCCTCGCCATTCCGTAACGGCCATCGCTTGCCAACCCCGGATTGGGATTTGATGATTCGTCGATGGAACCTGGAAGAGTTGCAGGACACAGAGGTCGGTCAGGTCAAATGCTCTCAGAATGTCCCCTCCAAGGGCTACATAAGGGAGCGACTCCCAGAGTCACGCTTGTAGTGGACATTGCTTTTCAGTCTACCTGCGACGTTGACGCCTGTGTGCTGCGCCCAATGTCTTGCTACCTGACCTGAGCGTTAGGATTTAGTCACACTCGATAGCCCTCGTGCTGTGAAAGTCGTTGCCCTCGAGTCATTCACTACGCAGACTGGCTGTACCTGGCTGATCATGGCGACTGTCAGTGACCGTCGTCGCATAGGCAAGAGCAGCAGTCCAGAACAAGATCGCTCGCCTGTCCAAGAGCGCATCGGTATATTGTCCCGGACTCTTACGTCGAGCTCGAGCATTAGATGGATTCTCCCCGCAAGGTTACGCTCACCATCCAAGAACGATGTCGTCTTTGTCGGGCATACCTTTATTCAACTCCATGAGTTCCAGGCCAGTGGACAGCTGGTCGACACCACCGCGAAGCTTGACTTTGGTACGACAATCACAGATGCTAAAATCATCTCTGCCGACTTGCAGACAATACCCGTTGTCGATGCGATCCTGAAACAAGAGCGCGACCTCGAACAGTTCAGCATTCGTGGGCAGCCAGTGGGCGATGGTCACCCGCCGCAGCTTCTTGTTCTCGTTACAAGAGACAACGAAATGATCTACGTATATGCTAGAGAAAACAGCATTGGCGATGCTCAACTGGTCTTTGCAAAACGACCTTTCCTGAGGGGCTCGGATCTGCCCTCGAGCGAATGTCGCGACATCGCGGTCGATCCTCAGTAGGGCTCTCTCAGCTGACTATTGCCATTCATCTGATGGGATATAGGTCTCGAGCTCTTGCAGTTGCTTCGCCCTCAGGCTACGTGGTGATATTCAAGTTACGGTTCCTGGATGAGATCAAGGCTCAGATTGATGGCTGGGATCCATTGAACCCTGCCTCTTTTTGTCCTGCAAGAGAGGTTAGTATCTTCCCGCGATAAATTGACACACTGACGATTACAGCAACGTTTTATTACGGTCGATGGAAAAATCCTTCTGATGTCCTTCTTACCGAGTCCTGATGCTGATCCTAGCAAGGTCGTGCTGCTGCTGCTGGCCTACACTGGCGATGAGAGAAAAGAAACATACCAATACCTGCTGACATGGGACACTCGCCTCCCACTAAAGACAATTAAGCATATGTCTTGTAGCGGGCGTAAGCTACAAGAAGACCAACTACCCACGATGCTCATCCCTTCGACACGAGCCTATTCATACATGGTCGTTATGCAATCGAGCATCACCTATTGCGAGGATGTCCAATCTTCGGAAACGAAGCGGGTCAACTGTGCATTTGCTAAGGACAACGAGGAGCCGCTAGAATGGGTCCAATGGTCGAGACCCAGACGCCACACTCACTACCTGCAACGACGCGATGACATTGTGCTTCTTCGCGAAGACGGGCTGCTCCGGAATTTCTTGTTTGATAAACACTCCAGCAAAATCTTTTCTACCAACAACGTAATCGGTCACCTTGGTTTCAGCGTTGATACAGCCTTCTGCATGCTCTCTGGCCCACCTGGGAAAGGTGGCGATATCCTTGTCGTGGGCGGCAGCATGACCGATGGAGGTGTTTTCCACGTGTCCGCACGAGGCTCTCCCGAGCGGATTCAGCCCATCGAGACCCTCGCACCCCTGAACGATATTGTCACGGGCCCTCTGATAGCTGTCGACGGCGAGGATATTGCGGCGCAGGATGGAATGCCCGGTCGCCTTTACACCTGTTCAGGACCACATGATCGGAAAGGTCAGGTTTCGGAGATCCGTTACGGGTTCGAAGCCCAAATTGGATGGAAAATGGAGTTTCCCAATGCCGCCCTGGTTGAGCGGCTTTTCAGTCTGGAATTACCAAATATCAGTGAGGTCCTGCTGCTGGCGTCCCATACGGCAAGTTCGTCTATGGTCGCATTCGAGCTGGAGACGCAGGACCTCTCTTTTACTGATTCAGATAGCCATCCCGGGTTCGACTTTGACCACTCAACCCTTGCCGCAACGGTCTACAATCAAAATACAGTCATACAGATCACAACTGCTGGCATAAGCGCCATCCTCGTGGATGAGGATGAAGTTACCAGACTCCGCCACCTCAGGTCGACATTCGAGCATGCGACCATTTCCGCTGGTGATGATCCAGTCATCGCCGTTATACGTGCATGCGACACAGGTCTGGATCTCTGCATCATCGAGGTTAATACTGCTGAGGATGGTCAGCCTCAACTCGAGGTTGACCAGCTTGTGCGGCTTGAACATATCCCCAATAACATATGCTGCATGCAAACAGCAAATGGCCCATTGTTTGTGATTGGCACAGCTACTGGCGAGCTCCTGTGCTACGACGAGAATCTGCAACCCGCATTTGAGCTTCGAATTCAAGATCTCCATCCCGAAGTGAAGAATGCGGCGGTTTCATCCCTGGTTGCATTGGAGCCCAATCTCCTTGGTCCTACGCTGCTGTTGTGCGGATTGCGTTCGGGCACTGTACTCTGTCTGGAACTCAAAGTACAAAACAAGAATGGGGCGAGGATAGGTAGGGCTACAATGTCCAGAGGAGATCTGATTGCTAACGTGATGATCAGACGTACGTTGCGACGAGGTTTTCCGCGTAGGCGCGACTGCGGTGCAGATCATCGAGGAAAAGGGCCGTCCAGACGGCTCTGGAAATCCTTCAGCATTGGTCCTTTGCGAGTATACAATTTACCGTGTCACACTACATCCGAACTCTGCTGTTGTCGATTTCACCTTCTCGCCTATCTGGGTGGTAGATCGAACCAATGTGAGACTTCATGCTCTATAGATCGGAGCAATACTGACTGACCATGAGTAGCCATCTGCCCTACCGCTGGTCAACGCGCTTCACCGCATACCTAGGCTGGAGTCCAAGTATGAGCAGCCCGGAGGCTTCTTGATTTGCGCTACTGAAGCCGAGATATTGTTCTGCTCCGTGGTGGCTCAAGAGCACGGCATAGCCCGGCACCTGCACTTCAATGGCGTACCGAAACGACTGTTATACTCCCAATTTCTCGAGAAGTTCGCGGTCGCTTTCTCCCGGGAAGGCGATCCCTATGAACCACCACTGCGCAGGGGCCCCAACGTGCCACTACTACCGGGTGAGAAAAATCCCACAGATCGGCCATCAGAGAAAGTTCGGCAGGTTGGTTTGCAACTCGTTACGCGCGATCTGAGCTATCCTGCTGGGAAAAGGGATGAGGATGTCGCTTTCTCCACCATCGTAACCGGAGACAGCAGCGCCGTCCTACATGATTTCATCGACTGGAGGCCCACGGACGATGTCTTCCACTATGAATGGCTGGTCCTTGCGTTGGAGCAGCCAGGCATGCATGGCCGAGTTGTGTGTGTCAATGCCAAAACGTTGGGGAAAGGCAAGCCTGATGCCGACGCGAAAGTCGCGTTTCACGACAAGCAACCTGTTACGGCGATTTGTGCCTACAAGAAGTCATCCCTGCTAATCGCTTGTGGGAAAGAGATCATACTGCGCCACCTCGACTTCAAGACACGCCGATGGGAGTCGTTGTCCAGACATGCTATTCCGTCAATGGCGAACGCCATATCATGTCAGGGCTCGCTCATCTGCGTGGCTACCCGGGAGCACTCGTTGTTCGTTCTCGTGGACCGGAACGACCGACTGTGTCAACATAAATGTGATGCCGGAATGAGATACGCCAAAGATGTTGCCGTGCTGGATCTTTCAACTGCTGTCTTTGCCTCTGCTGACGCGGCTGGTACTGATATCGTCGGATTCTCGGGCTTGAACAAGGCAAACTCGGACGCGACGCCACTGTTCCACGCCAAAATGTCGGGCCATATCCATCGTTTCCGGCTTGATTCCTTCCATGGACCTGAGAGTAAGGAGCGGACCCGTTTCTATGGCGCCACCATGGATGGGACACTGTTTCATTTCACGCTTCTCAAGCACAAAGAGTGGAAGTTGCTCCATTTCATTGAGGAAATGAGCTACATGGACCGCAAAGCCATAACGGCTGTGCCGATGAAGAGAAGAGATGCAGATGGTAAAGAGTATCTCTGGAAGCCTCCATTATTCAGGCCGAAAGACATGCATGTACGAGGAGACCGCTTGCTCATGATGATTGAGGACGGACCATACAACCTGCGGAACGTCCTGAAAGGCTCACCGCGGCTCGAAACTTTCAACGCCCTGGTCAGGGAAGTTTTAGGAGCGAGCGATGAGCCGGTCGAGGTAGCAATCGCTTGGATGAGAAAGTTCCTGAGATATCCGCCTCGATCATGAGGGTATTACACACAACGGCTGGAGGGGCACAGTCTTGCAATTAGTCTTGAGAAAGACTCGAATCAAGGAATCTACGATACCAATCCGCGGCTACTTTTTTGCAGCTCGCAACTGCTGTGCCAGCCAAACACTTGATACGTGCCACTGTGACCTGGGTTTCTATACTTTGTAGCTGTCACCTGCTATGAGTCACGGCCGAGGCAAGGCAGAATTTGAGAGCGACAGTTCTTCGATAGAGAGCGCCAAGCCACACCTCCGTTATGGACGTGTGGACATCCGTCTGTCCCTCCAAAACGTCACTTCGCCTTCACTTTCACCACTTTCCTCTCATTGCCCCACCATCACCACTTACTCATCACCTCGGCCGGCCGCTTTCCCACAAGAACCTACAAAGTACAACTCCTAAATCCGATACCCATTTGACAGATTCCATTAGAGACTGTGGCGAAGAATCAGGGAGATCCAAAAGCCAATGTCACCTAGTGGCCAATAGCCTCTCTTGAACGCCGCATTTTTCCCCAAGACAATCGCCTGTTTGATCCCACAACGCTGCACACGACTTTATGTCGCCGCCTCTAAATCGTGAACGATTCATACCTCGTCAACCATCCAACCAACACATACATCGACGCAATGGCTCCTAAGAAGAAGGGAGGCAAAAAGCAGGCGGACGACTGGGAGAACGATTTGGGCGAGACTGTCGATCCGATAGCTCAGGCTACCGAAGATGCAAAGCAGGCCGACGCAGACGACGATGCCGCAGAAGAGATGAATGGTGGTGGCGGGGGCGGTCTCATGGCTGCGCTGCGCAGGAATAAAGACAAACGGGCAAAGAAAGGGAAGCAGAACATCAATGACTTTGTCGACGGGGAGGATGCGGATGGTGCTGCCCCAGAGGACCCTGCCGACAGCTTAGCTGCGAAAGCTCCCACCGAAGCCACCTTCGACGACGACGACGATGATGTGTTTGCCGGAAACTCCAACAAGAAGGGGAAGGCTGGCAAAAAACAGCCTGAGAAGGAAGCGCCACCTGCCGCCGACGACGACGCTGATGGAGACGGCGGTGTGAAGTCGAAGAAGGAAAAGGAGCGTGAGAAAAGGGAACGAGAAAAGCAGAGAAAGAAGGAACAGGTAAGTCAATGCTTCTCTATGATTACCTGTTTGGATTCTGACAGTTCGACAGGCCGCAAAGAAAAAGGGTGCTGCTCCAACGCCCGCTCCGAAGGCCGAAGAAGCGAAACCTGTTGTTGTCGAGAAAACCGAGGTGCCCGCTGCTGCCCCCGAGAAGGATGACAAAGCTGGCAAGAAGAAGAAGGTCCCCGCACATCTGGCCGCTATTCAGAAGCAGCAAGAGCTCTTGGCACGTCAGCGAGAAGAGCAACAAAGGAGAGAAGCTGAAGAGAAGGCTGCCGAAGAGGAGCGGCTAAGAAAAGAAGCCGAAGAGGAGCAGAAGAAGGCCGAGGCAAGAGCACGTAAGAAGGAGAAGGAGAAGGAGAAAAAAGAACAGCTTCGGAAGGAAGGCAAACTCTTGTCCGAAGCCGACAGGAAGAGGAAGCAGCAACAGGAGCTTCGTCTGAAGCAGATGCTCGAGTCGGGCGCCAAGGTTGCAGGCTTGGCTGGCGAGAGTGTCGAAGAAAAAAAGAAACACGCAGATAAGAAGCGGAAGGGCCCCAAGAAGGAAGAGGTCGACCTGGAAGCTGCTGCTGAGAAAGCGAGACAGGAAGCCGAAGCTGCCGCAGCAGAACGTCAGCGTCTGGCGAAAGAAGCCGAAGAAGCTGCAGCTGCAGCAGCTGCAACAGAGGCCGCTCAGCAAGATGATGGTTCTGAGCTCGATGACTGGGAAAAGGCTGCTGACGACGACGTCAAGGACAGCTGGGATGCTGACTCTGACGAGGATTCGAAGCCGTCCCAACCAGCTATAAACGGCAATGCTACGAAGACTGAGAAAACGACCGGAACCAATGGTTCGGTCACAAAACCAGCCGTCACCAAAACAAATGGATCGGCCACCCTGCCCATCCGTGACTCCGGTCCGCCTCCCAAGGAGAGACCTATTGAGTCGGACACCGAGTCAGAGGAGGAGGATGATTCTTCAGACGAGGATGAGGAGACCACAGCAACTCAGCGTGCAGCAGCACAGAGAAAGGCAGAAGCGGCCGCGAGGCGTGCGAAAGCCCATGAAGAAGCCCTTGCAGCACGATCTAAAGACGACCTGAGATCGCCCATATGCTGTATCTTGGGCCACGTCGACACGGGAAAAACAAAACTCCTGGACAAGATCAGACAAACCAACGTTCAAGAGGGCGAAGCCGGTGGTATCACCCAGCAAATCGGTGCTACTTACTTCCCCAGAGAGGCACTTGAACAGAAAACGGCCGTCGTGAATAAGGATGGTAAGTTCCAGTTCAAAGTGCCTGGTCTGTTGGTTATCGACACCCCTGGTCACGAGTCTTTCTCCAACCTCCGATCTCGAGGTTCTTCCCTTTGTAACATTGCCATTCTGGTTGTGGACATCATGCACGGCCTAGAACCTCAGACTCTGGAGTCTATGAGGTTGCTGAAAGAACGCAAGACACCGTTCATTGTCGCTCTCAACAAGATTGATCGTCTCTACGGCTGGAAGAAGATCGACAACAACGGCTTCCAAGACAGTCTCGCCATGCAGTCTAAAGGAGTGGTAGGCGAGTTCGAGAAGCGACTCCAAGATACCAAACTTGCTTTCGCCCAAGAAGGATTCAATGCCGAGGTCTTCTATGAAAACAAGGACATGCGGCGATTTGTGTCACTGGTGCCAACTTCAGCGCATACTGGTGAAGGTATCCCAGATCTGCTCAAACTCCTTGTTACTCTGACCCAGGAGCGGATGACATCGGCTTTGATGTATCTTTCCGAAGTGCAAGCTACGATTCTGGAGGTCAAGGTAATTGAGGGTCTGGGTACAACCATCGACGTGATCATCTCCAACGGAGTCCTGCGCGAAAATGACCGCATCGTGCTGTGTGGTACAGATGGGCCAATTGCGACCAACATCCGAGCGCTGTTGACGCCAGCCCCACTCAAGGAGCTGCGTCTAAAGTCGGCGTATGTGCACAACAAAGAATGCAAGGCGGCTCTGGGTGTCAAGATTGCTGCCAACGATCTTGACAAGGCTGTGGCAGGATCTCGACTGCTTGTCGTCGGACCCGATGACGATGAAGAGGATCTAATGGACGATGTCATGGCTGACCTGCAGCAACTCCTCCGCAAGATATCGAAAGACCACCGTGGTGTTAGCGTCCAAGCTTCTACCTTGGGCTCACTCGAGGCATTGTTAGATTTCCTTAAGGAGTCAAAAATCCCCGTGGCCAACGTCGGTATCGGCCCCGTCTTCAAGCGCGATGTCATGATGGCCGGTACAATGCTGGAGAAAGCGAAGGAGTATGCAGTCATGCTTTGCTTCGATGTCAGAGTTGATAAAGAAGCACAACAGTACGCGGATGAAAACGGCATCAAAATTTTCACGGCCGATATTATCTACCACTTGTTCGACAACTTCACGGCACATACGAAGCAGCTGCAGGAGCAGAAGAAGGAAGAAAGCAAGCTACATGCGGTATTCCCATGTGTGCTTCATCCTATTCAAGTTTTCAACAAGAAGGATCCCATTGTGGTGGGAGTCGACGTAGTCGAGGGCAGTCTACGTCTACTGACGCCGATTGCTGCGGTCAAGACAAACCCTGTCACTGGTACCAAGGAGATCGTCACTTTGGGCAGAGTGTAAGTTGCAGCAATCCATTTTCAAGGCGCAGGAACTAATCTTATGACAGATCGTCCATCGAACGTGAACACAAGGCCATTCCCATCTGCAAGAAAGGACAGCCCTCAGTCGCAGTGAAGATCGAGGGGCCCAACCAGCCCATGTACGGACGGCAGCTGGAAGATAAAGACATACTCTACTCGCTGATCTCCCGCAAATCCATCGATACACTGAAGGAATTTTACCGAGATGAAGTCACCAAGGACGAATGGGCGCTGTTGAAGAAACTCAAACCCACGTTCGACATTCCTTAGGAGATGAGTTGTGACACGGAGTTCAGGGAGTCTCGGGATCATGATCGGGACTTGAGATCAATATGGGAAAACACATGATGGGAGAAGCGGCGCCTGACAATGGGCATGTGGGAAAAAGGCCTGTAGAGTTCTGCATACATTCTCGGTACGAGGTACGAAGTGACTATCATGCGACAGCATTACATACATGTAAGGTCCGAGCTGGTCGATTTCTGTCTTGCCACGGTCCCCCCCCTTGCTCAGCATTCCAGAGGTACTCCGTACGAGTCCACAATAAAATAGAAAGTGCACCGAGATTACGAAGCAGACAAGCTCTAAAATCCTCGTGTTTGCGCTAGCACCAGTCGGTTGTGGTTGACCAGTAAATGATTGGCTCAATTTCTCAGGGCAAAGTGTGGCCATCCGGAGGGTCCAGCAACCGACGAACGGCCCCTCTAGGATGCCCGGCGCCTGCCCAATTGGAAGATGCAGTCGGCGTTAAGCAAGCCTAAAGAGACACTGATGAGGCCACGTCGGGGGCATCACCAAGCTCCAATTTCGGCAGGCCCCTCGCCGTGAACGATAATTATCAGAGCCAAGAATTCTAGCGGCGAAGTCGCAGTCCTTGCAGTCAAGTCTATCAAAACACTCCGTGCTTGTCGCTCTGTCCTGCGACCCCGTTGTGTTCTCTGGGTAACATCGACTTGCTGGACTACTTGTGTCAAAGAGGAGGACTAAAAGAGGCGCATTTCCGTGAAAGGCTGGTTGTTGTACCGTGTCGCCCAACGACTGCAAGGCACTGTCCGCCCATTCGACCGTAGCACGCACACTCAAGCCTTTTACCGCGGCCCCCAACATCACCCTCGCGAATCGCCATGGAGGGCCTCTCAAATGCCACCAGCTTTACATCACCTCTCGCAAATGCCGATCTGAAGTCGCATCAGGCCGCGCTGACCTCGGGAGCGGGTGTATTGGGCAGAGTGTGGGCGCAGCTCAATATCTGGACTGTGCTCTTGACGCTTCTCTTGGTGCTGGCTACCTACGATCAGTGTGAGCACCCTCGATGTAGCCTCTGATGTCGCGGGACGCTGACAGACTCTTACAGGTAGCTACCAATGGCGCAAACATGGCATTGTCGGCCCGGCGTGGAAAATGCCCTTTATTGGGCCATTTCTCGAGTCGATGCGCCCGGATTTCAACAAGTACAAGGAGAAATGGGAGAGTGCTGAGCTGAGCTGCGTCTCAGTCTTTCACAAGTACGTTCGCTGTGTCGATGTTTTGTCTCACCCAAGCTTTTGGGCTAACAGCATTATTCAGATTCGTCGTGATTGCCGGAACCCCTGCCATGACCCGGAAAGTCTTCAACTCGCCCATGTTCCTCAAACCGACCGTCGTCGATGTCGCTCCCAAACTGCTTCGTCCTAACAACTGGGTCTTCCTGGATGGGAAGGCTCACGTGGAGTATCGCAAAGGACTCAACGGATTGTTCACCCGCCAGGCATTGGAAATGTATCTGCCCGGTCAAGAGGAGGTCTACAGCAAGTACTTCAAGAGCTTTCTCGACATGACCCGGGAGAACAACATGAAGGCCCAGCCCTGGATGCCTGTCTTTCGAGAACTCATGTGCGCCGTATCTTGCCGGACATTCGTGGGACACTACATGAGCGAGAAGGTGGTAAAGAAGATCGCCCACGATTACTATCTGATCACGGCGGCTCTGGAACTCGTCAACTTCCCAATTATTATCCCTTACACCAAGACATGGTATGGAAAGAAAGCAGCCGACATGGTGCTCGAAGAATTCGCCAAATGCGCGGCGAAGTCCAAGGTCCGCATGGCCGCTGGCGGCAGTATCACCTGCATCATGGATGCCTGGGTCAAGCAAATCCAAGATTCGGCCACGTATAGAGAACGCATCGCGAGGGGCGAGAAGGTTGATGACTCGGAGAAACCGGCTCAATTACTGCGCGACTTTACTGATTTCGAGATCTCCATGACTCTCTTCACGTTCCTATTCGCTTCACAGGACGCCACGTCCAGCGCGTGCACTTGGCTCTTCCAAATTATGGCCGACCGACCGGAGATCTTGGACAAAGTGCGGGAAGAGAACCTTAGACTTCGAGGTGGTGACCGGAACAAGCCATTCGACATGGACATGCTGGAGTCAATGGTCTGGACAAGGGCCGTAGTCAAGGAAACATTGCGATACCGCCCTCCAGTCATTCTTGTGCCATACGTGGCGAAGAAGGATTTCCCGGTCACCGAAAACTACACATTGAAGAAGGGTTCGATGATCATCCCCAGTATCTGGCCCGCAACCCACGATCCCGAAGCGTATCCCAACCCTGACAGCTTTGAACCCGAGCGATGGATCACTGGCGATGCAGACAAGCAGGTCAAGAACTGGCTGGTGTTTGGAACCGGCCCTCACTACTGTCTGGGTCAAACATATGCTCAGTTGAATTTGATGGCCATGATTGGCAAGGCGAGCATTCTGATGGATTGGGTGCATGAACCCACGCCTATCAGCGAGGAAATTGAGGTTTTTGCGACCATTTTCCCTCAGGTAAGTTCGAGGGTTTGGATCATTCGTGAAAACATGGCTAATCTTGGGTGACAGGACCATTGCAAGCTCACCTTTACGGAACGCCCGTGACCGCATTCCGGCCTTCCTGAAAAACATTGTTTTGCTTCTCCCTTTGCACTTTAGCGATAGACTTGTTGGCGTCATTGGACATACATACTCAGCCCAACAGGGAGGAGGTCACCACAGTTCATATGGGTGGATGGTCTCTGGGGAGCAAGGGGCCAACGCAAGACGCGGCAAACGCCGAGGTACCACGTTCTGGAATACTGGTTTGGCCGTATGCATAGAAAGAGTCCGCGTTAGACGTGTCAATGGTGGGTTGTACATGGATGTGTCAGCCCGGGAAAGACACGAGCTTGGATAGCTCGCTGAAGCCAATGGATTCGTGCGCACAAGAATCCCCTCGCTGTCCCCTCCCTCAATTTCGTGCGGACGATAGATCTACTATGTAGGACTGTGCTTTGGTCTTAGCCCAGAAATCCTCCCGTGTCAACGTCATCGGATATCATCTCCACCATCTCCTTAATTAGGTGATAATGGTTGTCCCTTATCGCCGGGACGTCCACCAACATCACGCCTGTTGTCCATATCGCTTTCCGTGATTGTATTCACTGTACTTCCAGGCCATACATGTAGCATTGCAGCGAGTACTAATTGTTGATTGCATCTGCGAGTCCCTTTGACCCTTTCGGCGTCCGCGATCTGTTCGAGTCGACGCACGTCGTGGTGCCCCGATAAGCTTTCTGTACACCTCATTGATACCTTGTCTTTGATATCTCTGGCTTGGGTACCCATCATACCTAGCACTACATACTGGAGTATCCCTCGACCGCACCGCGCACTTGTTGTGATTTGCGATTGACGCAATTGTGCTCAAGCAAACCCGAGCGTGCATGTTTCGACCGGGATGTCGTGTGGGAATTGATTTCATTGCAGACATCAAAGGGCCGTGCAACTTGAAGCCGGAGGCTTAACAGGTACCCATTCATTTATGAGAGCAATTCAAGATGGTGCCGCCGTTTCCTCGCACCGCCGCGAGGATGCTGAGTCGCGAAATCGCCGGGAAAAGGAACTTTTCGACATCCAAAAGCCGCAACGCTGACTTTACCCATGCTGTAAGTACACATGAACACCCACACACCCCCAGACACATGTAGAATCTCGCAATAGTGTTTCATCGCTAATATCCCCAATATCTGCTGCTGCTACCATTGTCGTTGCCCTCCCAGCTTTATGCCCATATATGCTTACTCATGTCTCTAGGTCATCGGTGCCGGAGCCGTCGGCCTAGCCATCGCACGGCAACTGGCCTCCAGAACCGGCACATCGACGATTCTGATTGAACGACACGGCTCCGTGGGCACCGAAACCAGCAGCCGCAACTCCGAAGTCATCCACGCCGGCCTGTACTACGGCCCAGACAGCCTGAAGACGAAGCTGTGCCTGCGCGGAAAACACCTGCTCTACGATCTATGCGAGGCCCAGAACATCCCGCACAGCCGCACCAAGAAGTGGATCATCGCCCAGGACGCGCAGCAGATGGGCGAGCTGGAAGCCCTGCACGCGTTCGCGCAACGGATCGACGTGCCCACGCATTTCTTGGCACGCAAGGAAATCCAGACCCAGGAGCCCGACGTGCGTGCGGAGGCCGGTGTCCTCGAATCCCCCACGACGGGCATCATCGACTCGCATGCCTTCATGGCCTACCTCGAGGGCAGCTTTGACGAGCGCGGCGGCGACGAGATGCTGCACACGGTGGTCACCAAAGTCGAGGCCCTTGGACAACACGGCGACGGGGAGGAAGGGTACGCCATCACCACGCAGTCCCGCGACGGCAAGGGCGGCGAGGACGTCATCACGGCCGAGGCGCTGATCAACTCGGCGGGCCTGGCGGCCATGGACATCTCCAACATGGTCCTCCCGCCCGACCGACACCGCAAGCCATACTACGCCAAGGGGACGTACTTTTCGTACGCGGCGTCCCACCCCAAGCCAAATACCCTACTATACCCGGCGCCCAAACCCGGGTCGGGAGGTCTAGGCACCCATCTGACGCTCGACATGGCCGGGCGGGTCCGTTTCGGCCCCGACGTCGAGTGGGTCGACGACCCCACGGACTTGACCCCCAACCCGGCGCGTCTGGCTGCCGCCATCCAAGTGATCAAGGATTATTTGCCCTCCATTGACGCCCAGGCGATCGGCCTCGATTACTGTGGGATTCGGCCCAAACTGGGGAAGACAAGCGGCACGTACGGCAAGGACGGCGAGGGGTTCGCCGACTTCTACATCAAGGAGGAGGAGGGGTTCAAGGGGTTCGTGAACCTCCTGGGCATCGAGAGTCCCGGGTTGACGAGCGCGCTGGCGATTGCCGAGTACGTGGAAGATATACTCTACGGGAACGGGTCGAGTGCTTGAGATGATATAGCCCTGCAGGATCTCTCGCGGTGGTGGTGGTGGTGGTGGTGGTGGTGGCAGCAGCAGCGGCGTCAACGTTGGTCTCAACGCCGGTCAGTTTGGCCTGTTGTGCCTCGACCTACTGCATATCTGACGGCTAAGAGCTGACAAGACTGCCTCTACAGTCAGTACGGTTCCCGATGCAGAGACACGACGCGACCCACCGACAAGCGGACACATGATACAAGTGGAGAGGGGAGCTGACGGTGAAGCTACAGGGCCATCACACCCCACTGAAGAAGAGGGATTGTGGATAGCAAAGGGGAGATGTACGCGAGCCACCAAGTGCAGGCAGTGAAATGGTCGGCACCAGAGATCTAGGCGAAGTCTAGGCAGAACTTGAGAACCCAGACCCGTGCATGTTTGTGCTGCCGGGCGGATGAACAGTATTGTATGTAAGATGGAGTATATTTAGGTATATCTACACTACAACCGATCCTTCCGCTCTACCGATATGCTTTGGCGACCGACCTCGCAGTGCAAATACTACCAAGCACGTCTCTCGTCCCTCGGGCAGTTTCATTCCCTGCTCGCTTCCAGCATCTCCTTTACACTCCCGAACTTTTCCCTGGGCTTGCCCCTTTCTGTGCCAATCTTCTTCTCCACCTGGTCGATATTCTCCCAATCGTCCCAGTGTACAGGGTTGAGAGGGAGCTTGAGGATCTCTGCGTCGGCTTGGACGCCTTTCCATCCGGTCTGTGACAGTGATGACGCTGAATTGGGCTCGCTCTGGGCGGTCTTCTTTCTCCAGTCCTCGACAATTGCGGCGGCCGTCTGGAATGCGTCGGTCATGGTGCTTGCGATGACGCCTGTAGGACCGCGCTTCACCCAGCCGGAACAGTAGAGACTGGCTTTGAGACCGTGGGTGTCAGTCTCTTGCAAGGGGACGATCCTGCCGTATCCGTCATGCCGGATGGTGCCTGTTCGTTCGTCAAAGTCTGTGCCCAGGTCGGCCATGCCCGGTATCGCTTCTGCTTTGTAGCCTATCGATCGGAATAGGGTCGATGTAGGGATGAGCTGAGTCTCGTCTGTGCTGGAGACCTTGGACTCCGGATCCGCCACGTTTTCGAGGGTCGTTCTTGCAAAGATCACGCCTTCGAGCTTGCTTGGATCCGCAGGAGACCATTGCAAAGCTTGGGGCGCCAACAGAAAGTCAAGAGACCAGGACTTGGCGGCGTCCTCCTTGCCAGGGCTTCCCTTCTTCAAAAGTTCCATCAGCCGCCGCTTTGGGCGTGGGAGCTTTGACAAGTCAGGCGGAAACAGAGCCTCTGGGATTGGCGTGAAATTGACGTCTTCCAGGTGGAGGAGTTCGCGCACTTCTTTAATGGTAAATGCTGCCTGCATGGGACCGCGGCGTCCCACCACGTGAACGTGTCTTATTTTGCTTGCAGCCAGAGCTTCCAGCGCATATTCCGTGATGTCCGTCTTGCGTAGAATGTCAACCTTGCTCAGCAACGTCCTTGCAACATCCAATGCCACATTTCCCTGGCCAACGACGACCGCAGTCTCTCCAGCCTGCAGATCAGGGTTTAGATTGCGATACTCGGGAAGACCGTTGTACCATCCCACGAATGCGCGGGCGGAGTAGATGTGAGGTTTGTCTTCACCGTCTAAGCCGATCTTCCGGTCCTTTGACGCGCCGTATGCAAAGACTATCGCATCGTAATGCTTGCCTAGCAATGGAAGGGGGAGATCATGGCCCAGGTTGACATTTCCGATAAAGGTAAAGTTAGGGGATTCGGCGACGTCTTGGAAAGTGTCTTGGACGTTCTGGAGGGTGATCAGCAGAGCGCAAAGAGCAGCTAATAGGGATTCTGACCTTTACCTCGGGGTGATCTGGAGCTACACCGAACCTGACGAGGCCAAATGGCACGGGAAGCTGCTCATACATGTCGATGCGTGCCCCCGCGATCTTGCGCATCACCTTCTGCGCAGTGTAGAAGCCCGCTGGGCCGGATCCGATGATGGCCACGGCAGGAGCAGCTCCATTGCTACCGACTTCTGCGGCTGCATGACGGATGCTTCTGCTGATGAGGCGGGAAACTTGAAAGGAAGGGCTTCCTGCGCGAGTTGTCAGACGCAGGCATAGGTTGATCAGCATGGCCGGGTCAAGGAAGGAGTCGCCATCATTTACCTCGTCAACTAAAGAGCCGAGAGAGCTTTTGAAGCAGACGAGTGACGCGTGCCGTGGCGAGCGTGGAGAACCGAGACGAGGCGCTGGCCTTTTCTTTCCGTCGAGCCGTTATCGATAAGCAGGTCGGGACATACTAGCCACACACGGGCTAGATCATTTCTTACGCCTTTGACAATGAGGATAGCTAATGGACACAGTAACACAGTCTACGGAGTACTACGTATCGTAACATCAATACTAGGTGCTTCCCTGAGAAATGATGCTACAAGCGGTGATCTGCAAGCTTACTGTACTTTTTGGGGGACCCATGCTTGAGGGTACTGATCGAAGGTGAAGCAATTACTCGAGTCAAGCCCGGCACAACACACTCGCTGGACAATATCATTACCTTTCGTACCATATCCTATGGCACGAAAATCCAGAGCATACTCCGTACTCCGTACTGCGCGGTGAATTGATTTCTGCACAGCTGCGCACGAGTACGCATTCAGGCCGAGTGCCCCTGGGAACTCCTCCTGCCTCCCTCGTCCTGGTGGTCCCAGTCTGCTTATCTCCATGTGACCTGGACTTATCGCTCCGAACGTCATCAAGTTCGCAGCCTCGTCGCCTCGTTCTCAATTTCTCCTTCAGCCGACTTGCCACCAGGCATCCCTTTTCTTGACTTACGTACGGGTTACTCCACGGTCATAAGCTGGCAGCCTCTCGCCCTCTTCAATCTATCCTAGTTGCTACCATCGCGTTGTCTTTCGTCTTCATTTTCCACACACAGACTTTTTCCGCCGGCACAATGCCTCGATCACGCAAGCAAACTCACCATCATGTCCCCAGCACCGACTCTCCCGTCCCCGCGACATTCACAGATTCCCTCCCCCTGCCCAGCCTCATAGTATTCGACCTGGACTACACCCTCTGGCCCTTCTGGGTGGACACGCACGTCTCCAGCCCCGTCAAACCAGCGGTCTCCACCACGTCCCAGTCCAAAGACAACACCTCGGGCATGCCACAAATCAACACCAAAATGTTAGACCGGTGGGGCGAGTCCTTCTGCTTTTACCCGCAGGTGCCCTCGATACTGGCATCCGCGCGGGAGAAGGGCATCGTCATGAGTCTCGCCAGCCGGACGCACGCGCCCGAGTTGGCCGCCGAGATGTTACGCGGTCTGCAAGTTCCTTTATCCGGCGCCACTACGACTACGACGAGGAGCGACGCTCTCAAGGCCTGGGCTTTCTTCACCCACCCGCAGATCTACCCGGGCACGAAGACGACGCACTTCCGCAAGCTCCAGCAGCAGCTCGCCAAACCGGCACGGTCTGGGTCGGACCAGAACCGGAACCAGAATCCGCTGCAAGGCCGGACGGTTCCGTTTGAGGATATGCTCTTCTTTGACGACGAGGGGCGGAATCGTAATGTCGAGACCGATCTGGGCGTCACCTTCTGCCTTGTCCCTGATGGGGTCGACTGTGATGAAGTCGATAGAGGTGTTTGGGAGTGGAGGCGGCGAAGGGGGATCACGCCGAAGGACTTGTCTGGGCGAGATGCGGAACAACACGACAACGTAGCGGAGCTGGAGGGATGAAATTTACTTTCGTGGCAAGGTGACTGCGTCAGCTAATTGTCTCAAGGAAATGGTGGTCATGCCGATAGTGGACACCCTCTTGCAGGCCCTCTTTCGTCGCAAGAGGCTGCTTTGGAGGTAGCCGGTTTCTCTCACAGGGACAGGAGAACGTCGAGGCAAGGATGATTCTGAGGTGACTGAAGTGGGTGGGATATCTAATCGTCCAATTTTGGCCAAGCCGCACCCACTGCATGGCCCACGGTCCTGTGCCTTGGGGGTTGAACGGGTTTTATTGTCAGACCGCCCACTCGAATATCAACCGGGTTTATCATAGACTATCTATACCCCGCGAGACAGCGCCCCTCTCAAGGTGTACCGGTGACCTGAGAAGCGCGAAGACGAACAACTATACTGTAGAGTATGAGCTGAGAACGAAATTCATTACCGACTGCCCGAGACAAGATCCAAGGTGACCAGCTGCTGTAATCGTACGTCTCGAAAGTCGGCAACAGAGAAGTAGAACACAACGCGGGTCATTCCTTTTGCATTCACCCTGCTTACTTCGTCTGCTCTACCTGCCTTGCACTATCAATATCGTACACCGCAGCAATCATTCACCTCGTACTCGAGTCGTACGTAAAAGCCAAGGAAGCCACAGCGCGGTACTGCCTGGTCACCGGTAGCAGGACTCCGGTCAGATGCGCATATATGCACTACGGGTGCCTGCCTTCCCTTTCAAGTCAAGATTGACGCACCAGACTTCTTTCCGCGTCTCGTGTTCATCACATTCCGATCCGGCCCGTCTGTCCCGGTGGCATAAGAGGGAATTAGATCCAAACAAGCCATGTCTCTCGTGTTGTCTGTCGTCTTATGAGCTGTGCCAAAAACCATTCCATGCTGTAATGCCGTGACCGAAAGCGTGTGGGGTATCACAAAAGAAGTGGTAATTGTACACTGGGTCATTTGCTTGATCGTTGCCAGATATCGCAGAACTGTCCGGTGCTGAGTGCTGACGCCAGATTTGCCTCTGTTCAGCAACGAACTTATCCACCGCGTCTGATAATTGCTGGTAGTGGGGACCTTGGGATGACAGGGCGACATCAGCCCCTCGATCTCCTCTTCGACGGCTTGCCCATCGCAATCTCAACCAAATCTCCGTCGTCGTCGTCATGGTCCTCTTGTCCGGAGAACTCCGAGTCCTGCTCGTCGTCATCTTTCATCCCAAAGGCTCCTCCCAATTTCTCTTTTTCCGCAGGACTTAACACCTCTTCGTCGGAACTAGTGCTTTCGACTTCCTCTGTAGGGGCCACCATTTCCCCCATTTCCTCGTCCTCGAAAACTTCGAGGGGTCGTCGCTCAAGACTCCGTCGTGCTTCTAATGGAGGATTCTCCGAGTCGATATCGGAGCCAGATCCGTCCGATGATGAGTCGTCCAGCGAACCGTCAAAGTCATCGTGGGAGGTCTGGTTGTGTGTGCTGGACGTTGGAGAAAACAAGCTGGTCAGACCTCTGGTGACCGAGAAACTGTGGTGATTGTTGCCTGGACTCTGATTCGAGGAAGTCAAGTTGCTGCGTTTCCCAAACGTTGTGATGTCCTGCTCCTCCTCATCTAGTGAGAAAGGGTCGGCGCCGTTGTCGTCGTTGTTCCCAAGAGCAGCGAACGGATCGTCTGCTTCGGATCCGAACTCTGCTGCAGCCACTTCTTGCTCAGCCTCCTGCTTGTGTCTCGCTAAACGATCAGCCAACCGTCGGCGAGCACGTGATGGCTCGATATTGAGTGGTGCTGGTGGAGGTGGCAGTAAAGGTATTGGCTGATCAGACTGTTGGCAACAACGCATCATTAGCCTAAAAGATAAACATCCGTCGCCCTGTATTGGTCCCACTTACGTTCTCCGAGCTAAGACCTGTATCAGCAGCTGACAGCTGATTGACTGTTCGCGCATGCTCTTCGTCTTCTGCATCGTCCATGTCTTCGTCATCATCATCCGACGAACTTCCAAACCCGCTCGAAACCGACCCGCTCGAGTTGTATCCAGCACTAGTGGCACTGCCGTTGTTTGATAAGTCAACGCTGTCGAGGGCATTCTGGCCACCGCCCAGTCCAACGCCAGCTAATGCGCTTCCGGGACCAAAGCCTTGACCCGAACTAACGGCATTGAGGACTGCCTGCCTAGGGCCAAGGCCGTTATCTGGCCGGAAGCCCCCCAATATCGCGTTGTCTCGTTCTCGCGTCTCAGCCAGTGTCTTGGTAACGTATTCCTCCCAGGCCTGAGAGTAGATGCAGTCTTGAACTGTGGGCGAGAGCAACTCTCTCGGATGTCGCTCGCCGAACTTAACGACCTCTTCTGCCACAAGGGTCAAGTGGCCCATATATCCTAGACGCATGTTTCTGGCCTGTTGTTCTTCGTCACTTCGTCTCTGGCCTTCGATTATCGCGTCAGTAATGCGGCCAGTCTCAAAAAGATCAAATGCTAGAAATCTATTATGGCCCCGGTCCATGGGCCCATTGAAGACTTGTTGCACAACATCATAAACGACATTGTGGAGGAAGTTGTTCCATGGAAATCGAAAGAAGAAGCTCTGTGCACATTTAGCGTTTATCCGCCCGGTGGGTGACTTCGCTTACCAGAATCGTAGGGACTACTCTATTCTCCACAAACATGATTTTCAAATGATCTCCGACAATTGGAGCGTCATCAGAAACTGTTTGCTCGACTTGTGACACGTGCATTGTAGCATCTTGGGTTGTGTGGGACGATTCACCTTCGAAAAGGCTTGATTGAGGGCGGGATTTTGTCGCAGTTGGGCTCGTGGCTCGCTCAGGGCTAGTGGCCGTGGGTGTTCTGTTAGGATCGGCCGACTTCGAGAACAGAGGCTCCGGTTTGTCTTCGGGGTGAGGAGAGATTTCTCCCTGGCCCACTGTCAGGGTTGCCGGTTCAATGTCATCGGTGCTCATAACCGTATCCTCCAGGCTAAGACGCCGCACGGTCTCGTCCAGATTTCCTGTTGGCGTTTGTGGTTGATCCGGGACCTGTCGAGGAGAGATCGATTCCTCTGCATCATGCTTCGTACTTGGGGCTGGGTCCGTCGCTTCTGAGACTGCCACTTTTTCGAAGCCATCCTCGTCATTAAGATTAGCTATGCGAAGCTCCTCTGTGGATGTCGATGCTGACGGAGTAAAGGCATTTTCGAATCTTGAAGAGCTCGCTGAAATATCCACAGCGGAGTCTTCTGATTGCTTTTGAGACAAGAACGCTCCTTGCTCCCTCAGCCTCTCCCTTTCGGCATCCCTTGCTTTGATAAATTCTTCACTTCCCCGCTCATTTAGAAGACCCATATTGCTGCAGTGCAGTAGTTCTGCCATCAACTCGCAAGTCTTGAAGCGATCAAACCCAAGTGGCTCGATCTGTGTCCCCCAGGCGGATCTGAGATGGCCCCTCTCTACCACGCTCGTCTCCTCTCCAATTGTGACGGTGTGCTTGGAGCTCAGAATCAGGCTCATAAAGCTGGGCACGTGCTGGGCGAACAGTCTGAGAAGTGTTCCGAGATAGATAGGGTCGCGGCTGGTGGGAGGTGCGTTGGGACTGTGACCCTGATCGGGATCGTAGTCTGAATTGTTCTTACGGATGACTTCGATGACGATCCCGACTCCAACAGTCAATGGGTTGCCGCCTTTAAGCATGTACGAAATAAGCTGCCGAATGCACTTCTCCGAGACTAGCTGCCTCGTGAGGCTATTGGGGCCGATGCAGGATTGCTCATTCTGAGCAGCATTTGCTGATATTGTGATGATAGCCTTCAAAAAGTCTCCAGCTGATGTTTGAGTTGATGCATTGCAGTCCGGGGACAAGTTAGACAGAAGCATCGGAATCAAATCCTGGCCATGGAGCCAGTCCACAATTCCGGCGCCTCCCTCTGATTTTTCCAAACTGATAATCTTCAACAACAGATCCATGACCATGGGGCAATCGACATGCTGCAGGATGGCGGGGACGATGCCGGGCAAACCCTTGAAGAAATCGAGCATATCCTCAGTCTTCTTCTCGAGCAAGGTCTCATTTACCTTTGTGAAATAACCGGCCTGGAGGGGATCCAACGGTGCGAGTCTGCGCAAGAAGTCCCAAAAGTCCGTGAGATACTGGGTGTTCGCCATCAAGGACTCGGTAATGGACCATGTCTCACATGACAGGATCTCGCACGCGACAAAGGCATATTTCAGTCTTCTTTTCTCGGCCTTCTCTTGTTCCTCGTCCAAGGGCTTTGGCTCATCTTCCTCCTGCGTGGCGGGTCCTTTGCCTTTCTCGTTGTCGTCATCATGGACGTCTGGCTTAGGGCCTGGAGCGATCACGTAGTTTAGGAGGGCATGGAGGTTTGTGTCGTCGCGTAGATATTCGATCAGCTTGGTGTGGTGAGATTTGAGTTCTTGAATGAGGTCGGCCTCTTCAAGCAGGTCTTCGAGCTTGACATTGGGCTTGTCGAGGAGTGTATCAATGGTGGAGATCTGGGAGTATCCTCCAAATCGCCAAAACATGGTTGCTGATAACTTTCCGTTGCGACCGGCCGGAGGATGAGGTCTTAGTAATGGTACAGTCCTGGGGGTATATGATAGTCAGATAATAAGCCGTGGGTAGTCGTAGCTCGTGAATTGTCTATTGGATAAGACATGGACAGGCGGTCCAGCGCTAGAAGATAGAAAGAAGTCAGCGCTCTATATCGAAATGTGCGCGATTCGACGATGGTAGTGTTCGAGTCGGCTGGGGGTCGCGACGGCGCATGTTTACCTATCGTTACAAAGGAGTGACTGAAGAGAAGTTGAGAGTACAGTCAGAACCTCCGTCAATGGTCCCGTGGCAGAGGGATGGATCCGCGTCAGAGCAAGGCAGGTTATCTCGGTGAAGTTGGCGAGTTCAGTGACTCGCTCGAGTTCCGGCGGGTAGAAGCGAGAGGCAAGAGAGGAACTTGGCGCACGGAATGTCACTGCGCTGCTTTTCGCGCCGCGTGCGAGCCCCCAGCAGAATTAATGTATCGTTGCAGCCTTTCAGCTTTGTGGTACAAGCATCCAAGAATAGTTGGACTCGTGCTACGAGAGCCGCGAATGAAACAGGCGCGCGAGCAAAAAGTGGTAGAAGGCCAAGTGACTTTGGCAGGATGAACTGGGGACGAAGCTGGACACCCGAACAGTGCGGTGCAGATGTGCAGATGCTCTTGTGCCGGGCGCCTCCACAAACAAGCGCCCCTTTTTCCTCGCGCCGGCCACGCTTCCGCTCATCCACCACATCCATGTGCCCTATTCCGTCATCAGGCATGCCCAATGCCACATGGCTGCCCTAGGCTGGCCGAGTCTGAACAGGGAGCGGGCAGCTGGCCGCGTCGACTTCCGCTATCGAATGTGCCGAGTGCTCCAGCACATTCACATACAATTAATGCCACCATCAGCTCTAGATTTGCGCTCCCTCGGTTTCCAGCAAGAGAATCGATTGAGTAAATCGGCACGTGCAGCTTCCTCCGAGGGGCGGATGGACAATTTGCGAGGATGCAGATCCCCTAGTTAAACAATGCGTTGACGCGGCGCCTGGAAATCTGGGCGCAGTCACGCTTTGGAGTCTGGCATCCGCAGTGAATACCGCCTATCCAACTGTGCAGAGCGCACTCAACCAATGTATGCCGCTGCAAAGCAGCCCGTGATGAAGAGCACCGCCTTGCAGCCCGAGTCTCTCCGAACGGTAGCTAGCAATGCTAGGTGAGAGGAAAGCAGTGATTTGACTAAATAAATGCACAGTTCTGAAGGCGGATAAACCTCGGTTGAGTCGGGACGTAGGCAGACACCCTCGACTTCAAACCACTGCTCAACCGCCCCTCTGAGCCACCACACATACGAACACAACAACCGACGCCGAGTGCAGTACACACCAGCGCACCTGGCAGGAGACTCTATTGAAGATGAATCGCCTGTTCGGGTCAAAGAATACGGCACCAAAGCCTAATCTCAACAGTGCAATCCAGAATGCACGTCCCCCACCTGTTCCCGGTCAAGCACTACTAACACCACAATAGGTCGATACTAGAATTGACTCGGTCGATGTGAAACTCGCCAAGATCAATGCTGAACTTTCCACCTACCAACAAAAGCTCTCCAAGATGCGTGAAGGTCCGGGGAAGCAGGCGATCAAACAAAAGGCTCTGAAAGTCCTGCAACAGCGCAAAATGTATGAAAACCAGAGAGCGCAGCTGCAACAGCAGTCGTGGAATATGGAGCAAGCCGGGATGATGCAGGACAACCTGAAGAACGTCATGACCACCGTCGACGCGATGAAGACCACCAATAAAGCATTGAAACAGCAGTATGGCAAGATCAACATCGACAAGATCGAGCAGATGCAAGATGAGATGGCGGATCTGATGGAAATTGGCAATGAGATCAATGAGAGCATAAGTCGCGCTTACGACGTGCCGGAGGACGTTGATGAGGCGGAACTGGATGCTGAGCTCGAAGCGCTCGGTGAGGATATGATGTTTGAGCAAGAGATGGGGATTGGCGAAAGCACACCTGGGTTCTTACAGGACGAAGTTGCGCCGCCGCAGTTCGTGGATGCGCCTCCAGAGCACACGAAGGTCAAGGAGGCCGCGGGTGGTGTCGGCTAAATCGATTCCGCACTCACAGAGTCTTGGGCATGCGCCTCACCTCGCTATAAGATCGTCACTGTTGCGTACAAGCGTGTCATTCCTCATGAGCCATATCAGCTTCAGCACAACTTCAATCATGTATTCTTCTTCAAATCCTGCGTCCACGCTCGCACGGCTTTAGGGCCCTCGTGCGCTGCTTTAAACAGCTGTCGCTCGTTTTCATCCAGACCCCTCAGAAACTCTGCGCCGTCTCCTATCGCGCCTCTAGGGTTGTGCGCTTGATCAGCAATTTCAGCTGCCCGCTCTTTGAAGGTCTGGTCCACACCATTGCATTAATACGAAGTTACACGAGTTGAACCACAGTCTCCGAAGCAAGAACAGACGAACGTCGTAGAGAGAACTCACATCTAACAGAGTATCCAGCACCGCACGGTCATCGAACAACTCCATAATCCGTGCACTAAGAGCATAGAAGTGCGGTGCTTGAGCGCGGAGATCGATGGTTTTGGGGTCTGCCTTCAAAGCATTGATGACTCGCTGCTGGAGAGGCACGGGAAAATCCAAGGTAACTAAGCGAAGAGATCCTGGAGAGTTCCTTGTAGATGGAGCGAATCAGCCATCATCTTTGTGCAGTCCTTCAGAGGCTTAATACTCGCTTCATCAGGAAGGGAATCGATGTCTCCATGTTAAGCTTACCCAGTAGACACTGCCAGCATGATACCCAACCACATGGGTAGATCAATTTTCGTGCCGGCTTTCACCTGGACACCAGTGGCGGGTCAGTTCTGCTGTGCTCTCGGGAAGGGCTACAAGGGGACTGACTGACCGTCCCACCAGCATTGCCCTCAATATACCCCAGTCCAGGCACATCGAGCTCAAACGTGCAAGGCAGCTTCTGTGAGTCGGTTAGAATGGCGTCCACATCGTAGTACGACATTTTCTGTTGTTACAGCTGGATTCTCGGCCTCGATCAGGCGGCATTCCGAGTATGTTGACTGAGTTGCGAACGAAGTTGAGCAGTCTGGAACGAGCCAATCAGTTCGCGTCACTCCGAATTTGAGACGCGTCTGCTCCGCTTTGGATCTCGTTCAAACTTCAAATCACCCTCAGTCTGTTCTCATTCTGCTCTCATTCTGCTCTAGATTAGTTCGTTGGCAGGCGGATAACAGAATGAGTGCTTCAGCTGCGCCATCGACATCTCAAGCATCGAGCAGGCCTCCGGTAACGCTAGGACAGAGTACACATCTTGATCCTGGTGCCTATGTCCGTGGCACCCACGCAATCACTCTGGGCGAACACATTTTAGTACACCCGCGAGCCCAGCTCATTGCGATCCATGGTCCGCTTTCAGTTAGTGACAAGTGTATCATCTCTGAAAAGTGCGTAATTGGCGGACCTGTCCCGAGCGCATCGACCACAGATCCGAGTTCGAAAGCGGCTGCTGCAGGGAGCAATCCAACGACACCATTACTCGGTCAGCCGGGCGAAAGCGACGACGACGAGCATGATCCTGTAAAGACCACGGTTGGCTCAAATGTCTACATGCATCCCAGCTCCCAGATCCATGCTGGAGCCACGATCAAAGATAGTGTGCTGATAGAGCCTCATGTAACTATTTTCGCGAACGTCGTGGTTGGAGCGCATGCGAAGATCTGTGCCGGCGTGACCGTGGATCGAGATGTGGAAGAATGGACCGTGGTCTACGGCCGTGGCGACGTCAAGCGGCACCGAAAGACACCGCGTTTGAACAGTAACATTCAAGAGGATCACTCGGACGTCGTTGAGATGTTGAGGCTCAAAGCCATGGACAAGGAGCGAGAAGGGACTGTCAGCATCTTCAAAACAGCAGCACGGGCGAATCTAACGAAGAAGAAATGAAACTGACAGATCGATTTCAAATGAACTGACGAATCCGGACGATTCACCGGACTTCTACTCAGCTTCCTGATTTTTGACCTGGTTTTCCGGAATCCCTTGGGCAAGACTGATGGTGCCTCTGCTGCTCTAGCCGAACGGCTCGAAAGTGTCCGCTAAGCCGAGAATCAACGAGCAGAGTCATCGTCCACATACAGTACCATCGATCCGCCCTGACGGCGACTGCTCGGGTTTCGCAGCATAATTCCAGCGACCAATATTGTATCCTGACAAACATCATAGCACTTCCTGGCTGACCGATCCAACTAGTTGGCGGTGGGCACCTAATATGCTGAGAACCATTCCAACAACAGCTGTTCGTCAAAGTCGCAACAGGCCTTTCGCATCACCAACCTCTTCCTTCGAGGCGCTTCATCCAACGCTCCAGTGATCCGGTCTGCGAGCTTCCTCATCACTTTCGCTGGACTTGGATGATGATTTGGAGGAGGATTTGGTTGTCGGTCTCGGTGGGGATTCGAATTCTCGCCACCTCGCGCTTTTCGTCGTTGGATTTCTTGTCTTGCGCGAGTTTTTCTTTCTGCTCTCGCATCATCTTCTCTGCTGTGGCTCTGACGTTCTTCGACCACGCCCAGATGGGCTTCATGTAGAAGGGACACAAGTGGTGGCTGCAGTGGAGCTTGGATCGGACAATCCTCAAGTCCAGGTACGCCTTCTTCACGAGATATTCATAATGACCGAGTTTCGCATGCTCCGCTTCCTCGGTAACAGCTGCATATTGGAATGCCTGGCTGTTGAGAACGACAAGGGCCATTCTCTTGCAAGTCAATGCCAGGAGCACGAAGCTGCGGTAGTCGGTGAGTGACAGGATCATGAACCAAAGCTCTGGAGGAAGACGAAGGAAGAGGCTCGCGAGGAAGCTGCCGTTCGAGATGGTGAGTTCATTGTCCAATGTGACACCAGCGAGAATCTGGACATTCTGCATCAGCACGTGCGTCCGAACAGCTGGGCAGAGCACCACTTACAACTTCTGGAATTCTGAAACCAACGGTGTCTGCCATTGTGTTTGATTTTGTCAAGCCTTTGTCATTCGCTGGATAAAGTCACGACCAAGAGAGATGAAGTGTCAGCTTTGATTGAGAATTCGTCTGGGAGGGTTGGGCAGCGTTTTACAGGCACTGAATATTAACCATGACGGACCCGCATGCGCACTCGCTTTCGCCTTATTGGCCGGTCGTCTATGAGGACGACGAGGTGAAGCAGAAAACGGACTGGATACTGGGTTCCACGACCGTGGCCATACAGTAACCAGTCTTCTACAGTCCAGGGTGCGTCCATTCTGTGTGTCAGGGCTCGCTGCATGGAGGAGGAAACAATCTGATGCTGTCAGGATCACGCAGGGTCATTCATCTGCCAACAGGTCCCCATATGCTGGGAATGATGAGCTGTCCTGGAAATCAGGGACCGTCGTATGGAGGCAGAAGAGGATGGCCAACGATATGGGTGCTGACGAGAACATAGGTAGAGGCCAGGTTATGCCGGGCATCCTACAATAGCATCGTTGGTTATCAGCTTACACACTTGGATCACGTACCGTCATGCTGTACGGAAGGGGCTGGTGTACCTTGCTCCGTTATGCGAGATCTCCAGCAACCTGCACTACTCCGATAGTCCGCCTCCAGCCCGGTCGTCGACGTTCAAGCGAGAGGCAAATTACGAATCTCCGGCGCAAGGTCCGCTCCGACAGCACTTCAGCGGTCATCTACGGTAGAAGGACAATGAACACTGCCTGGCAGGCTTGCTTGGAGGATAACTCAGACATGGCTCTGCAGAATACCTCAGTCGCAAAGTGCTCACTTTCGTGGCCGGGCTCCGCGTCCCTACCGGTTCGACCCATCAGGCGAATGCAACACCTGGTTAACCCTCGAACATTGTCGGTCAAGTGTGAGTACACCACGGCCTCGAGGCAAGCCTGCGCATCGACACAAACCGGCAGAAAGAGGTGGACGCAAAAACCGAAATCGAGACATAGTGGCACCAGTGGCGGGACAAGGCCCGGTCGAATGTTCATGGTCTGTTGTGGTTACGGTACTGGAGCGTCTGCATTCACACGCTGGTTCTACCCTCTCACAGCAATCCACCGGACACAAGAAGAATCACTCGCAGCCATACGTTATGTTGCCTGTCCAAGTGCTACCAAGCTATCACGACTGGATGCTCATGAGCACCCTAACACCATGGCTCCACGCCCAGCCTCGACCATTGCATTCCTGTGTGGGAAAAGCGGTGCTTGGTCTGAGCTGCCGTCCGTATCGCTTCGAAATCTCAGCTTTGTCTTCCGGCTCCAGCTACTGGGAGCTGACCATCACGATAATTTCTCATCCTGAGCACTCGGGCTGGAATGTGTGCCCAGCTTTATGTACAAAAAGGTCTCCGGCTTTCGCTCTCTGGTACCAACTTCTGGACCGATACGTTGTTCTTCAGTCTTCCAACACTGCAGTCCTTCTGACTGGCTGGATTAGGAACCCTGATTACCGGGGCTCATCCAGCAACAATACCGACTTATTCTTCATGTCGTCTCCGCAACTTGGTGCCCATGTTGTCATTACCACCTGATGTTCGCCTCTCGGACCATTTCGCTTGGGATTAGCTTCTCTGACAGATGCCTCTAGCGAAAGATGTTGCTTCTGGGCCGTCATCGTGCTCGTCGTACTCGTCGTCCCCTTGGGCCAGTTCCTCTCTGCTGTTCCTGGTACGGAGTCGCTGCCTCAGCCGCCGAAGCTGCAGGACCGCGAGATCAGGCACTTCGGAATCGCACTTCAGCTCGCCGATCTGACACTGGAGTGTTTCGAACTGGGCCTGAAGCCGGCCTAGGTCCTTGCCCATCTCCTCAAAGCGAAGTGTGAGGTTTGTGATTTCTCGGCCCCGGCTCGCTTGGTGGTCCCTCAGTTCGGCCATCTGCCCTTCCAGATCGGCGAGCGTGCCGTCTATTCGGTCCCTGGTCTCGCGCGCCATGTCGTCTTCTCTCTGCCTGGCTGTCTTGTGTCTACGCCTCGAGTCTGCGATGCTGAGCGATTCGGCTTTGTTATCATCGTGCAGACGGACCAAGGAGCTGTCAGTTCCGATCGTCCCTGGTGTCTTGAGGTCGATTGAAAGGCCATCACAGGGTGGATGGACCGCTTCCGAAGTGGGGGATTTGTAAGTCGTCACGACCGGTCCTGAAGAATGGGACATGATGCTGGTAGGCGCTGTGTGAATGTTATCACTCAGTCACAGATACGGTCACAGTCGGGTCATGCGCAGGATTTCATTGTCTGTCTCTCTTCGGTGGCTTGTGGAAATGGAATGGTGAGACGATGAGACGCGAAATGGAATTCTCGTGAAGAAGGAGGTGAGGCATAAAACGATAGTCGTACGTCAAGGTCTGAGTCGCCGCCTGGCGGTGACGGCTCACGGCAATTGTGCGGTATGATGGGCCGAATATTCACTTCACTTCACTGCAGGCGGCCTAGCGGCGCAGGGCTGATACCGGGGTCGTCTCCTGTCGCTTGGGCGGTATTCAAGACTGAGGCCCAAGTAGAGGCCCAGGCGATGGTAGTGTCCTACACGCATGGTTAACGACGATTTTTTCGACCGCATTATCACGGATCATGTGCTGGGGCTAGGACTGCAAGGTGTGGTGCTTGCTCGTCAGAAGAATACAGAACGCTGGAGAGTTTCCTTGACGGAAGGAGTCATAAGGACGTGAATATCGAGAAACGTGCTCGTTCACGGGTTCGCAGTCGACTATCAGGTCCATGGTCAAACTTCAGATTCGTTGAAAAGTACGTAGATCTGCCAGACTGTTGCTCACTCGAGGATCAGGCACCGGCCCCTGCATGCGCTTCACTTCATCAGCAACGCCAACGAAGCTAGGAACTCCTAGGAACAAGGGCTTGGGTCGCATGACCGGTTGTTTCCTAGTAGAGTGTCGAATGGCTGCAAAGAAATATTCGGCTTGGCCCCTGTTAGCCCATCGACGCCGTGGACGAGCCCATGGTGTTCTGAAAGCCCTTTGAAAATTTCTGTTTCCAGGTCAACTTCTGTTTGCCCTTGGCCTCAGCCTCTCTGATGATTTCCCCGGCCGTTTTCCCATCGGCGATGATTGACCCTCCACGTGGTTGCACAGCGCCCTCCAGCGATGCAACGGCAGCACTAAAGTCCTGTGGTGGAGGAACCGCAGATGATAGTCGCTGCGGCTGCAACGGTGTCTCGGTTACGTCGATGTATTCAGCCAGGCGACCCTCTCCGGGCGTCAAGACGGTCTCATTGGTCGCTGCGGACTGGGAGGTGCCGTGGTTATCAACTTGATAGTCAGGGAGCGCGCCCTCTGCACGAACCTCGGAATAGACGGGAAGGGCTTCTCTGCCCCGAGTCCATTGATCCGCTTTGGTCACGGCGTCGCCGAGTCGCCATTTCTGCACGTCTTCCGGTTTGAGAAGACAGTCCTCTGCGGGAGCATGAGTGCCTCTGTAGTTCCCGTCCTTGTCTTTCGCGTAGTGCTTTCGCCATGTGTCGTAGGGGATCTGGCGCATCACGAACGGTGGCAGGTCGTCCTCTGCGTTGGCTCTCTTGCGTTGAGTGGTGATGCCGACTTTGCGGAACAAGCTCTTCCGGCGACTGGTGTCTTGCTCTTGAACAGCGTTGTTGTGTTGCCAGTTGAGTGCTTCGTCGAATCCAATGGCGCCGGATGCTCCGATGTTGGTAGGGGGAGCCATTCCGGGTGGCAGGCGAGGAGGGAGAACAGCACATGATACCATCCTGACAGAAGGTGATGCGGACTCGGACTGAGATGCCGCTCTCAACCGGCCGACTGATTCGCGGCGAGACATTGTGAGAGAATGAGCTCTTTGACTGTATTTGCGAGGCTTGCCAGACTGGTTGTCACTGGAGATTCTAAAACGGCTTCATGGGATTTTATAGTGCAACAGCCCCTCGTAAATAGGGTGGTCCGTACTTCCAAGCTACTAAAAGCGACATGAGAAGCGTAGTTCAGCCTGGATATCAATAGGGCAAATGCTGCCACTCTGGGACCGTTCTCTGTCGCGATTAGCAACTACAAAGCACAATAAAGCCTAGTTCGTGGGCTGTACCCAAGTCATCTGGTCTGGAGCGGGAACCGTTTGTGCTTTGAGGAATTGCAAGCGAGAGGACGTGGCGGAGCACAAGCATGATCGACGAATGCTTGCACCCTAGGGACCCCGCAAGCACACCCCGAACCTCATGGAGAAGGAGGCAAATTTACTACTGCGTAAAGTGGCCTAGCCCACGTGCGCTTGCCTTCCAGAAATCTTCCGTGCATACTCGTGCATTGTAGGGGCAATTGATTGTGGCTGTGAATGTTACGGCAGTGAATGCAACATGAAAGAAGAGAGACGAATGGGTGAGTCGCGTATTGCTCTGCGAGCGGACCTTTGCAGTGTGGGTCGCAGGCTAATCCCAAGCTGGCTACCGTCGAATAGACGCTGCAGGCGCGGGCGCCCCGCAAACAATCAACCTTCACTCCACCCTGGCGTTCACCTTCTCAACAACAACAGCCTCGCAGCCTTAGGGTTAACTAACCCTAGCAGTAACCCTAAGCCACGGAGCACTTCATCATTGTTTTGTTCGCGACGCTGTTATGGCACCCCGAAGCCGGCCACGGTCTGCCAGCAGGAAGAACGCGCCTCTTTCTCCTCCTAAGGCTCCTTCGCCCGCGGTCGCCGCTGACGCGTCAGTTCAAAACAAACGGAGAACGCGATCAGCAAGCCACAATATCACCGCAGCACAACGAGAGTTGCAAAACGTCACGACCATCCTGCCGGCCGTCAACGAGGGTGAAGAAGTACTGCGCCCAACCGAATCCCTTTCTTCACATGATGCAAGGTCCGGGAGCTCATCCCTGCAGGAAGTCCTCGATGCCCTGGATCGGGATGCGATCATCGACAATCTCTCCGGATTGTACCATGACTCAACCAGCCTCATGTCGTTGCTTGAGGTCATCAGTGATGAACAGCTGCGCGAGATGTGCAAGACTTCTGCCCAGCCGGCCTCTCGACTCCACAAACGCTTCCACGCCCAGGCGAAACGCTTCTTGCTGACACGCGAGAATTATGGCATCACTCACGATGGGACGAATCTCGACTTTATCCAGCCAGACCTCATTCTTCGCAAGATTCTGGGCGTGGGCGGAACCGAAGCGATACCTAACGGCGCTTGGCGACCGGATCCTGTCCTCCACCTTGCAAATCTCGCATTGCAAGTTGTCAGCGTATTAAATCCATCTGTCGAATTGCGGCGCTCCTACCTTGAGGATATGTTCACCAATTTCCCGAAACAGTTCATTGATCTTCATTACTTGCAACCTAGTCTTGAAGCTTACCACGATGTGTGCGACTTACTGGTGGAAGTGCTCACCCAAGTCTACCTCCAGAAGCTCGAATTCGAACATGGCGACCCTGAATATCATCCAGAGAACATCCTCGATGCTGTCTTTTTGAACGAGTTTGGCGAGTTGAAGGGCTCTTCCGACCGAGCCAGCTGGTTGAAGGTCATGGACCGTTACGAGTTTATCAGAGCATACTTCCTTGGGGTTCCTGCCGACGACCCCGAATCCAGTGGCCTCACGGACAGCCTCAAGGACGGCCTGAAGGACGGCCTCAAGGACCATTTCCCTTGGTCAGATTTCGTGGTCAAGGCCGTTAGATGGACCCTGGCTGTGGGGAAGGAGCTGGAGGGAATTGTTGACGCGAGAGGGGGTATAGACAAGCTCATTGACCTTCTTGACGCTGGCGATATCACTGGCGATCCAATCCAGGTTGACCCGGAGCCAACCGAGGAGGATGATGGTATGGAACGGAATTCTGAGGATCGAGGTGGGCACAGAGGTCTGGCGCAAGGTGGTGCTCAGGAAGATGCAGGCGCTACGACTACGCGCGTGAACAACCAGAAACCCAGGAACCAAGGGAACGGCCTCGAGACCAAGGATCTGGGAAGTGCAGGCATCGGGCCGACGGCCGCCGCACAGGTCTCAGTGGTTGAACCAACGTCAACTCTCAAGTCTAACTTGGAAAGACTGAAAGCCCTCAAAGCCCAGTATGCGCCTCAAGCATCTGATGCGGACGCAGATGCAGACACCAGGAGTGACTCAATTTCCGAGCCTGAAGTCCCTCAGTCTCCAACACCGGCGGGTCCTAGTGACCACGAGGTCGCGGGTATCGGCGAGGAAGAGCTTCCCGCCACGGGAGAAGGTGCTGATTGGATACAAGATGATGAAGACGATGAAGATCTACTTCCAACTCAGCAGACCAAAGAATTACTGGAAACCCTTCATCGACAGACGCAGCAGAGCAACAAGGAAAATGTGCAAGGGACGATGAAGAAGCCATCCTTCCTGGATCGACAAGAAGGTGCAGAGAGACTCGAGTGGGATGATGAATTCCCTGATGACGGGGAGATCTCCCCACCCAGCCGGCCATCTCCAAAGCGTACAAGACAGCAAGTTGAGTCTGAATCCGGCGAAGACGAATTTGAGACGGACACAAGAAACGCGAAGAGACCCCGGATAGTTGCCGTGAAGAGCGTGGTAGGCCCTTCAACTCGGTCACGACCCCAAGACTCACAGGATGATGAAGAGGGACAGGAGGGTAACTATAGGAAGCGAGCGCAACCTTTGCTCTCTCGCCTGCCCGCCCGCCGAGAACGTATGGCATCCTCGGAACCGACCCGAGCCACCATCGTATCCTTATCCCAGCCGGAACGGTCAACCAACCACAGATCCTCCTCAAGTCGAGCGCCTCTCCGAACGATCCGTTCAGGAAGCCCAGACCTACCATCTTCGAGCGCACCAGCTCCTAGATCTGACCGAGCAACTCGTGTCTTGTCAGATGCCTCTGCCCCAGGTCGAGGAGACCTTCCCCCGTCACGCCAAGGCGGGGCCACTGCCCATCTCCCCTCTGCATCACAGATGCCCCCCAGCACGCAAACCCAACAAGTCAATCAATTAGCAAAAGACATGGTCCGAATGGCACGTGAAATGCACCAGAACAGGCGACCGGCACAGATACGCAGACCCTACACCGCAGAGGAAGTCGACCGGCTGCTGGATATGATCGCCCTGTACGGGACCAAGTGGGCGAGAATCCTCAGGGAAGACAGCGTCCACCCAGACGGGCCAATGCTGCAGGGCAGAAGCCAGGTGCAGCTGAAGGACAAGGCGCGGAACATCAAGTTGGACATGCTGAAGTAAGTGGAAGTCCACCCCAGAAAAATGTGGTCTGCGTGCATGACAAACCCCAATGTCCGGGTTCCTGTTGTCTATCCCCAACCAGGTATTTTATACATAAAACGCTAACCGAGCATGTTCAAACAGGGCAGGGACTCCCCTCCCGGACGGATTCGAGTTCGTCAGCGTCGGCAACAAGAAGATCGAGGAGCTCAGGCTGCTCGGCATCGATTACTTCGAGGGCACGGATGCGGCGCGGTATACTGGGCGCGGAGAAAACTATGACGACGACGTCAACGACGACGATCTTGACAACTGATCGGCTGGGTATTGAGGACAGCAATAGGCTCCTCGGGACGGTTATGAAATGGCATACTATCGTGATGCTGTATATTCATATCCTGTACTGTACACGTGATGATGCCATCATGACCTGTGGGAGTACCCACGGCCTGTGGACCAAGCCTCTCATGTCTTGGATACCAGGCATATTCAGCGAGGCATTACACTGAGTAGGATAGCGAATGTCCCGTCGGTTGGTCATCAGGAAGCGAGGCCGCACCTCGCGTACTGTACATTTCCTTGCGCCACTGCCGGCGTACGGAGTACTACATGTCAGTATACTTTTACATCGCAGATACCAGCAACATATGGAGGATGCCCAGACTTAACAAAGGCCAGGCTCTCATTCATCGTCTCTTCCAAGGAGGAGGATGCCGGTGACGACGACGACGATATTTCTATTTTTATCAGAGACGTCCTCGGCGCTCGTAGCGTGCCCTATTTCCGTTGTGTTGGTGACAGTCCTTCCAAATGCTGAACTACAGTAATGAGGCATTGGATGGTGAATATAACTTGCTACGCTACGCTCCGCAGGACAAACTTCATGACTTCCTTGAAAATGCCATGGCACGCCACGGCACGCCATTACAGATAACTTGAATTACTAGACCAAGATACTAAACAAGTGGATCTGCCTCAATTCGAAAAGATCCGAAGTAGGTACTTATAAGTTGCCAACAACGCTCACAAGATGGCAGGCATTCAAGCCGCAGGGGTACATACAACCCGGCCCAAAAATCCCATTCCCAAGACTGTCACTATACTTTTCAGGGGGTATATCATTCATCATCGTTCCACCAAGTCGCGTCGTACCCGAAAATCGATCTCCATCCCAAGTAGACGCATGCACATTTACGAGTAACCCAACCAATCAACCACCTGACCACCTCCGAACCAATATCGTACAGACAAGGGTCTTGTTGCCTGACTATACATCCCTCCCGTGCGTGAAAAGGACGTCCATTCGTTCGACCAGCCCCGAACACACATGTCCCGGAAAACGCCATGCTGAAAATCAACCCTTTCTCGAGTATGTCCTGCGATGATCTCAACTGGTGAAGCAGTGATAATCCTAGCCAACAGAGATCCAACGACGCGTTGACTCGTGCCTCGAGTACAGGCGCGCTCACACACTGCCGTCGAGCAAGAACTCCGCCAGCGACTTCTGTTCCTCCGTCCAGTTTTCCGGATGCTGAAGGTCGCCGCCCAAAGCCTGGAATTGCAGCTCTCCCGTTGTCAACTGCGGCTTCTCGACAGATTCGAAGGGAGAATCTCCCATCATAATGTCTCGATCCCCAACGGTTTCGAATGGGGACAATTCGTCAAACCCGCTGAGATCGAGACCTTCGATGCCGTCGAGGTTGATATTCCAAGAATCGTCTTCGCCTTTGCCTTTGGCCTGCGAGTCTCCCTTGTCTTCAGTTCCACCCGCAGCGGCTGTTGCCGACCCCTCCTTGTCGCTCGCATCCGCGGGACTTTTAGACTTTTCAGTGGACGTGTCAGTCAACGCACCATTGGGACCCTCCACGATCTTCCGCCACCGCTCGCTTGTAGTCCGGTAGGCTTCGTAGAACTTGGACTGCTGCTCATAGACCTTGTCATCTGAAGGGAAGAGTTCGTCCCAGTCATCGCCACCAAACGCAACGCGAAGCTGATCGAGTGTGATGTTACTGTGGCTCCAAGGATCGTCGGCATCGTCGATCTTCACGTCGCCGCCTTGAGCAGATATGGGGCGCGATGCGCCCTGGCTGGGAATCTTAGACATGGGCACCGGAGTGGCTGCGGAGTTTTCATTCTTAATGTTGCTCGCGCCTCCGGCTTTGACCTCTGTCTTCGGCTTCTTGATTTGCTTCAGATTTTCATCCAAGTTGAACGCGGTACGCAGGGACTCGTGGAGGAATGCGAGAGGATCCGTGACAGGCTCCATGTCAAGCTTGTGGGCAACATTGTGATGTTGGTCGAGCTCTCCTTGTGTGGCGAATCCTTTAAGTTGGTGCTCGCAACCATTGACGGGGCATTTATACATATCAGCCGGCTTGAGTGTTTTGATTGCTTGCGGAGACGTGGCAACAGGAGTAGGAGCGGCCGGAGTCTGCTGCTGATTTTTCTTTCGCCTCTTGGTATCAGTAGGGAGCTTGAGATCCTCTTGCTTGAGGCCTGGGGTTGCGTATCTCGGCGTGCCTTGCCCTCTTGGATCGCCAATCTGAAAGGGTGGTTGTGTGGAAGTTGGAGCAGGCGGAGGGGCTTGGTTGATCTTAAGAGACAGCTTGCGTTCTTTTTCTTGTGCCTCTAGCAAACTGAGATTCTCAGGCGTTAGTTGGGCTGGTCGTTGGGGCCCTTTGTTGTTAGGTATCTGCGCTGCCGTTTGTTGGAATTTAGTAGTAATGTTGCTGACAATGGCTTCTGCAGTATCAGCAGTAATGCTGAAGTGGTCTGCTGGCTCGAAAATCTTGTTTTGCAGTGCAACCTGTTTGTATTGCTGGTGTAGCTGCATTCGTTGCAGAATCAACTGCTTTATTGTAGCCTCATCCTGCTTCATACGAAAGAATGCCAGGAGGAAGGATTCAAATCGACCGAGCATGTTCTTGACATTATTAGACATCAGTAGATCCGTGATCCGTTTTCTGCTGTTAGCATCCATGCTGGCAATCGGTCGAGGCTTTGGCATGGTGGCTTGAACCTCCTTTTGGAGTTCAATGATTCTCTTTGCTATGGCTTGTTGAGCATGTTGACGCTGCATGTTCATGTACTGCTGCTTCTTTTGAGGGTCCAAAGCACTGAACTGCTCCTTTGTAAGAGCTTGGAAAGGCGACGGCCTGTTTCCAGGCGCTTGTGGCTGAGCTTGGGCGTTTTGATTTGGCATTTCAATCACGTCATCGTCGCTGGGTCGTTTTAGAGCTTTATTCTCAGGCTGCAAGGGAACTTGCAATGGACGAGGTTGTCCTGCTGCTTGGCCAGAAGGCGGACGAGGGTGCTGCTGGCCCTGGATATTCAATTGCGCTGCTTGATTATGCCCCGGTGCTTGCATCCCGAATTGCTGACCAGGTGGATTGGATTGACCCGCTTGCGGTGGCATGAACTGCATCTGCTGAGGCATGCCCTGCTGACCAGCTTGTTGCATCACCTTTTGCTGCATCTGCCGATGCCTGGTAATGAGCAGAGCTCGGATTTGTTCGTCAGGCATGTTCGCAACCCTTGGGTTAGCGGCGCGCACTTTCGCGATGTCCTCAGCAGATGGAGATCTGAAAGGGATCTGCCCCGGAGACAGCCCTGGAGTCTGACCAGGCATACCTGGTATAGGCGCCTGTTGCCTCTGCTGCGGCTGTGGGATTGGCGTTTGATTGACCATCGTGTTGCTGGGAGGCTGCTGCTGCTGTTTTTGCTGCTGCAATTGCTGTTGCTGTTGCAAGTTTTGGTTTCGATTCTTCATGATGTGCTGGAAATGCGTTGCTTGAATGTCCAATACATGAGGCACAGGCCAATTTTCAATCGGGTTCGAGAGCAACCAATTCTTCAGCTGATACCACGTCTTCACCTCAGGGAGAGGTGCTTTCTGCCGGATACTGTTTAGAACTGTAGGCGGCACCGACTGCTGGTCCATCAACTTCATTTGGGGGGCAGTCAGCTGCTGACGAGGCTGAGGTTGACCTGGAACGTTGGAGAGCCCCTGCTGAGGCTGTCCCTGCTGTTGCTGCTGCTTTTGTTGCTGCTGCATTTGCATTTGACGTTGCCTCATCATCTCCTGGGCGTTTTGCTGTGCCTGTGCCTGATTGACTGGCGGCATGCCGCTCAAGTCTTGACCTTGCTGTGAACCCGCTCCGGCCGAGAGCGACTGCGTCATAGGCTGTGCACCAGCGTTCGCACCACCCACAAACGCCCCGTTCTGCAAATGCGCCATAGGCCCCTGTTGTGGCTGCTGCCCTGGTTGCATTCCCGGTGTTTGTTGTGAAAGACTCCTTCTCATCTGACCACTTTGTTGAAACTGTTGCAGCACGGTACGCCACTCACTCTGCGGTTTTTGTCGAAGAAGTGCTTGGAGAGGCGCAGGAAAGCTAGCCAGGGCTTGCTCGCGCTTCTGCATCTCCTGCATATTGAGCTGGAGCTGCTGCTGGCTTTGACCTTGCTGCGCCGCGTTATTCATCTGCTGCATTTGCTGGTTCATCATGGGGGTCCCTGAGCCCGGACGGGGAATTGTCTGCGGACTGGCTCCAGAGACATTAGCATTGACGGGTCGGTTGATGGCCGAGAGGGGTGTATTGGAGCCTTGCATGCCTTGCATCTGACCACGCTGGGCAGCCGCAGCGGCGGCTTGAGCACGAGCTTGAGCCTGTGCTTGGTTCTGTGCTTGTAGTTGAGCCTGGTGCATCTTTGTTGCCTGCGCTTGTTGTATGCGCTGCTGCTGAGCGATGAAAGCCGGGTTCATGTTATTAGCTTGATTCTGCTGGCCCATCCTCTGCTGCGCCAACATCTGTTGCTGGAGGCGCATCTGTTCTGACATCATGCCGGGAGTACTGCTGGCTGGGACCACCAGCTCACCCGTTTCTTGAGACCTCAACCCCCCGGCCTGCTGCTCCTGGAAGCGTCCCATGTCATTCATCAACGGGTTTGCATTCGCGGTCATGCCCTGAGCCATTGGATTCTGGGTTGACTGATTTTGCACCTGTCCCATTTGAACGCCGCCCATGCCTGCCTCCATCTGTTTACGCCTGCGGAACTCTTTAGTCGCAAGCATACGGAAGTAGTATATTATGGGATCGACGTGTTTCTGAGCGAGGTTCTGCCGCAGTTGGGGGTTCATCTTCTCGACGATGTTTCGCATCTCCTCCTTGGCAGTGCTCTTGGCCAGCTCTGCCGCGCGGAGGTTGATGGCTTTGTTGTCTTCGGGTGTCAATTCAGGTAGTTGCGTCTGCTTCTGCTGGTTGTTCCCCGGTATCATGTTAGCCATTGCCTGATTCGGAGTTGCGGCGGGCTGCCCTTGATTCATCATGGGCTGAGGCTGGTTGAAGACAGGCGAGCTGCGCATTCCCTGCTGCATTTGTTGCTGGAGGTGCGGTGGCAGGCCAATGCCATTTTGCATTTGCTGATTAGCTTGCATCTGGGGCATGAAGTTCTGGTTGGGTATCTGCATGCCCTGCATGCCTTGCATGACACCGGCAGCAGACTGGTTCATCTGCTGCGCACGCTGGTCGCGGATCCGACCCAGTTTCTCACTGCACTCGCGGACGTAGTCTTCTCTACTCAAAGACTGAGTGAAGCACTTTCGCTCGAACTGGAGGGCGACCTCTATCGCTCGGGTAAGCTCGACCGGGGGCCTCACCAGACGGAGGGAATCGACAAGCAACTTGATCTGGCCAGCTCGTTCACGGATGTGGACATTAGCCTGCCAGCCAGCGAAAGGACCTTGAGAGTTGAGCTGATCGAAGATATACTGCTGCACCGAGGGATGGTTGAGGCTCATCTGTCCGGCCGCTTGGGGAGGCATCGGTCTACCCATTCCCCCACCTATTGGCCCACCCATTTGCCCGCCCATGAGATTCATCTGGCCCATCTGTCCACCCATTTGTGCCGCCATTTGACCGCCCATCTGATTTGCCATGGCCATCTGTTGCTGCATGTTGTTGGGCATGCCTCGACCCATGCCCGCCATGTTCTGAAACTGGTTCGGGTTCATGGCTGCGGCGGGAGTTGCGAGCGAGGACACGCTCATATACAGGCGTCGAGGTCAACGCATTCGGACGTTAGGCAGTCAGGTCTCGAGGAGGGCTCGTGAGGTGAAAGTGAGAAGCGGTTGGCAGAGGGAGATCGAGGAAAGGCGAGATCTCGGTCAAGGCTCCAAGGCTGGGTGACACAAATAAAAGGAACCCGAGGCCGAGTCTGGGTCGTGGCGAATATTTGACACCTGGGCAGGTGACACAGCGGTCGTGATGCGATCGAGAGGTGAAGGAGACAGGAATCTCACTTCTCACTTTCTCGAGCCATGTAGCAGGGAGGACGGAGGGAGGAGAAAGGCGGCGTCGATCTATGAGTGCGGCGAGAATGAGACGTCGAAACACGAAGTCCTGGTTGATTCAAGGCTGACACTAGTTCGAGAGAGGAGCCGGTGCCGCAGCGCCTGATGCTGCAACGAGCGAGCGGATGTGAGCTGTAATTGGGCGCCAACCTGGCGCGTCGTGAAGGAATCCAGGCCAACCCACAGGGCACGGAGGAACAAAGCGGGGAAGAAGTAAGGTATCAATAGCTGGCAAAGAAGAAAACGTAAAGATCGAGTATATGTTGCCCGCAAGAGGGGGAGCGAAAGAGAGACTCCTCTGATGAGGGCACTCGCAACAGAGAGAAAGGTCGCCTGTCGCAGGTGACGAGGTGCCAGTGAGAAGTCAGTGAAGCGAGGATGACCTAGCCAGATCAGCGATCAGCGCGCCAACCAAACAGCTAGGGAGCGGGACACATTCGCCAACTAAAACTGCTAAGAAGTGAAGCGTTAGGCTGAAGGGTACAGCGCTGGTCGTGACTGGCCAGTGGAACTTCCCCCAACCCACTCAATCAGGGCGGGAGACCAGGCAAAGCCATGTCCTTTGCTGTCTCGAGCCGATCTGACTGGTGAGTCAGAGATGTGCCGCTGAGCCAGCTGAGATTCCCTTTTGCAAACGACACGGCGACCTTTTCCATCACAAGGGAGTAAAAGTCGACCAAGGCTGAGCTGTAGGAACGAGGCCACCGGATGTCCGCTCGAGAGCGGGCAGACGGGGTGCCTGCAGTGCCTTGCCCCTGCAAGTCCACCGCGGGTGCCACCTTTACCTAAGAACACACCTAAGCCAGATTCGCAGTAGCGCAGCCGAACACTCCGTATTGCGTGCCTCTATCCAACTTTCACCGTGAACCTATTTGCATGATGGCGATGCCGCTAGCCTGCGCATTCTGCGTGATCATTCCTGCGTGTCGTGACTGTTACCTTTCTGCTTGTGCTTGGTCATTCTAGAGCACTCATCGGTCCTTTCAACGCCGGCAGAAAGATATTGCGCTCTTTCTTCGGTGTCGCTCGATGCGCAGGTGCATATGTGACATGAGCGATGTTATGAGCAGTGCTTAGGTTATCGGGACCAACGATATACCTACACCTCTGGAAGCGACAAACATGGCATCCTCGGTGGGCTCCGACGCGTTCGCCTGCCTGGTTCTTTTGACCATCTCAGTTGGCGTCCTGTTTGTCTTACGGCACTACCTTCCACTACGAACAACGCCGGCTTTCCTCCTTGTGCCTATCTTCCTGGCATTGGTCCTTCCCACGAGCGCCCTCGTACTAGTCCCCATCGACCTCGCTTCGAGTGCGCGAGAGAGCGATCATGGTGGCAAAGGGATATGGCTGCCGAAAAGAGCTGTCTTGGTCTCATGGAGAATTGTCTACTGGTTGACCTTTGTCTTGACGTGGGTGGTATTGCCCCTACTGGGAGAATACATGGATGCCGGATATCGCGACCCCAAGGCTCGCATGATCTACTCCCTCCGATCGAACGGCCGGTATCAGCTCATCGTCCTGGCGTGCGCCATCGCCGGCTTGGTCTACATGATCTTCTCGTATGGCTTCGATTTCACCGCAATCAGAGCTTTGGTCATGGCGCTGGCCTACGTATGGGGTTTAGCTCTTGCCATCTACTTAATGGGTCACGGACTCGTCGTGATTCCGAGGAGGATGTTTCGCAAAGCAGACATTAGTGGTAGCCTGCGTCGGGTCCAGACTCAGGCGCCAAGAATCCATGAGAAGCTCGAGGATGCCATCGTTGCGCTCGATGAGCTGGAGGCTCAGGTGATGCAGCTGAAACAGAGGAAAACAGGGAGCGCCAGAGAGTTCCAAGAATGGATTGACGAATTGGGTGATGTGGCTGGCCAGCCCGAGACCCGCGTCTTTTCGAATGTGACAACCACAGACGCTTCGAGTAAAGTCCCTGCTGTCATTACGGAGAGGTACATGGCCGATTTGAGCCGGCGACTCATTCGAGCTAAGCACCGACGAGCACGATACATCCGCGAATGGGACCACATCGTCCAAAGCGCATCAGACCTCCAGGCCATCCTCGACTCCAAAGCCTCCAAGAGACTCGATTTCGGGGGATCCGCCCCCTCCAGTTACAGCATAACCGCTATGACCCCGACCATGCGCTATTACCTCCACGTTCACATTATCCCTGCTTTGAGAATCGCCCTGGGCGGCGTCTTCTCCTTCGCCTCCGTCGCAATCCTATGGTCCGAGATCATTAAATTCCCCGCTCCACACCTTTCGGCCGTCAGCCTCACAGTAATCCACCGTCCTTCTGACAAGAACTATCAGATCGGCTTCGGTGGCCAACTCCTCGCCTCACTATGGATAACATACATGTGCGTCTGCGCCCTCTCCGCGATGAATGACGTTCCCACCTGGAACCAGCGCGCCTTGGTAAAACGCAACACCTATGCCGAGTCCGCATGCTGGTACGCTGGACAAATTGCAAAACTCAGCGTCCCACTCGCTTACAACTTCCTGACCTTTCTTCCCAAGGATATTCATCAGAATTCAACCTTCTACAATTTTCTGGGCAGGTTGATCAATCTAACACCCCTGGGCACGTGGTTCGATTACCTGTTTCCTATCTTCATACTCATCCCCGTGACTATGACGTTGTTCAATCTATACGGCAAGATCAAGAATGTCCTGGGCTTCGGATTCATCGAGATCGAAGAGGATGAAGAGGACAATCCCTCGGCTTTCGGAACAGGAGGATGGCGAGAAGGGAGGGATCTGATTGCGAGAGATTTGCAAGGACATCGGGCCGCCGGTGCGAGTAGCCTGGGCATCACGGATTCTCCAAGGACATCGTTAGACACCTCTTCACGACCAAGAGCCGCGCCTAATAATAGGTTGGTCCCGCCTTCCACGCGGGCTCAAGGAGCGAATTCAGCGACAACGGGCAGAGGAGGTTTTCGAGGGAGACCGGCCCTTGATCCCGAGCCTGAAGAAGAAAATTTCTTCACCTTGTTCGGCCGGAGGGTGAAGAACACGCTCGACACCATCGACACGCCAAAGTGGATGCAAGGCGGTGGTGGTGGCCAAGGAGCAGGAGCAGCAGGCTTCACGAAACCGAAGTGGCTGGGCGGGTCTGGCGATCAGTCGTCGACAGCAGGACAGAGCGGCAGCGGTGGTGGAAGTGGAAGCGGAGGTGCCTCGAGTAGCAACAACAACAACAACAACAACATCCTAGGACTTTTCGGCGGAAGGTCCAGCGATGGGAGGATCACGATCTGATGATGCTGGGGGGTCAGGTCTTCCAGGCCCAGTAACCTTGACCAAGTCAGTCATATATTATAGCGTTCAAGCGAGGATTTATGTAGTCTAGTATCCTAATGTTGTCATAGAACACTCAACACTCAGCTGTTGAGGGCGGGTGCTCGGCCCGTTGAAGAGCTGTACCTGTGACCGTAACAAAGAGAACTACCTAGGTAGGGGCGCAAGAGGTAGCTTCCAAATATCTTAGATGCACGACTGACGTCGAAGGTACCGCAGTACCGAAATTACAGACAGAGAGAGGAAAAGAGTTGTCATCGAGTCCATCAATCATTGCTTCACATTGAATTGCACCAACGGGCGCGTCGTATCAGACATTACTAGACTGTACTGTACTAGACGTAACTCAAGACGTTTGGTCTTTTGTATGCTTCAAATCTCCCTCAATCCACCCATGCCAGGACCCGGGCTTGGCCCAGAGGGAGGAGGCCCCATTGGTCCACCAGGCATAGGTTGGCCCAATGGACTGGGATATGGACCATCAATTCCTGTGCCAACGGCACTGGCAGGCGGAATGCGAGGCGCTCCTCTTCCACCCATTATACCGCCTCTCATGCCAGGCCCACCGCGGCCACGCATTGGTAGCCGTGAAGGGGCCATCACTCCTGGCAGTTCGAAGTCCGGATTCCCGGCAAGCAGCGCGTCCTGTCGCATCTGGTTATCTCGCCTCCTCATCGGCCCCAAGGAGCTGAACTCCCCCATGTTGCCGGGTCTCCAGTTAGGATTGACCCCCCGTTGACTAACGGATGTGAAGTTGCTTGCCTCGCTTTCCGCTGGCGACCGGGCGCCGGGCAACTCCTCGTAAGAATTCGTATGAGGAATTTCGCCGTATGCTTCCGGTCGATTCTGGCCAGTGGGCCCAGGCACCAGAAGTGCGGGAGGTGCAGGATGTCCATTGTGCACTTCTGTATTTTGTGGCAGGGGCGGTACGGGAGGTGCCGGGTCAGAAGCAAATCGTGGATCAACGTCCTCGTAATAGATGTCACTGCCACCTGAGGTCGCTCGCGGCCTATGCAGTGGATTGCTGTGGGCCCCTACGTCGCCGGCTGATGGACCATATCCTCTAGGTGACCTTGGTTGCCCCATATTGTCGGTTGCGGTTCCGTTCCAGTTGGCGCGAGGCGGCATGTACCTAGTCTGTCAGCATCTAAACTAGTCGCAGGCAACATTCGACTTACGGATCTTGACTCTGTGACCGCCGAGGATTCCATTCTCCCGTCGGAGTAGCCGCGAGTTCATAGGCTTGATTTACAGGCAATGGAGGCACGGCTGGAGGTGGTGAAGGTCTGCGGATTGTGCCAGATGGTGAATGGACACGACTTCCGTACGGCGACGCTCTTTCTCTTGCTGGAGATTGTGCTCTAGCACCATACGGCCCTTCGTCTGGTTGAGTATAGATTGAGGGGCTTCTCGCATCGAACCGCCTCTCGTTGTCGTCAATATATTGTTGAGATGCGTCTACCGGCAAGGGTGGACCCATGGCCACAGGAAACTCCTCTGGCGGAGTGATCCTCTCGCCATCCGGTCCGTTTGGCGGATATCCAGGCGGAGGGCGTCTTGGGCCACCAACCATCATAGCTCCGGCCGCCATGCCCGCGCCCACCGTGCCCACAGTGACTGGGGGGGTATATCCGCCTCTACCACGCCCATTATATCCTCCTCTCATATCTGATGAGAATCCACCTCTTCCAGGATAGCCTTGCGGCGGAGGGGGACCTCTCGGGCCAAACCCTCCTCGTGGCGGATAGCCACCACGAGACTGGTAAGCGCCTCTCCCACGTGGTGGATAACGATGGCTGCCAGGCGGAGGAGCGCTCCTGTCGCGATATGGGCTGGGAGGAGTCGGCTCATCGCCTGACCTTCTGCCTTGCATAGGCATCACCGCGCCATCCGAACCAGGCATGGGCGGCGGAGGATTGCCGAAGCGGTCTTGCGGTCGGAACTGCGGTGGCTGGCTACTGGAACGCGATGGAGGTCCGCCATAGTATCTGTCGGAAGCGCCATCGCGGGTAGAAGGGGTCAGGGTTGTTTCGTTAGACAGTGCCTGCGCCCTCAGCGGTTGTCGCTCTTCGTCTGACTTCTGGCTTGCATTGAAGGTCGCGAATGTGGGTAGCCTATCTGCTCCGGGAGCCCCATTCACCACGGGCATTGTAGGCTCATTCGTAAATGTCTGGGCAAGGCCCTTGGCCTCCTGCGTTTGTCGATTGTAGAAGTTCTCTCCACTCATCTCGGCATTTTCAGCGATCCTCTTCTTGCGGGCTTTCCGAGACACTAGTGTTCTTCGCATGGCACATGTGACGACGCCGGAAGCTGCTATGATGATAGTGGACGCGAGAACAATCCATCCTGCCCATTGCAGATGCGGTACAAACAGCAGTATGTCGACTAGAAAAGCCAGCAGCGTGACAAGCAAAGTCGGTAGCAGGAGAATGAGAAGTCCCAGGAGATAACGTGCGGAGTGCGAGGGTGAGTGTAGGTGAGCCGCAGCGGCGAGAGCAAGGCAGACCAGGTTCAGAAATGCTGCGACAGGATGGACTATGAGGAGGGAGGAGAGGGAGTGTCGGGCACTAGACGGCAGGTTGAAGTCTGTGTCTCCTTGTGGGAAGAGGCCGTCTACCAATGGTCAATGGAATAATTTGGCATCTCAGTCACAGGAGGGTTACCCGTAGTATATCCCACTCTGATGCCACTGCACTCTGACGGCGTACAATAGCCGAAGACGCCAAAATTGACTCCTTGATAAGTTGCGATGGGGATTGCGTGGATGACGGGAGTCGACAGGACCGACAGCAGGAGGAAAACGAAAGAGATAAAAAGCAGAACGGTCAGAGGGGTCGCGGGCCTGAGCATCGTGGACTCAGCTGTCGCGGTCCGTCTCGTTTAGTTGGTCGGCGGCGGCGCAAAGGCGCAAGGACGAGTGAGTCCGGGGGCGGGCATCGAGGTGGACGTCGCAGGTGATCGGTGGTGCAGCGAAGGGAAGGAGTCACCATGCCACCATTTACTACTGTATCCAGCACGAAAATGTCAGGATGCTAGTGAGATACCGGCTAATCAATAAAGGTGGGAAAGAGGCAGGTGTTGGACAGAGCAAGCGATGAGGCGCAGTCGTCGCATCACCTTTGACGAGAAACCGGGCAGGTGCAGCTGCATGTCTCTTAGCCAGCCCACAATCCCGCTTAAGCTAAGGACTTTGGGGTGGAGTTCGGGGTGGACATTGGCTTGTGTGCGGCGGATCTTCTGGAACCCAGCTCCGTGATTTCTGCCGATTCGAGCCATGAGGGCGTCAGGGAAGGGCTGTTTAACGCGGCTAACCGCAGTTGTTACAGGGCAACGAAACAGCCCGCCACACTGGAGATAGCAGCCCACCATTAAAACACGTTCGCTTGGCATCCAATATAACTCTCCCGGATCGAATCTAGAGTTCGACTCCAGCCTCGTTTTATATCTGGAGGCGAGCATTGAGTCCTCGAGCACGGAACACCATCCACACACAGGCTGCGGAGTATTCCTCGTTGTCTGTGCACAGTACGAGGTAGATCTGACCGCCGGTTGCAACGACGTACTGTGTAGGCCACCATGGCTCAAACACTACCGCGCAATTTGACGCAAGATGAGCTGCACTTGAGCTCGCTTCCTGGATTATTGATCTTCCGAGCCGTAGCCTCCCACCTGCTGTTCTGTGCACAGTACGGAGGACGGAGTAGCTAACATTCGAAGAGCCCTGAAACTTCCTATGTACGGAGTAACTCAGACACAATCGCACAATCGAGTACTTTACGACAGACTCAATTTTAGCAGGCTCACAAATATTGTTACTCATTGTGCCCGAGTCCACCACAGTAGGCGCTTCTTACTTTGGTCGGCTGTTACGGTACTCTCCAGCCACTCCTATCAATGTGCGGGCGCTGTTGCTGTGTTGCCCATGTGGCTTGATGGTTATCATGTTTGCTTGCCCTCTGCGATGGCATCTGCCCAAGCACCGAACCAGAAGCCGATCATTCTATATTTGGTATTGACGATCCGGCTTAAAGCCTAGCTTGAACTCCATTCTCCAAGAGAGTCGGTTTGAGACCTCACCGGTTCAGCCCTTACAGTGGAACTTGAGCAAGAGACCGCCAAACGTGCTCTGATCCAAACTCTACCTCGTACAGAGTACTATAGCCTTCAGAGACATCTTGCATTCATAGGATCTTCCCCCATTCGAATAAGAGTCCGGAGTACCAAGACGAACCTCGCTAAACCCCCAGGCCAGAAGCTGACAAAGATCGGCTTCACCTGCCTCCTTCAGCTTTCACCGGCTTCTAAGACGGCCACTCGCCTGGTCGCTCCAGCTCACTCCTTGAGGTATTCTCCATCACTTCACAGTCCACACTTTTCTATTACCAGCGGTGGGCGCTATGGACGAGTTGATTGCCACTCATGAGGACATTGAGCGTCCAGTGCCTTTTCTCTTCTCACATGCAGTCAACAGATCCCCATACGACTGAACTTGGGAAAGACGTTCAACCTTTCCCGGTAGCCGTAAATCCCACAAATCCCAGACAACGCAATCGACTACACAACCAGGCTATCAGGAGAGCAAAAGCAAATATCGGCAAACGCCGTGATCATGTTCCCATACCACCTCGAAACCACGACGCTGATGCAAGACGTAGCCTTGTTCCCGTGGTCACCACGACCGAGGCTGGACTGGGCGCCCAGCTTACAAGAACCGCTATCGTGATATCCCCAAGATCAACAGTCACGTCTGGCGGGCTTCGCGGCGATCCTTTCTGCGCGTTTCCGATATCTGCAGACGGCACCGTCCTCTCGGCGGTGGATTATTTCCTCCAGCATTATGCTCCTGTCCACATTAACCCTAGGAAGGACCACCTCCAACAAGCAGATAGCTTACCGCTCTCACGAAAGTACTTCGGGCTTGCGTTGGAGAACGCTTCGATGTTCGAGCTGATGGTCGCTCTTTCTCGAGCGTCTTTCGATGCCCGGCAGGGCAACGCTCGGGAACCCGCACGAGAAGTCTTGGTTCACTATGGCAAAGGCATTGAAGCACTGCGCCTGAAAATGGCCAAGAGCTCAACCTGTGATGACGATGCCGCCATCCTCTCTGTGATGGCATTGTTAGGAATCGCAGTACGTGCCTGGACCATGATGTGACATCCATGCTGATGCTTACCTAGTTGATTTATGGTGACTTCCGGTCCTTCGAGACGCACCTAACAGGGCTCCGGCACCTGGTCGACATGCGAGGAGGGGTAGACTCGTTAGGCTGGGATGGCTTCATCAAGAATTCCATCACTGGGTAAGTAACTCCTATCTCCGCTTCGAGCTTTGTTTGAACGACCGGTATCCCCTCCATTACAATGGCTGACTTTGCTCAACAGGCTGGAGTCTCTCTGGGCCTACCACGAAAACAGGAAACTCAGCATTGCGACAACTGAAACTCATATCAAACTCGAATACCCGGAACATCCGTTTCCTCCGGAGCTCTGCGTCACGATCGCGCAACTTCCTGATGGGTTCCGTGAGCTTGTCCTGTCAGCCACACTCAGTCTTCAGATAATTGCGCTCTTATCAAGCGTGTCACAATGGATTGAGCAAATGCAACTTGGCCGAAAGAAGAATGTTCTACCGCTAGGAGAATCCAATGGCACGTATCTGAGGCAGACTCACAGGTGTCTCGAGTTGGTCCCTCTCCAGGGACTCGGTGTAATGGAAAGGGCGATTTGCGCTGCCATTGCGACTTTGACAACCGAGACTATCAACAAGACCAAGCAGCAGAACCCCGTTCACAGACGGATGATTGAAACGCTCTCGGAAATGTTGTATCGACACGATCTGCAGTCGTTGCCGGTTGAATGCACCATGTGGTTGGCACTGGTTATAGCAGGACCTCCCCATCCGGTCGAAGGAGACGTTGCCAGTCCTGCATCATCGGCAGGTGAAAGCTGCAACAGTGATCAACCGCAAAGACCTCGAGATGTACTCCTTGACAAGATCATCCAAGATTCGTCTTCCGCCAGGAACTGGAAGTGGGTGAAAAAGGCCGTGCAGAAGTTCTTCTTTGATGAAGAGCTCCTAGAAGCATGGCGGCAGACGTGGGGAGTTGCCGTGCTGCGACATGCGCACTTGGCCAAAAAGAGACGGCTGGTGATCGCCTGATTAACATTCGCGTTCGTGAAATCGAATGCGTCGAGTTTCTGGCCAGGAGCCCGGGGAAGCGGACGGTTGTCTGACACCGGCTCCTTGGCTTTAAACTTCCAGGACGAGTGTCACTGGTGAGGTTGGCACTATCACGCCGTCTCCCAACGTCATCAATGCTGATACGAGGTACGGAGTAGATGTGGTGGCTGCACCCAATATGCAAGACGTCCGTTTGAGGCACGAGCGAGCACCTTCCGGTGCTTATGCAGGCAAACTCGGGTTAGCAAGACACTAAGATAGCCAAGATCTCGGGGCTTTGGGGGGCCCTTCAGAGCTTGATTGGCTTCCCTGGGGCCACCACCGAAACACCCGACCACCCGACCACCTGGTAGCGGCCTTGCTTGCGGTTACATTGGTGGGCTTTGAGTGGGCGTCACCCAGGCGTGTGGGCGCTGCCCTTTTAACTAGCATACGTCACTTCACGGTTCTCATTCCTTGTGGGTGCCATAGTGATTCCCCAAATCGAGAACTTTATCCATCCAGGATCGCTATTTCAAGGAAATGCATGCTGACTAGAATGCAACTTGCATATCCACCAAGGCAAACATTCAGTCTCGACCCTCTGCAATATCCCATGCCTTCCATAACGGCCATGAGAAGGCTGCAGTTTTCACTTGGGCCTACATGCATCCCTTGAATATTGTAAAGCAGGTACACCACTAGGATCATGATCACACAGACAAGGAGACCTTGAGACTGTTGCCTCTCTTTGTATATCTCTCGCGGTCATCAGCACCTTCTCACCTCACTCTCCTGGCCCTGCTCGGGTACACCTCTCCTACTTCTCGACATGAACGACCCTGGGCTCGACGAACCCATCTCGGACGCGTCCGCGGTGCTTAAAGAACACATCGAAGACAATCCTCCTTCTGCACACCACAATGCCCAGACATCTGAAAATGCGGGTCAAAACCCCTACTTCAACGAGGACTCCCCTGAGACGCTGGAGGATACCTACGACAAAATGTCCGAAGAAGAACAAGAAAGAAACTTCCTCATGCCAGCGCGATGGTGGTACGCGAGTACAGGCATACCGCTTCTCGCAGGTACTTTCGGACCGATGGCAAACGCATTCAGTATCTGTGCGTTGGTAGAGAATTGGAGGGTCAAGATCCCGCCTGGAGGCACAGAAGAGCATGGCATTGACATCAGGGATCCACCTTGGTAGGTGCAACCAGTTCCGATGTGTCGGAGCCGAGGAGGAGCGAAGCAAGACAGTGGTGGTGTCACGTAACAACGAGGTGAACGGAGACGGCAAACAAGAAGCATATATGCTGACGAGCAACTCTGCCAGGCTCATCGCCGTCAATGCCGTCTCCCTAACCATGGCACTTATTGCAAATGCGGCACTTCTGCTAAACATGGGCCGTCGCGTACCATTTAAAGTGTCCCAGCCGGTCACGATTCTTGGCTTTTGGATTGCCTCAGTTCTGTTGATCGGCTTGATCACATACGCTTCAAGCTCTGAATCGTTCCACAAAGGCATCAAAGGCCAAGCCTTGACGCAAGCATACTACTACGCCATCTTTGCCGCTGGCCTTTACCAGATCATATCCTATTTGATGTGTGTGACAGTGTACGGAGCTTACAGGGGACACTTCTCGAAAGAATTCAAATTAACGGTTGCGCAGAGGACGTTGATGTTGCAGACAATAGCTTTCTTGGTATACTTATTGCTCGGTGCGTTGATTTATTCGCACATTGAGGGTTGGAAGTTCTTGGATGCGGTGTACTGGGCGGATTTCACGAGTCTGACAATTGGAATCGGCGGCGAATACACGCCGAGCACGCATCTGGGCAGAGGCCTATTGTTTCCTTTCGCGATGGCCGGAATTATCATCCTAGGGTTGGTGGTCGGGAGTATTCGAAGTCTGATTTTAGAGAGAGGGAAGAAGAAAATGGCGGCGCGATTGACAGAAAAGACAAGGGTGAGACTGCTCAACGAGATTCAAAAGATCAGCAAGGAAAAGCGCCTTTTGAGGAGAAAGGGTGCAATGGGCTTGGAGAAGGATACCACCAAAGCATTGACGGTGGATCCAGGCGAAGGCGAGATGTCTGAGCTGGAGAGGAGACAGGCCGAGTTTGAAGCCATGCGCAAAGTCCAGGCATGGGCAGCCACGGAGCGCAAGTATATAAGTCTGGGAGTGTCGACGTTTGCGTTTGCATTCCTGGTAGGTCCGCTAGAGCGTGCCCATCGAATCTGAAGCTGACTGGGAGACAGTGGACAATTGGGGCCCTGGTCTTCGAACACGCCGAAAAGAACCAAGGATGGAGCTATTTCGAATCCCTGTACTTCTCGTACACCACATTGTTGACCATTGGATATGGAGATTTCCAGCCGATGAGCAACAGCGGCAAACCATTCTTCGTCTTTTGGTCCTTATTGGCGGTCCCGACGCTCACGATCTTGATCTCCGACATGGGAGATACAGTTATCAAAGCTGTGAAGGATGTCACAATCTGGCTCGGTGAGATCACTGTGCTACCCAGCGACGAGGACACCTTGAGCAATCGTCTCAAGCACGGCGTATACAGAGTGACCCTCGGGCAACTAGATCTTCGAAAAACAGCCGGAGATATAGAGAAATCAGCTGACAACGAAAACGAGGGGTCGGGTTTCCGTGAAATGCATCCTGGTTTGGCCAGGGTATTCGGTAACAGTCAAAGAAAGCAAAGGCAGCCTGAAAAGGACCGGAAGACGGAAGATCGTCTGGCTGCGGACTTTGAGGAGACTGAGAAGAAGGACGAGGACGACGCTAGGAACAAAGGCGAAAAATGGGAACAGGATGAGCATCATTACCGCCATGTCTTGATCTCTCAACTTCGAAGAGTGTACGCCGATGCACAAGCGGCAACACCAAAGAAGTACAGCTACGACGAGTGGCAGTACTTCCTGAAACTGCTCGGAGAGAATGAAGATGACGCGACATACCACAGGAAAGCGCCAACTCATGCCGAAGAGGAAAGAGAAGCCAATCAAGTCGAGGAGAACAATAACCAAGCGGGTGGCAACGCGGGAGCCGATGAGCAACGACGGGGTGATATGGGTAGGCAAGGAGGCGCCTACACCGGCGGAAGAGGGGGCGAGGACGATGATGTCCAGATCACCAAGTGGAGCTGGGTAGGGGCGCAGAGTCCGCTCATGGGCGACAAGGAAGAAGCCGAATGGTTGCTGGAACGGTTCTTCCAACGGCTTGAAGAAAGTCTGAGCTCTGAAGCGAAGACGAAACAAACGGAGAAGGGGAAGGAGTATACCACCGGTCTGCATGAGACGCAGCAGGGAGAGGATCAATCTGACAACAGCGAAAGGACCATGTCTCGAAGTTAATGGGTAATGAATTTGGCACAGTAATTAGTCGGGCCTAATGAGGCTCACTCGGCCAAGAACGGACCGTACCACAGTACGAGTATGGGGAATAATGGTCTTGGTCAAACTGCAGAGGATCGAGGCAAACTATGCTGGGGTGTGTATCTCAGCAGTCAGAATCCCCGCGCCCGAAAGCTCTGGAGACAATTCGGCGTTTGAGAAGGCTTCGGGATACCCTTTTGGGTATACCACATATGCACAGTCGTGGAGGGCGACGCCAACCTCGGTCCATGTCTACACATTGACGTCTTAATTCGGAATGTCCATTTCCCCGAGTCTTACCTCGAACGGCTTGCAGGGCTTCGACGATCTCATACACTGGATGTCGTCCTGCGCGTGCATGAGACTCGAATCAGGCGTGAGAATCCTTTCTCAGAGGCCTCGGATGCGGAGCTGGGCTGATCTGTTTGGTGGCTTCCATTAGACTGCGGAGGAATACGAAGCCAGAAGTCTTGTTTTGGATCTTGTTTGGCTGGATACGAGGGAGAATGTCACGCAATCAAACGTCTCCAGAGACGACATCGTTCTCAAAAAAGAGGGTGATCAGTAGCAGCTACACAGTAGATTGTCGCACTACTGTAGACCAAAAGGCGCCTGAGGCCGCGGTGAAACTTGCGGGGAATCTCACCATCAATGACGCCCACCTCGTCCTTCCGAGACGCACTCTAGACTCGGGGCGATGATCTCGAAAACTGGTCATCGCGTATGCTGAAGGCGTGCGGTTCCTCCTCGCTACCATTACACCGAGTGCGCCGAGGGAGTGGTCCATGCCGTCCCTCCTCCGTCCCTCTCCACGACGGTGGCGCGAGTCGCCACCGGGGCTGGGACAAGTACGAGTACCATTTCCCCACACTTGCACTGACGCTCGCAGTCTCCGTCATCCTTGATTCCCATCCTGACCATTCACATGCACCGGATCCCGTCGACAGACGCGTTCGAGTCAGAACTACTTCCCTATCTGTCCCTGCGAACCACCGCTCGCGGGCGTCTTCCGTCCAGCCCAGATGTTGTCATCCTCACCTGCAAAGTACGGGGATCATTGGGCGTCACAAAGTGTCAATATCTAGGTTCCCCTTGGCCCGCTTTCAACCCCTCATCGGCTCCCTGCCCAGTCGGTGGAAGATGCGGATCGACATAATCATCCTCCGTCCGGAGGTCAGCCCGGGGTCGCGGGGTATGGAAACACACAGATAAAATCCTCGCGGATCGCCCGTGTCCAGCTCGCGGTCCAACCTCATACCTGCGTTTGCCTTTCATCCTGCGTCTCTCACACAGAATTGAGAAACCTCCTCCGCCTCTAGACTGTTGGCACTATGGGCTCTCATCAAATTGAGGAAGTTGATGTCCTACTCGTGGGAGCAGGCTTCGCCTCCTTCACGCTGCTGAATCGGTTAGTATGGGTCGCGATCGTTGGCCATGAGCTCCAATCTAACTGTTGTGACCAGTCTACGCAAGCTGGACTACAAGGTTCGCATCTTCGAGAAGGGTGGCGCAGCTGGCGGGATCTGGTATTGGAACTGCTATCCTGGGGCGCGCGTCGACACGGACTCTCCCATCTACCAACTCTTCGACAAGGAGCTGTGGGAAGACTTCACCTTCAAGGACCGATATCCAGGGTGGCAGGAGCTGCGGGAATACTTCGAGTACGTCCAAAAGAAATGGAACGTAAAAGATTATACGTCCTTCAACAAGCAGGTTGAGAGCGCCGTCTTCGACGAGAGTCGCCAGCAATGGCTGGTCGAGTGTGCTGACGGCACCGAGATCTACGCTCGATGGTTCATCCCCTGCATTGGCTTTGCCAGCAAACGGTATACTCCGCCCTTTGCGGGTCTCGGAAACTTCAAGGGTGACATCTATCACTCGGCCGTCTGGCCTCAGCATGGAGTCAACCTCAAGGGAAAGCGCGTTGCCGAGGTCGGCACCGGAGCCTCCGGCATCCAGATCATTCAAGAGATTGGCCCCGTGGTGAAGGAGTTGACAGTATACCTCCGAACGCCCAATTTGTGTCTGCCCATGAACCAACGCCAGCTCGACCCCAAGGAGGAAGACGAGAAGAAGAAGAACGGATGGTACGAGGAGCAGATGGAAAAAACCCGCCACACCTTTGCCGGCTTCACGTACGACTTCTTGGAGAAGAACACCTTTGACGACACGCCCGAAGAGCGAGAGAAGATGTACCACAAGCTCATGGTCGAGGAGGGCGGCTTCATGTTCTGGCTCGCCACCTACAAGGACATGCTTTTCGATCTCAAGGCCAACAAGGAGGCCTACGACTTCTGGCGCAAGCAGGTCTTGAAGCGTCTGACGGACCCTGAAAAGCAACGACTCTTGGCCCCAGAGGTCCCACCACATCCATGGGGCACCAAACGGCCGTCACTGGAGCAGAGGTTCTATGAAGTGGTCGACCAGCCCAACGTCAAGCTCATCGACGTCAACGAAAACCCGATCGAGGAAGTCACGGCCACCGGCATCAGAACCAAGCAGGGTCTCGTTGAGGTGGACGTCATCATCCTCGCCACCGGCTTCGATTCCGTGACGGGTTCGCTGGCTCAACTCAACATTCAAGGCACCAAAGGCGGCACCGTCGCCGACCACTGGAAAGACGGTACAAAAACGTCAATGGGTATCGCCTTGCCCGAGTTCCCCAACGTGAGTGCGCCCATTTTCTTGTGCCACATATGCACTGACCCGAGATTCGCAGATGTTCTTCCTGTACGGCCCTCAAGCACCGACCGCCTTCAGCTCCGGGCCCAGCTGCACGCAGTTCCAAGCCGAGTGGGTGGAGAAGGTGTTCAAACTGATCAAGGAAAAGGACATTACGAGGCTAGAACCCACAAAGGAAAGCGAAGACGACTGGGGGAAGCGGTTGGCCGAGAAGTGGGATGCCTCGCTGTTCCCCCTGGCAAAGAGCTGGTACCAAGGTGCCAACATCCCAGGGCGAAAGGTCGAGCCTCTGAACTGGTATGTGAATGATGCTTTGATCGATGGACTCTTGGGTGATAATGACTAACGGCCTGCAGGTCCGGTGGCATGGTCGAATATGTCAACACCTTGAATCGCAGCCTGGAGAATGACTTTCAGGGATGGAAATACTCGACCGCCAAGGCCTGAGAAGTACCGGATACAGAAGAAACTCTTGTGAGTGACTAGACATCGGCGCGACGGACCGGCTTGCCTGGGATGATATGACATCAAGACTGTAAATGTGAAGACCAGGCTCTACCCGGCGTGTGTGTTGGTAAGACTACGAGGGCGGCGGGCTCGAAAGATCGATCGATCAATCAATCAACCAGAGAAGCGAGGCGTCGAGGACAAAAGGGTGGTAGAAGACTGCGTGCAACAGACGAGCTTATAAGACTGCAAGATCATCTGGGCACCCAATTTCTAGTGGATAATTCTATTGTACTCTATGAATGGCAGCCCGTCAGTTGGCGGTAGCTTCGTGTACTTAACACAGGTGGAGCTGCCCACTGCCACCGCCACACTACCCTTCAGCCTTACCCCTTTTTTCCACTCTTTCGCCATGCTCGGTCCTCTTGCACTTAATAGAGCGCACAGCAGCTCGTACCAGCGTAGCAGCGAACAACAACCCAACTTGGACGCACTCCGGAGTCTAGCAGCGGGGGATGCTTTTCTTCTTTCATACCCATCTCCACCTCCACCTCGATGTACGAAGTTAGTCATGCGTGCGAGCAGAAATACGAGATTCAAATGCGGGGTACCGAGAGCACGCAGGGCTACAAATACTTCATACTAAGACTAAGACTAGGACCATGGGCCAACTTGAGCTCCGAGGACGAAGGAAGCAGCTTTGAGCCCCGTCAATCAATCAATCAAGCAATCAATCAATCAATCAATCACCAGACCGCATATGTATCGGTAACGTCCTCGCCATCTGGGTGTTCTCTGCTGGCATACCTGCCCATCACCTACCGACTGACGTTGAACTGCCACCACCGCCATTCTCCATCTAGAGTCTGTCACCACCGAATCTCTACTTGGATCTCCATCGCCATCTCCATAAACATCCATCTCGGAGGTCAGTGGCGGCGCGGCACAGCTCAACGCCCACAATGTCGAATCAAAATCAAACCGTCTACTTCGTGACGGGGACGACGCAGGTACGTTACAGCACGTCCACATGTCGCCGTGTCCGCTTGATACTTCCGTACAGGCATGCACAGTTCGCCAGCGTCAACGATTACCACTTCACCCCAGCAGTGCCAGACGATTGTTGACGTTCGTTATCATCCCCTCTGACCAACTGACTACTAACATATACCCCGTGATCATCTCCAGGGCATAGGCTTTGAGTTCGTGCGCCAGCTCCGCGACCGGCCTGGAGCCATCGTCTTCGCGACCTCCCGAAACCCCGACTCGGCAAAGTTAAAGGCCCTGACCGATAAAGGCAACGTGCATCTCGTCAAGATCACCAAGCAGCCCGAGGCCGTGGAGGAGGCGCTCCAGGCCGCGGAGCTGGTCAGGAAAGTCGCGGGCAAAGTGGACGTCGTGATTGCCAACGCGGGTGAGTCTCATACCTGGGATACGTATCCCGCATCGCGACTGACAAGACCCCTCTTTTCGCGACTACCTAGGCATCATCGGCCACGAAACCAGCATCGCCGACTCGCCCATGTCGGAATACCAGCGCTTTCTCGACGTCAACCTGCTCAACAACGTGGCCCTCTTCAAGGCGCTGCGCCCTTTGATGCTCGAGAGTGTGGCACAAGGCGGCACGCCCAAATTCGTGGCCATCAGCACGCAGTACGGCTCGTTGGGCATGGTGGAGGACTTACCCGGTCAATCGTCCGCGTATGCCATCTCCAAGGCCGCGCTGAACATGTTCCTAAGGCATGTCGCGTATGAGGAGCGCAAGAACGGGATCGTGGCGTTCCCCATGCACCCGGGGGTCGTGGCCACGGAGACGGTCGAGCCCCTCGCCAAACGGATCGGGCTGGGCACCATCCCGCCTGCGGAGAGTATTGAGGGGATGATGAGGATTGTGGATGGGGCTAAGGTCGAGGATGAGGTGCGGTTGTGGCGATATGATGGGGTGGTGTTGCCTTGGTGAGCGGGCGTGAGCGAGCGTGGGTGGACGTAAGTGGACGCAAGTGGAAACTACGTTAGTCAGGCACTTTGTCACATATCCCTCTCGACTAACGTGTCGCCGGGCGTCGCATGGTTACAGACATCCGTATGCAAGTCTCGAGTCTAGTCATAGGCCCATTGCCAGAACAAGGGCTCCGAGAAGGTGGTCACGAGGTCGTCATCCGGGATCCTGGTGTCTCTGACTCCTTCGTGCAGAAGGGTTGTCGAATGCTTGCTTGCCGCCTTATTTGCTCTTGCGGCCTCGACGGACGTACCTAGGAATCATCGCATGGTGCCAGGCCGAGTACGTACGGGTGAGAGGTGATGATCCCATGGCGACATGCACCAATCGCTTGACACTCTCGAGACGGGATCATCAACGGTGCCGGCATGGCGAATCACTCATGCATGACCCTTCCCTGCTCAGTCAAGCTGAACCTGTGGCTGTGTTCTTGTCATCAATAAATCAGCTTCCTTGTCTATTCTGGTCGTCATGTCACCAGGTCTCTGGAAAGCCCACTATATAGCGACCCTGTTCGCAGCAGAGGCTATCAGACGTAGTGGAAGTGAGAGCGGAAGGTACTGTAGGTGCCCGGACGACTTCCCCCTGAAATCCCACGAGGCAGAAGGGCGGACAGGAGACGAGGCCACGAGCTACGCCCAAAGTGCCTTAAGCTTTCTTGACTCGGCAAAGCTTCTACGGTGAATCATTTAACGTGGTTGGACGCGAATGATCAGCTTCTGGGAGAATGTATTGTTGACCAAAGTCATCATCCGCACTTACAGTACTGTACCACGCAAGACCGCGCGCCTGACATGGCTGATTCCTGTACTCGTTCGCCAGTCATAGTGAGTGCGTTCATGATCTTAAAAGCTCAGCAGACCACGAGGCAGAGCTCCAATAATGCAGTGCTCAATCCTGTAGCTCGCTACAGTACTCCGTATATTCCTCACTAAACCGGATATGCGTCAAATGGTAGTAAGAGTGGTCCTGACTGGGCGCAGAGGCTCGACGCGCGTTGCTGGGTTCCAGTAAAACCCGAATTTCAAGACGAGTTGGAGAGAACAACACTCCGCCGACCTGTCCATGTAATTGAAAGTCGTTGTCGATTTGGAGCCCGAGACCGTGCGTGAATCAACGTCACTCGAACCTCCTGAGAGCAAGTTGAAGGATATCCAAGTTAGCGGCGATCGGGTCTCCGGACCGGCGTGGCGGAGGCAGTGTAGCATAACATAGCATAGCATGCTTCATCTGTGTCGCCGAGCTTCGGGGGGAATCAAAGCCTTCTGACACCATGCCGCCCGTGTCAGCCCGAGCACCAGCGCGGATTGTGCAAGATAACGATAGCAAAGGGCGCAGTATGAACTGCACACCGGTCCTGTATAGGCGATGTCATCGCACATGCGATGCCTCAACCTGACTTTTTGGCCGGGTGGCGTCAATTGTAACGTTCGCACGGATTGTTGACTGAGAGACATAAAATGCGGTACAACATCAGTAATTAATGGAGAAATTCCCGCAGACACTCCACATCTACTGGCTCTGACAATTAATCGAAAGTACTCCGTACTCCGTACCGATGCTGCCAGGACGCAGTACATAGCTACTGTAGGTAGGAATGCAGCCCTTCCCCTCCGGTAATTAGGGACAACTGCGTGGGAGCCAGCTCATGCGATGACGGGCTGCAAGCAGACCAAGTCCTTTCCTGGCGGCTCCTTGAACTGGGTGGTAGGCACGATTATGAGTAGTGGCTAGGTACGGAGTACTATACTGGGCAGAGTTTGCGAGACAGACCCATCTCATGGCTCAGCCCTCGAAGGCATCAGGACTCTTGGTCCCCGAGCGCTGTCCCTGAATCAAACAGGAGCAACCAACCACGTTTACGAGTACCGTGCTTACGGAGGTGCACACCAAGACAAGTTTGCCAAGTTAAAAGGGGGATGAGTCAACTTTGATACAGCTGACGATTACGGCGTCGAAGAATTAGAATAAATGGTTCCTCCGTCCATGTCCTCGTAGCAGCCTTCACATCTGAAAGAATGTCCCCGATGCATCACACTTTGAGACCCACACCATGATCCATCCTATATCGATATTGTCGCGACTCGGAGCGTCCATGACCAGCTTTCCTCGCCACACTAGAGACCCACGGGGATCAACGTGAAGGTCGCCGCATCACCACCCAACGTGGCACCAATCGATAGATAGGGGCCAAACAGTTGCAAGACGTCCTGATCCTGTACATTGCAGGCCAACTGGCTCAAGGGCGTGATGACGCAATTGAGCGGAGTATAGGTGATACCCTCTGGTGGACTAGTGTCGGCGAGATAGACATAGTGGAATTCTACAAATTCTCCATTGTAGTCGATGACCACGCTTGCATACCCGGGGAGCTGTGCGGAAGTAAGGGCACAAGTGCCGTCGTCGAGCTCGTCGAAGGAGAATTGCGACGCGGCTGTGGGGTCTAGGGTATCAAAATCCACGAGAAACCCAATATCCTGGTTACTGTCGAGCGTGGCGAAATTTAGATCGACGCTATTTTGGAGCAAGAAACTGACACCGGTGGCTGATTCCTCGTTAGTTCAGGAAGGAGGGACTTGGAGAATTCGATAGAGTTACTCCTGGGTAATTTAGGGAGACTTACGGCAGTTGTCAGCTGTAGTTGTGGTCGACGTCGTTGTAGTGCTCGTGGTTGTAGTCGTGGTCGTGGTCGTTGGTGGAGCGGTCGTGGTAGGGTTGATGGTCGTCGTCGTCTGCGTCGTGGTCGTGGTTGCGGAAGTCGTCGTCGATTTGGTTGTAGTCGTGGTTAGAGTACTGGTCGTCGACTTGGTGGACGTCGTCGAGACAGTTGAGGTGCTGGTCGACTTGGTGGACGTCGTCGAGACAGTTGAGGTGCTGGTCGACTT